TGGTAAGGCCATGGAACTGTCGGATTTGGACTAGGTGGTGGACCGGTGGTTCCAGTTTCTTTTTCTTCAGCAGAACATTCATTTACAGTGTGATTATTTTTGATTTTTGAATCATTTTTATGGACACATATTTTTTTAGAATGCCTGACTGACAATAAAGGAACTGTGTTGATACTGATAGTGTTTTGCCTTGCCCTTTTTTTACTGCATCTTCCCATGACATCATGATTTTCCTGCTCTCTTTTTGCTATTGGACTTTACTTTATGGCTGTACAAACCTGTGACATTACTCACAGCATTCATTGTTCTATCCCTTTCTTTTCTTGACAATCTTATCCTGTACTACCTACGCAGGATTTGTCAGCGTACATTCCTTCGTTCATGTTCTTTCTCATTCTTTTTGCACAGCTATACTGTGCATAGCCTACTTTTCTTTTACTATATAAACTCCTGTATTTTACCTTGTAAAAAAAAAACAAGAACTCCATTCCAGACTTCTTCTCTAAATTCAAGTTCACTACTCTGCTGCTTGTGATCCAGTGTGGTCACAACACTTCCCACTGCTACCACTGTCAACTGCTGTCATCGTCACTTCCCACTTTTGAAGTCATTGTCATCCCTTTCAATTAGAGTCCTTCTGAGCACTACAGTCTGTGCGTCAGGAGCCTGCTATCACTGGGAACCTTGTCACCTTGTCATTCTCAAACCTACCTTGTTCTACGATTAGCAAGGTAGTGCTTGTCCATACTCGTCACTAAGCCCCTATGCTCTATAATTCAACTATCCCTCCTCCTTAAAGCCCACATCCATACATCTCTGGGTTTTACTTTGAAGGATTGCTATACATACCACCCCACGTACAAGCAGACCACTCCACTGTTCTAGGAGGCAAAGCCTATAAACAAGTTCCGTGGAATCTGGGAGGATTGTGTGTTAGTTTGATTTGTGTGTGGTTTTCTAACAGCAATTCTCATCATTGACAGCACATATGGATTTAGACCCAGCAGAAGCTGAATTAGGTTTCAAGTATCCTGGGGATTGTGTTGGTGATGCTCCTCATATGCTGTCAACTGATGAAGAGCTTTGGACAGCTATTACGCATGCTCAAGGGCTGGTCCGCAGGGCCCACACACAAAAGATTGAAGTATTTATTCACAACATGGTTTGTAGATTAAATTGTATTATTTTGCGAAGCTGACTGAAGTGACTACAAGAACCAGCTATGTAAACTGCTGCTTCCATCAAGAAGTGCAAGGCTCAATTTGATGAGTTAGAGCAGTCATCAACCTCAGTAGACTTTACTGATGAGCTACAATGGCTCAAAGAGCATCTTTCCTGTGCAAAGCACACCGGCAGGTGATGCTATGTGAGTCCAATAGATAGAACACATAAGCAGCATGACATCAACTAGCTTTTAATATAGCTCATTGGCAAAGTAACACTGGATCAACCCCCAGTGATATTACAGTTTGACTATAGCTCAAAACAGAGGTGGGTTTTGCCTGATTCTGGCTCAAGCAAGCCTAAGGCACCAAAAATCCACCTTCATTTTGCTGACATGTCTTTTGGTGAAAAACAGGGCCTATCTCGCACAAATACTGAGCCGCTTGAAAACCCAATCAGACAAGCTTTGAGCAGCAGCAAGGATAAAGATATTTACATCAACTATCCAGGCTGCTCTCCAACATGTCAGCATTATGATGCCTGAAGTGGGGTTACAACAGTTTGCCACAGCATTCATTGGATGTGGCATCTATAATGTAGATGAAGCACAAAGTTTGTCTCTGGAGTTTCTTGCAAATTAAATAGGCATGCCAATCAACATTATCAGTCATTTTCAAAGACAGACGCAAAGGGCAAATATTGTGCTACATCACCACCAGTTCTAGATCTGACCAAGGTGGATATCAAAGAAAATCCTAACTAAAATGTATTACCTCTTATCAAGTTCCAATGGTTGTTCTCAAGTATATTTATTGTATCACTTCTAGTTATAAACTGTATTTCTAGATTATGCTGTATAGTATACATAGATTTACAATCACAGTGTTTTGTACATATCACAGCTCAAAAACTGGTCTATGAGCAAGATAACCACTGTCTTGATACCATCCAGCCACTTTGTCAGGTGTGATTGTGCTGAAAACAGCTTCTCAGATCATAGAATAAGGGTTAGCTGCTGCATGACCTGACAGCTCTCCTCGGGTATAGTCTTGTTGGGCTCAAATCCATGCTTTGATAGCAGAAAATGCTTCTTCTATGGGATTCCAGTCTGGGGAGTATAGAGGCAAGTAGAGCAATCACACCCCACTAGAAGCATACAACTATATATCTACAAAAGGAAGCTTACCAAGCTTCAACAAGCTCTCTGAGCTCAGAAGAGTGGTGAATACTGGCATTATCAAGTATAATCACTGAGTTTTTCTGTGGAAATGGGCTCATACTATCAAGGAGTCCTTCAATAAAGCAATAAAATGTTACTGCTCTCCAAGATTCTTTGATGATATCAAGGTGTAGTACACCATCTAGTGAGATGGCGGGCAATATAGAATATCTAAACAACAAGCCAAATCAGAGCACAAAAAAATGGGAGGCAAGATGATCACCATATACCACGGACAAAGAAATCATACTGTCTAGCATGAGTTCCAATTAGTGCCCATGCTGTATTTCATTTGGTGGTCTTCCAATTACTGTCAGTGTAACAACCAAGAGTTAGTTACTCCGGCGCACACAGAAACACACTATAAAGAAGATGATGAGGGAGTGGTTACCCCTTAGAATGCAGAGAGTTAGTTGGTAAACAACAGGAGGACTCGCTGAGGAGTCTCCTGGATTTATTCGGGTATATATACTACTACAGGATTTGTTTGTACATGTGTACTATACAGTTGATGGAGACAGTGGCTGATGATGTCATGGGGCTAGCCCGCATGGCCAGCTCCACTGTGTGAGAGAGTCGTGTCCATAATAAGAAGAAAGGCAACGCGGCGTGAGAAAGGAGAAGTGCCGTGTGGCACTATGTGTGAAAGCTAAAGTACAAGGTTAAAGCGGAGAATAAAAAGAAAGGGAAGGACCAAAAATTGTGTTATCGTAACAGTCAGAACCGTGACCTGCGGAGTGTTCGGAGTTACAGAGTACGGAGATGGAGTAGGGGGTAACAGAGTACAAAATGGGGAATTGGCTTAGTTTGTGTGCTAGGCCCTTCTGCGGACCTTGGTCCCTAACTTGACAGAAAATGGACGGAGGAGAGTAGAGGATGAAAAGGGAGCAGAATAAAGACCCTTTGGAGAAGGATCGGAAAACTTAGAAAGAGGCTTGTAAAAGGCAAGGGAATCTAGTTGATATTTGAACTTCAGGAACGGAGTACAGGAGCTACAACTTATATACTGTCAGAGGAGTGGGGGCTTGTAAAGAGTAACTTGTAATGTAGGTATGGAGTTCCATGCGGACAATTATCTAGTGAGAGAGAAATGTATGTGCAAGGAGTGTATCATAAGGTCTAAATTACAGAGTCCATAAGGAGTACAGGAATGTGTGTAGGAAAGCATATGACGGACTAGAAGTCCAGTGCAGGAGTATCAGAACGGAAGTCCGGAGTACCATGTGGGGGTGGGACATGGGGCTATGCCAACCGGCAGGCCATGAGGAGTGTAATCCCAAGAATACCGAAGATTCGGGAGGTTTGGGTTTGGGGAAATATCTCCTTTGGAGATGCCAGAGTCCTGTTCTCTGGTACGGATATGACAATTACAGGCAGACTCATCAACAAACACCCGGTATACAGTTTGTTTGTTCTCATTTTACTCTTCTGCAGCGTAACTCATTTGTTTTTGCACAAAATCCTGTCAGTTTAATGCTCCTGAGATAGTGATCTCTGAAGCAAGGATCCCGCATTCTTGATATAATATGGCTTGCAGCTCAGACAATTGGATATCTGGTGTTCGGTCAATGCAGCCTGTAAGATACTGAAAACTGTAAAATACAGGAAATCATGCCAAAACTTTGCCTTACCGCAACATCAAGTGCATTTAGGAGCCGGTGTCTCCCTTGTATATCTGGAATGTGTTGTACTGTGCCCTGCCAAAGTGCCTTGATCTGTCAAAACTGTTTGTGCACTAACACCAGTGACACAAGCAATTGCACTACATGTTAGCTGAGCAGACATTATTTCAATCAGTTCCTTTGCAGCATCAGGAATGCGTTGTCGGCTGCCATATGGCATGGTGAGTGTTGTGTCAAACAAGAATACCTGATGCGGTGGTGGCTGGTGTCAACAGTCTTGCTACTGTGTCTGATTTTGGTAGAGCCTGGGTGGAGCCAGTGTTTGTATCACTCCACATGTAAACAAAAACGGTGAATGGAGCTGAGTGGAGAACGGTTTAATGATTTGTTACTGTTACCAGCTGTATTTTTAGCTACAAAACTCTCTCACATGATGGAGCTGGTCACAAGGGCTGTGCCCTGTGACATTATCAGCCACCTCACTTAGCAACTGTATAGTACATATATACAAATAGTCTGTAGTAGTATAAATACCCCAATAGATCAAGGAGACTCCTCAGCAAGTTGTCCTATTATTTACCCATGACTAACCTGGTCCTATCACCTAGAAGGATGGCACACATAGGGTACACCTCCCAAAAGGTATCACAGGATCCCCTTATAGCCTATAGTCATGGTGGACTGGGGAGAACCAACAAGTTGAGGGTAAGCTCATTGTGAAGGTAGGTCTCAGTGTATAAGGCAACCTGACCCACTCAAACTTGGAGCCACATCTAAGTAACATCAAATAAATGGAAAACACGCTTGATAAGAGCAGTACATCAAACAAAGGTTACTGTATTAAAAAACAAATCAATGTTGTACTTGACGCTACAACCCAATTTAGCCCATGAGTCATCTCGAGCAACCGAGCAACAAAACTTTGGCCATGTTTAATTGTCCTCATCAGGTCCAAAGACATGCGTAGCAGCATCATACTGTGGCACCGGCACGTATCATCTTGATGGGCTCCGTGATGAGGCCAGTTCAATGTTGTTACCAGTAGTTGGAAAAGATTGGGCATTTCGTCCAGTAGTAGAAAACAGATGGATCAATGTGAGGATGAGAGTGTACAATGTGAACGCGAGACTAATGCCATCTGGTGAGTGAAAGCATATAACAGCACAGACCTGAACATAGTCAGAAGATAAGTGATGTGATCCATGTCACTGTTGTGTACATAGTTAAGTTCCTCGTTGGTAGCGGACATGAACAAGATTCTGCAAGAATATAAGAGACAAAAGCTAGAGTCAAGATCATGCTTAAGCCCTTACCCAGATGCTACGAGAAACTACGCAAATAAAAGAAAAGTCCTATTTAATTACTCTTTAAAACGATATCACTTTGGACTTACGAAAGGTGGGAGATGACGGAAGGCTCTGGCAGCAGCCATCTTCCCATTATCACTTGGCGAATAACCTGGAGTACACTCTGCAAAAGTTTGATCACTTTGATCGTCTCTGTTGGACGCATCTGAAGATTTTGATGGGACAAAGCAGATTTTGACTATGCGAGTAAGTCCAGCGAGCATAAGCGTGTATTCAAAAGTTGTATGAACCTTAATGGGTAATTAGGCACTTCAAACGATGCAGAAAGCGATGAATACCGTACCTTTGTGGATATTTCCAGAGCTTGAGCGTGCTGCAACATTGCCCAGCCAGTCAAGATAATGCTGAGAGAACGTCATCAGTTAGCGACACCCTGATGTAAGTACTTTAACGTATACTCACATCAAGCCGGGAACCACATTACGCTGATAAAAGACTTTAGCTGAGCGAAAGCAAATAAGTAGGAGCGTTAATATACTTTACTTGATTATCTAGAGCTAAATATATCCCTAGTATGCCTCTATTCCACCCTACAACATAATCACAGTAAGTAATACTGATTGATTTCTGTGAGGGAATGCCTTGTACATACAAAGCCCAGGACGCTGATGTTAGGTGGTCAACCAATAATTCTCTAAATGAGACTATATACTCACGTATGTTGCATGTTAATCACAGACCACGTTGATCCATAATGCTCGGCAAAGGTGTTATCTAGATGCCGATCAATAACAGTTCTAACGACTGGGATGATATGCATACAAATACCCTTTGTTGAAAAAGACATCAGAAATGCTCGATCAACATTATTATGACACGACTCACCCACAAAGTGATAATCCACAAATCCCACCATTCTGGGCTGCGACCACTTTGTTTCACCCAAGCCTCGCCCACCACAAGCAAGATCGCCATGATAACACCGTAAGCAACGAACCCACTTCCCTGATTTTTTGAATCGGTTATTCTATCTGTGCCCAAGATGTTAGTTTTGGTGATTCTGCACCTTTGTGCTACCTATATATTTTCATTCCTTTCTCTATCTATTCTTCTATCATTCACTATTGATTATGTTCTCTATTATTTCGCCTTTGTGGCTGCTTTGTTTACCTTTGTTTACAAAACTTCGGACAGTATTGCAGAGTCCAATGCTTCCTATTCTCTAGTTACTCACATTGGACTCTAGTTCCAGTCCCTGATTGCTCTCAGCAAGTGGCTAGACACTTCCTTCAAGCTTTGTTCTTAATACAAGAAACGGATGATGGTTGGATTGGTGCACCATAATATATTGAGCTAAACATTGGCCCAAGGTTTCCCCACGACAATAACCTCTGAAGGCGATTGCACCCAACAACATTTGGGTCCATCCAAGTATGGGATAGGATTTTCCTATAATGCCATGTGCGATAACAGCGTAAGACTGTATGGTGCACTCATGTATGTGCAGCTTGGGATAGATCCCATGCAGTAGTTGAGCGCATATGGGGATGAACAAGATATTTGCGAAGACACTGTGAGTTGAATGTGGGGGTGTAAGCAGACTGGAAACTGGCTGTGCTCGGAGATGTCCGTAGACATTAGATTATAGCCTCATTCAAGGTCCATTTCTAAACAGGGGGGAAGCAAGTAACCAAAAGTTGTCACCTTGGTGACCACGCCTAACCGACGGCAAACGTGTAAATTAAATAGAAATGCTGTACCAAAAAAATGAGTATACCACGAAGCTGAACATGAAAACCATGAGTTGTGAGCTATATATGAACAAGCCAAACGCACCTCAAAATGCCAACATGTCTCGCCACCAGCCCACTATCTGTCAGTGTCGTCTCAAGGAACTCGACACCACATTTGTGGATCTCCTTCGGCAGCTAATCTGCAGGCTGGTCACCGTCACCGACTATTCTGAAGATGGGTCACCACCAAGCAGTCCGCTTTCTCTTGTCCGTTCAGATTCTCCCATGTCAGGTAAGTCAGTAGTCTCCCTCTGACTAAATATATTATGGTAGGTATTAATACCTTGTAAAAATAGAAGGTACATCATCTGCCGAGCAGGCAGAAGTAGTTGTACATCCCAAGGCACATCAAATACAAATATTAATAACAGAATATCTCTGTTTGCAAGACCAGGTGCAACATACAAGAGTATTTACAACATACCCACAAGCACCTCGTCTATCACAATTCCCTCTTATGGAGTGGTCACGTCTTTACAATCCAACATGTTTCCAACATATTAATCAATGTCAACCAGAAACTTTTGACAGTATTTTAGCTAGGATCTGTGACCACTCAATATTCCACAATAATTCTAATACACCACAGACTCCTATTGAACATCAACTCTCCATGTTTTTGAACTGTCTAGGCCACTATGGAAATGGATTTACACCTGCTGATATTGCTGACTGGGCAGGTCTCTCTGTTGGCACAGTGGTGAATAGCACCAATCGGTGTATAATTGCTATCCTCTCATTGTGATGAGGTTGTTGGTCCCCCTACTCGAGAGGAGAAGGATGCTGCCAAAGCGTGGGTGGAGAATCAAGTTTGTGCAGAATGGAGAAATGGGTGTTTGGCAGTTGATGGTACCAACATTTCTCTCTTCCAAAAACCAAGCCACTTTGGAGAGACATTCTTTGATAGAAAATCCAACTACTCTTTGAATTGCCAGGTGATTTATATTACTTCTGAATTATGGAAGTGATCTGAACTTTCCCCAGGCAATTATTCTTCCCCATAATCTCAAGATCATAGATTATGGTCTAGGGCATGTAGGAAGCACTCATGATTCCTCTGCCTTTCAAGACACTCTGACATCACAAAACCATAAAGTCTTTCTGAATGAAGATGAATGGATCTGGGCAGATTCTGCATACCCTATCACATCTTGGTGTGTAGCACCATTCAAGCAGCCACCAGGTCGTAGCCTCACTACAGGCAATCTCAATTTAACTATCATTTATCACGCATCTGTATATGCTGTGAACATGCAATTGGACTTCTCAAGATACGATTCCAGTCCCTCAAAGAACTACGTATACAAATCAACACAGAAAACAAACTAGAGTTTGCCGTTGCCTGGATTCGTTGCTGTATCATTTTACACAACCTTATCATTGAACTTGAAGGCAACCAGGCAGAGAATACTATTCCTAGTGATTGGCAGCAAGGAGCACAGGACAATGGAGGAATGGATATAGACATGGATACTGATGAGCTAGAGTCAGAAATTCCTGAGAATCTGAATCAGGATCTTAGGCAAAGACTTTTTGATTCACTCTTTAACAGTCACTTGTATTGATGTATCATCTGGTAATACATCATATCCTGTAACGAAAACAACAAAGCAATGTATTCATTATCCATCGTGAAAAACAACTGAAGCACATACAACAACAATGAAAACATTATACAAGTATTCAACATATCAACATATGCAACTTAAAAGTATGAGGACACATGATAGGGACCATGAGGGCATCAAGAACCAACAAGTAAAACCAACCAACAGCTGGGCATCAGACATCACCAATCCCACCTTCATATAACTCCTCATTCTCAATGCTAGTACCTGTGAGGCAACGATAAACTATAACAGAAACAAAACCTGTCTCCTACTGCACTTGCAGGGAGTAAGGGGTTCAATGAGCCTGGTTATCGACAGATGCTAGAGAATATAGCAAGTAGAGGATGTAGGAGTAGGACTCAGAGGTTTCTGATAAGAGGTAAAGCGGATAATTCAAGTAATAGAAAACTAAAGAACTATACATGAGATGTGCAGGGCTTTTATAACTATCTGTCCGTCTCTCAGACTGGAAGGGGAATAAACAAAAAGTGGTCTGAGGAATAAATCTACCAATAAGAAAAAGGAATAACTATCATACAACTTTGAATGATTAATCAGCAGGTGAGAGAGTTGTACTAATAATAGGTGTTGTCACGCATGTTCAGGAACCGTATCCTCATGATGAGGTACAATCCTGACTAAAGTGTCTATTAGTATATCCAGGCACTGATGGGGCTTGGAGCTGGTTGGCGAGATGCCTACTACCAGCCCTTACCCATTGTGCTGGCTGGCTGGGAGTGATACCCAGTCTCTGATCTGCGATATAAAGTGGTAATGATGATTGAGAAAGCCTGTGAGGGCTATGAGCAGTAGAATAGCAAATGATACCTCTAGCCCTAGAGCAGAGGTGTAACGGGGAAAGCGTTTGAAAACCAAGACATAGAGAAAATAATAAATGGTCCTTACAGTACCACTAACAAAAGCTAAAATGTACTTGTCAATAGCCTGGCTATTGGGGTCATCAATACCAAAAACTACCGTATTGGAACTTGAGCCAAAGTCCAGGTTTTCAGGAACAAATGGAGCCGACATGAGGAGCGATGAGCCCCCAGCAGAGTTGTTGGACTCAAAATCCAAACCATCAGGAGCAAATGGAGCTGACGTGGAGAGTGTTGAACCCCTGGCAGGGTCAATGGATGCAGATGATGATAGGAAGTGCGACACTTCGGGCGAGATCTGAGGAATGTCCATTAGCCTGGTAATGCCCATCTGGTACTGAATCTTCAGTGCTTCAAGTCCATGGGCGGACCGCTTTAATTGCATGTCCTCACCAGCAAGCTGAGTACACTGGGCATTCTCTTGTAGGGTTATCTGAGTATGCTGAGCATTCCCTTCACAGAATATCTGCAACTTGGCCAGCTGAAGGAGGACGGCTTGATGTTGAGCATCAGCTTCCTTTGTGGTGATAATGTTTTTACCCTGCTCGACAACCATATTGTGGATGTATTTTGCCTGCTTCAAAGTACGCTTTGATACCCTCTCATTCTTATCCTCCTTGAGAACAGGTTCCATTAATGTCTTCAAGTGTTCAGCGTCCGACTCTATCTTCTTACCCTTCACTTGCTTCGGCTCAGGTTTCTTCTTTGGCTCGGACTTGTCTGGTTTGACAGCCTCACATGTGCGCTTTGATCGAGTTGAGGTAGGAGTTGAAGATCTAGGGGTGATGACAGGCCCACTGTGAGCAGGTGAACGGCCCTGAATAGGCGACTGTCCACGACCTAAAGGAGCTGCACTCACCTCAATGGCTGAGTGTTGGACCGGTGCATACAGTTGCTCCAATTGGCGCATGTGGCCGGAAATAGATGGGATTGATACCATGGACAGAACAGAAGATACAGCGTGACAAGAGCCAATCGAGTTGTCCGAACCGTTACTGTTGATGGTGAGACTGGACAGTGACGGGTCAGAAGTAATGGGATCAGTGCCTCAAGGATTGTAATAAAGGGAGGACATGTAGGGGCCTATATTGCCGCCATGCTGTGGCTGCTGGGGAATAGGCGGCAGATGAGAAAGTGACAGATTGGACCTAGAAAACATATGCTGAGACATGCTCCCATGCTGAGGGACATTGTAGTGCTGTTGCTGCCGCCGCTGGTAGTTATCCCTACTATATGTTGCTGCCACCTGATTACCGTCAACACCATAACCTGAATCATTGTTCATCATATCCCCGTTCCATCGCCCCATCATCACCTCTCATTGAGAACAGGATTGTTGTGGCCTGAGTAGCAAGATCTTGACCATGCACAGCAGTTGCTGGTTTGGCATTATACTTCGGAGAGGACTTCCAGAATGCATTCAGGCTGTCCCACCAACAGAACTTTGCCCAAACACGTTCTTTTCAAATCAATACATAGAACCTGTAAATAAAACCAAAAAAAACATACCAATGGGACTATTGAATTGATCATTAGATGGGTCTCCTCATATAAGGCCGCTCCCAGTCGACCCTAATTCACGCAAGTGTCCCTTGTATGTTTTGCTGAGGCTAACAGGACATGAGCAGATACGTGGAGAGAGAATGTATGTACTTATGTTGTGAGACGATTTTGGACTGCTTCGCCAAATCGTTTGCAATGATGATCAACCGCAATACGGAGGTCGTCACTAGAGTCATGTTTTAAAACATGTCTTGCTATCCTTCAATGCAATGAAGCTTTCATGTACTTGGTAGTCTTCAACACTTCTCGGTTCTCTTCTTTCGCAACAGTAGTAGAATCTGAAAAGAGGACATATCTGCATTTAGGGTGCTTTTCCAGCCACTCAACCAGTTTATCTGTATGAGAATTGGTCCACTTGATCTGGGCAGGTCTAGGGGGATTACCTTGTTTCTGGAGAGTGTGTTCTGATGCTGTCTGACAGCTTGTATCAGTGGTGATGAAATCGCTGGGATCGTCAGAGTAGCTAGTGTCGTATTTGTCGTCAGAGTGCGCCATGACTTGGATAAGAGCGAAGGCAAACTGACAGGGTGGCACCCAGCCTTGCAGCATGTAAAGTTGAAGCGCCAATTATAGTCGGAGTTGTTTAATTCGATTTTTTGAGGAATATACCAAAATATCAGTCCGGTGATCTCCAGGTCTGCTCTTCGGCTATTTTCAAGATAGATGACGTGGCCCAGCTGAAAGCTGGACTGGGGCTTAAGCACTTTAAGCGAGGTCCCTTCGAAACGGACCTTGAACGAGGCTTATGACTAGGGTTGCCAACTCAAACCTTGCTTGGCGGACAAAGTGATTCAATTGTAATTGTAATCTTACTCTCTTCATCTAAGTAATGAAATTTGACACTCGAAATGGAGAGGTTCGAGGCTCCGCGTGCTTACATAAGACATAGTTGAGAGATGCGCGTAGCCACTTTTCAATCTCCGCGATTAGAATGCTTGCTCTCCTTCGGCCTGCAGGAAACTCGTTCGCTTACTTCTTCACTGCAGTAACGCGCCGCACCTCCACAATGGTTTCCCCTCGCTTCATCCCTTCGAGGCTTGATGGAATCGAGGACGTCGAAGACTACCAACCTGGCGGATTCCACCCAATATCGATTGGCGATGACTTTGAACAAGGGCGTTTCAGAGTCCTTCATAAACTCGGATTTGGAGGTTCTTCTACTGTTTGGCTGGCCCGTGATCAGCGGGCAAGGGAAGACCAGGGCAGAATCGTCACTCTCAAGGCAATGCGCTCTGATGTTCCCTCGTCCAGCACCCCGAGCCAAATCCCCGAACTGTCCATTTCCCAGAAACTCAGAGCATCTCTTCCTCATTCCGAGACCATTGGCTTCCAGACTGTCAACCACCATTTCTTCGTACAAGGCCCGAACGGCAACCACCTATTCCTCATATCCCCCTTCGCCGGCCCGAGCATCCTTGCCATGTCTGACTCTCCCGGCCGCGTCGCTGGTAGTCGACGACTACGTGCAGACTTGGCTAGGAAGGTCGCGAAACAAACAGTAGAAACGATACACCACATGCACTGTGCGGGTGTCGTCCATGGAGGTAAGCCATCTTCCCCTTCCTTCCCATTGGCATCCCATCGGCATTGATTGCCGATAAACAATCTCGTCTAGACCTGACCACATCGAACATCCTGTTTCGCCTGTCGCCCCATGTCCTTGAATGGTCGGACACCGAAGTGTACGCTCATCTGGGCGATCCCGAAACGGAGAATGTTAGAACTCGTGACGGGCAACCCTTGGGCCCGAACGCACCAGCTATGCTCATCGCCCCCATCCAGAACTCCAGAATGTCAGACACATCACTTCTTGAAGAAAGCACCATCGTTAGTGACTTTGGCCAGTCCTACGTCGCCGCCTCTCCACCGCCGTCCTATGAGCCAGGAACGGTGTTAAATTACCAGTCACCGGAGGCTCGCTTTGCGGGGCGAGCGAGCTTCGAGGCAGATGTCTGGTCTCTCGGATGCGCCATCTTTGAAATTCGTGCTGGCTTTGCCCTCTTCGAATCGTTCCTGGGGAGTGATATCGACGTTCTCAAACAGACGGTCGAGACGCTTGGACGACTACCTGACCCTTGGTGGGGTGCTTTTGAACAGCGGTCACTATGGTTTGAGGAGGATGGCCAGCCCAAGAGCGAGCAGGATCAAGAACGTGCTGGCGTGCTCCTGAAATCCTACAAAACTTCTATCAGAGCAAAGTTGCTCCAGATAGGCGAGCAGGACGATCCGTCGTCTGAAGACGAAGGACCGATGATAGAAAAACTCGGGGTGCGACTGCCTGAGGAAGAAGTTGATATGTTGGTGGACCTTTTGGAGAAGATGTTGAAGTATAGGCCAGAGGAGAGGATTTGTTTACAGCATGTCATTCGGCATCCGTGGTTTACATTGTAATATTTTTGTCCGTTCTGACACGCCCCTTGCTCTTCACTGTACTTCACTGATTTGGTTTCTCCGCATGGGTATCTCTGTACATGATATATGGATGTAATATTCTTTGCTTATTTGCTGCACCCACAGCGTCTTGGAATGTGTATGCACTCCAAGAATTGTGTTTCGATCCAAAATGTTCACGCCTTGGTGACGGGCAGACGTAATCATCTGATGAAGGATGTGGCCTTGGCTTTGAATACAGAACAACGTACAATACGAATACAATAAACTACATGTGCTTTATCTCAAGAAAAATTGTAGGTCTGAGCACTTTACAAGATAACGAATACTAGGGCTTTCCCTTACTTCCACGCTTCAGTCAATGTCGCGCACATCTTCCTTGCCACTCTCCGAGTCAATCAAAACGAATCCTTTGCCATGCTTGTGCTGGAGCGCCCACAGCTCGGGGTTGGGAGCAGCTGACGTTGCAGGGAGCACCGCGAGCCCAGTGGCATCGATATTGTAATGCAGGGCAAAACCCACGTTCTTCTTGGCTGCGTGGGACAATAAGTCGCGGTGGGCTGGATGTATAGACTAGCTCCTAAACTTACTGTTCACGATGTCGCCCGTGATGTGCGGTACAGTCTTGACATACTTGCCCCCAATGCGGGTCGTATTGTGGATCCCGTGTCTATGCTACTGTCAGGATATATCATGGGCGTAGCAATCATAAGATAAACTTGCCTGATCACAGCTGTGTCCATGCCCTGTGCTTGGGCTGCCTGGGTCATCAACCGCTCGTAAAGCTGTACGAGGTTCTGATTATTCGGCTTGGTACACTTCCAGATGATCTTTACGGCCGCTGACATGGTTTGAAGTAATGGATGTGGGTGTTCACAAGGGGGGTACACAAGCAGGACATTTCCGACGTCAGGCTGGGTTATACACTCTCCCTCCCCGTGAGAACCTCCAGAATATCTGCTCACAGGTCTGCCTCAATCCGGGAAGCAGAAGCCTACACTGTAAAACCAATACTATCGTTGGACACCGGATGCAACCGGTAAGAGAGATGCACTTGGGCCTCCACAGGCTGAACGATTGCCGCACAGGTAGCTAGAAAACTGTCAGATGTGGAATAGAGTATAAGGAGTATATCTGTGAATGAATATAATGAATATCTTACATGCAGCGACAACGATAGACCTGACACTAACCTCTTGATCTCCAAAAGTGTGGACTTCGAGGGAAAGATGCCCGGATTTGACCAGATCTCGTGCTGGGGATATCACGGTTTCGTCCTAGGAAGCGTCAATAGGTTAGCGCCTACGATGCCAAGCTGATTGGTGCCCCGAGGCGTCTGGAGACATGAGAACAATGATCAAGTCGTGACCAGCGCAACCGTAACAGGCAATAATTATGCACCAAGATAATGAATCAAGCAAGACCTAGCAAGACCCGCCTGCAGCTCCGCTTCCATCAGCCACCAGAGGAACTTTCCACATACACGTCCAATAATGGAATATACTAGAAAAATATAATGCCGAAAGGATATTAGCGACACATTATTGAGTTGCGCCTAACCTAGGGGGCAGGCGACGAATGACTGGCCGTTTAAACTCACACGGTCTTGCACTAAGTGTCGTAAACAACCCAAGCCGAGGATAAATTTACCGCCGGCCGTAAAGTCATCAAATACAATCAAGCTACCATATCCAACTTCATTGATAACGGTTCTGACCAACGATACGTCTACCATATGATATCTGTATGGTGCTAGTCAGCCATATGAGTAACCCATATATCGACAGCAGTAGTACATAATATTTGTATGGTTCTGGCCAGCCATATGAACAAACTACATATCAGAAAGCAGAACCATATGTTACCATATAATATTTGTATGGATCTGGTCCACCATATGGTTTTTTATGGTTCTCACTGGCCATATAAGCAACATTTCAGTTGACAGTACCATATGATATCTGTAGAGATGTGGTGCACCATATCAGTAACCTGTGTATCATATGTCAGCACCATATGGTGTTGTATGGTTCTAGCCAGCCATATAGGCAATTGACATATCAGGCAACAGTACCATATGATATCTGTACGGTTCTCATTGACAATATGAGCAACTCACATATTGGATAGTAGCACCATATAATATTTGTATGGATCCTGTGTACCATATGATATCTGTATGGTTCTCACTGACCATACAGGCAACCCACATATTGGATAGTAGCACCATGTATGGTTGTAACTGACGATATGGGTAGCCTCCATATTGCATAGCAGCACCATATGGACATTGTACGGTTCTGGTGAGCCATATGAACAACTCATATATCGGACAGCAATACCATATAACATCTATGTGGTTCTAGCTATGTATATCCCCACCCCGCGTATGAGACAATAATCCTGTGTTCAATCCCTGCCTACTGCATGCCAGTGTTTTGGTATGGGCCAAGACTCTGGCGCTGTAGGCAGTCGTGCAGTTCCTGCGGTCACCAAACACTTCCTTTCTTGGTAATCAACGTGCCACTCCACTTCATCATTCAATCTTGATCAAGCTTAATCTGTCGCAAATACAATTACTCGGGGCACCATGGTACTCTAAACCCACTTGCTGTCAGAATAGGACTCTCACCGTGAACTCTTGTCGCTGTCGCTGTCAGATTCAAACACAGGATCATTCGAAATTGCATGAGCACCACTGGACCCAAACACCTCCTTATCCTCGCCGTCTTTATCATTTAATTTGTGCAGCATGTTGATTGCAGATGATACAAATTTACGAAGGAATTCTTTCTTGACGTTGACCCACAGTTTGTGAGTATACAAACTATTGATGTCAACGCCAAATTCACGAGCAGTGTCGTATAGGAAATATCGCAAGCAGTGTCATGCACCAAAGTTGATTGGTAGCATGGACAGGTGTCAATAACAAAGCGAATATTCAAAAAGACTCGCCTTTGCGCCACACAGGCACAGTGCCACGTGGAATAGTAATTAATATTGCCCTTTTGAACTTGTGGCTGATCAGCACCACCTCTATTAGGCAATCCAGTCACGCTCACCTTTGCTTTTCCATCTGGTACTTTCCGCGTTTCGGCATTTTGGCAAATTTTCGCATCGCCACTGGCTACACATTGCATTGCGCCCTCGCTTTTGTCGTTTCCCTTACTCCCCTTCCTTTGCCTAGCCCCACCATGGGCCCCTTCCTCTCCTTTTTATTCTCAACTGACGGTCGTTTCTGGATCCCCATTCTAATCCACTTGTTTGTCACCTCCACCCTCCTCCTCCTCATCTTATTTGCACCCCCACCATTTCTGATGTCACCACTTCCTATCCGCTTCCGTCGCCGATCCATTGACTACCACGTGCCACTGCTGATATCAGCAAAGCCCCGGTGGCCGGTCCAAATAGGGCAACAGGTCCATCTTCATGACGTCGATCTGCCATCATATACTATCAAAACATCGGTCGCTCGTCTTGCCTGGTTGGAGCGTGGGTGGGTAATTTTTGAGCTGGAGAAGGTTCATCCCCTTGCGTCGCCCATGTTCATCGCTGTCCCATTCACTTGGGTACACTTATCTTTTGTCCATCGTCTTCGCTACAGCTACACCTACCACACGCTGCCTGGGACTCACTTGTTCCAAATTGGAACTACTCCTCTCCCTCCCTCATTTGATCAGGTGGTCCAACACAACCAGTCCATTGGTAAGGCCATGGAACTGTCGGATTTGGACTAGGTGGTGGACCGGTGGTTCCAGTTTCTTTTTCTTCAGCAGAACATTCATTTACAGTGTGATTATTTTTGATTTTTGAATCATTTTTATGGACACATATTTTTTTAGAATGCCTGACTGACAATAAAGGAACTGTGTTGATACTGATAGTGTTTTGCCTTGCCCTTTTTTTACTGCATCTTCCCATGACATCATGATTTTCCTGCTCTCTTTTTGCTATTGGACTTTACTTTATGGCTGTACAAACCTGTGACATTACTCACAGCATTCATTGTTCTATCTCTTTCTTTTCCTTTTTTTGACAATCTTATCCTGTACTACCTATGCAGGATTTGTCAGCGTACATTCCTTCCTTCATGTTCTTTCTCATTCTTTTTGCACAGCTATACTGTGCATAGCCTACTTTTCTTTTACTATATAAACCCCTGTATTTTACCTTGTAAAAATAGAGAACAAGAACTCCAATCCAGACTTCTTCTCTACTCTCAAGTTCACTACTCTGCTACTTGTGATCCAGTGTGGTCACAACACTTCCCACTTTTACCACTGTCAACTGCTGTCATCGTCACTTCCCACTTTTGAAGTCATTGTCATCCCTTTCGATTAGAGTCCTTCTGAGCACTACAGTTTGTGTGTCAGGAGCCTGCTATCACTGGGAACCTCGTCATATTGTTGTTCTCAAACCTACCTTGTGCTACGATTAGCAAGGTAGTGCTCGTCTATACTCGTCACAAAGCCCCTATCCTTCTATAAATTCAACTATCCCTCCTCCTCAAAACCCACACTCATACACCTCTGGGTTTTACTTTGAAGGATCTTTATACGTACCACCCCACGAACAACCAGACCACTCCACTGTTCTAGGAGGCAAAGCCCATAAACAAGTTCCGTGGAATCTGGGAGGATTGTGTGTTAGTTTGATTTGTGTGTGGTTTTCTAACTGCAGTTCTCATCATCGACAACGTGTTCAGGAATTGTATCCTCATGATGAGGTACAATCCTGAACAAGGTGTTTTATTAGTGTATCCAGGCTTTACTGGGGCTTGGAGCTGGTTGGCGAGATGCCTACTACCAGTCCCTACCCAGTGTGCTGGCTAGCTGGAAGCGATGTCCAGTCTCTGATCTGTGATATAAAGTGGTAGCGATGGTTAAGAAAGCCTGTGAGGGCTATGAGAAGTAAGATGGCAAAGGATACCTCTAGCCCTAGAGCCAGAGGTGTAACGGGAAAAGTGTTCGAGAACCAAGACATAGCGAAGATAAGAAAATAATAAAATGGTCCTTACACATCTTGGATTTCGATATGTGACCCCAAATTTTGTGCGGATGGTTCTGTGATGCCATATGAATATGGTTTCGGCTATCCACTTGGGAGTACAGGAATGACAAGAGAAGTGTTTGGTGTACGACTACCATAGAGCGAATTTACCGCCGGCTGTGATATTGAAGTGGCTCAAAGCCGTGAACAGCCCACACTGTGGGAACGTACACATTTCAACGGTATGGGATGTGTAGGCTATCCGTAACCTAGGTAGGACATGCGTACAATAAAAAGCTGTTTTTATATGATTGAGGTCGGTCCAAGGATACCGCGATGAGGTTTTACGTAGTTATTTGAGGTACGGCGTTCAGGTATCATAGGGACGTAGTAAGGATGTTCAACAGATATATGCCACTAGACACATGGGCGCTCTCGTAGCTAGATGTAGGACAGACATATGAGACCACACATCCGCCCTATAAGCATGTAATATTGTCTAGACACCTGGTCGATAAATCTGATTATTGTAAGGACCGTTTTATTATTTTCCTATCTTCGTTATGTCTTGGTTCTCAAACGCTTTTCCCGTTACACCTCTGGCTCTAGGGCTAGAGGTATCCTTTGCCATCTTACTTCTCATAGCCCTCACAGGCTTTCTTAACCATCGCTACCACTTTATATCACAGATCAGAGACTGGACATCGCTTCCAGCTAGCCAGCACACTGGGTAGGGACTGGTAGTAGGCATCTCGCCAACCAGCTCCAAGCCCCAGTAAAGCCTGGTAATACTAATAACGCCTTATCTAGAATCGTACCTCATTATGAGGATACGGTTCCTGACCATGCGTGACAATCTTCTATTATTAGTACAAGTCTCTCACCTGCTGATTAATCAAGTCAGAAGTCGTACGATAGTTACCTCCCCTTTTTCTTATTGGTTGATTAATCCCTCAGACCACTTTTCGTATATTCTCTTTTCGGTCTGAGGCACGGACAGTTCCCTATATAAAGCCGTACCTATTCATGTATAGCTCCTTAGCTTTCTATTACTGAATTTACCCGCTTTACTCCTCAACAAGAACCTTTGAAGCTTACCCCTCAAAAGTCCTCTACTCGCTATATTTACTAGCGTCTGTCGACCTCAAGCTCATTGGACCCTTACTCCCTGCAAGTGCAGAAGGAGATAGGTTTAGTTCTTGTTATAGTTTATCGTTGCCTCACAATTATAAACTAATATCTGTTCTCACTATCTCAAATCCTTGTGTCTGAATGTAAGAACGAGCGAGTAACACAGCTTATTGTCCACCAAAATACAATACATAAATTTGTAGTGATAAACAACATATTTATGTGCAAGCGTGATCCATTAAATAAAGACGCAGAGCTCAAATACATATTTTAAGTCGAAGATACAACAGCGTGAGGGAAAAATAGACCTGCATGTTTACAGGAATTGGACCATATCCGCTCAAGAATTTCCTCTTTGCTTGTAATGGGCTTCTAATTGTCATCTGAGCAGTCTTCCAACCACCGCTCAATAAACTGACCTTGCAGCAGAATTCTTGGGTCCCATTTGGACCATGAGCCATTTGGAAAGTACGGGTTGGCACCAATGAATGCGAGCCAAAATGCATTTCGACCCCACGACCAGTGCTGCGACTCCTTGGGGATAGTGACAAGCCACTCCTGAATTTGCCTGGACAGCAAAAACCAATGATGTGACCGTAAGTGGTTGAATAAATGTGAGAGCGGTAGAAAATTGACAAGAATGTCCGCAAAGGGGCTCGAGGATTTGCAATCATTGTCTATAAAACATGTCTATCAAAGCTATATAAGAACATATATGGTTTAAATAAAAAGAGGGAAATGCTCACATCACCAGAATGCAGTGACTGCTCTGACCCGAAATAATTCCAGGAGACCACTTGAACAACTGGGGTTGCAAGTGATTTGTATTCTTCTGCTAGAGTTACAGAAAATTGAATGGCCTATAAGATAATGCACAGGATTAATCAACAAAAAGGCAATGAAGGGAAGTCTAGATACTTACAATGCCACCATCAACAAGATGCCTTGATAGAACACCCGGAAAACAGATGGTGACAACCACTGGCTGCAGGAATGCATCATCAGTGTCCGTGAACTGGATTTCAGGAAAAATTGTAGAGGTGTCAACATTGTGGGGGATGGAGTTGTGTTGAGGGGAGTTGGGTGACAAAACCGGATAAACCCGGTCTCTGCCGAAGCAGCCATTGTTCTCCATGGAGTAACCATTGTTCTCCTAGGAACACAATTGTACTCCTAGGAGTCATTATACTGTAGCGAGTAGCACCTCCGACTATAAGTAGTAGGGGGTTTAGTATAGGAATACCTCAGTCGTTTCTATAGCCTCTCGGGCAGCGGCTGAGGTATGTTACATTACATTTATTAGAGATCACCTTAAACTAACATCTATTGTAGTTTCACTTAGGTAAATAATAAAGTCGTTTCTATAGCCTCTAGGGCAGTGGTTGAGTTTCACTTAGGTTTATTAGGTTATGAGCCCTGGTGCGCAAAAGCTATGCAGGAAATAATTCTTATTTGAAACGGCAACCTTGGAACCATGACCACAGCACGCGATACATCCGCATGTCCAGTTCTCACTGGACCCAACAATTTTCAGACATGGAAACTCCGGATCATCTCAAAGCTACGTCGGGAAAAAGTTCTCCGGGTTGTTACTGGAGAGGAGCTTAAGCCCTCACCAGGAAAACCTACCTCCTCGGAGGATCCTGAGATCCCCTGGATACTTAAGGATGAAAAGGCACATGGAATCATCCAGGACCACATCTCTGATGCCCTCCTAATGAGGACTGGAGACCTCACCAGCTCCAAGGAGTTATTTGATAAACTTGTCTCACTCCATCAAATGTCCAACATTGCCTCGGCCTTCTATTCATTCTAGCAACTCACCAAATTGTCCTGGGATGGGACAACACCTATCCAGGACCACATTGCGAAAATCCGGACAATTGATTCACACCTCTCCGGAATGAAACTAGGAGTTGATACCAAACTCATGGCTTTCGCTCTTCTCCAATCTCTCCCATGCACTCCTGAATGGCAAATATTTCAGTCATCAGTAATCAACACGATTGAAGAAAATAAACTTACCTTAGATGCAGTCGAGATCCGGATCACTGCAGAAGTTGCACAACAGTCAGGGAAGGCCCCTGGAGGTTCCAAATCAGCACTCAAATCCGAGGAGAAATGGTGTAACTTCCACAAAGCCAAATCACACAACACCTCGGAGTGTCAAACACTTCAGTCAGCTGAAAAAGGTCAAAGGAAGAAGGGAAAGGAAAGGCACAAGGATAAAGGAAAAGAGAAGGAAAAGGCAAATACGGCAGAGCAATCATCTGGATCTGACTCCGAGGAGGAACAGAGTCATATTGCATTGGAATATGTACATATTTCCAAGCCCCTTGCTAAACGCATTCAAGCTTACCTTGTGTCGGAACCCGATAAGACCAAAACAACAATTATTATTGACTCCGGAGCAACATCCCACATGGTCCCTCACCGCTCCTGGTTTGAGCCAGGAATATACCATGTTCTGCATCCTCCGAGGACAATCAGTTTTGGGGATGAATCCTCTGTAAATGCCATTGGCATTGGAACAGTAATCCTACAAGCAACTGTTGGCAAAAAGAACTACAATATTGCACTGTCAAATGTCTTACTTGTGCCAAACTTCACTTTAGCACTCGTCTCTGTCCACAAATTGTCCAAAACGGGGTTATCAACACTTTTTCCAGCAGGGTCAAATGCTTGTGAAGTTCGGAAAAAGGAGGAACTTATCCTCACTGTGTTACACAAGCGAGGACTTTATCACATCCAAGCAAAACTCGAAATCAACCTGGAGTCAGCTTTTGCAGCAGTAGATGTAAATTTATTGCACAGGAGAATGGGACACATTGGAATGGACCGCTTGCAATGAATGGTTACAAAAAGACAGCTCCAGGACATAGACACCCTTACCGGAACCCCGGAGTTTTGTGAACCTTGTGCTTTAGGAAAGATGAAGAAATTACCTTTCAAGTCCACTGGAGGAAACCAAGCCAAGCATCCCATACAAATTGTGCACACAGATGTTGGAGGACCAATCAAACCAACTTCCAGGGAGGGTTTTCGGTACTGGATTATCATTGTAGATGATTTCTCCAAATTTCCATGGATATATTTCCTAAAACATACAAGTGAAGCACTGGAACGATACAAGCAATGGAAAGAAGATGTCCAAACATTCTTCTGGACTCATTTGGGAGAAGAAAACTTCACTCCACTATACACAGAATTCCTCCGGAGCGATGGGGGAGGAGAATATACTGGCAATGCATTCAAAAATCAACTCCGAGGAGATGGTGTCATCCAAGAAACTACAGCTGCAGATACTCCGGAACAAAATGGCATTGCAGAACGCATGAATCAGACATTGGCTACATTAGCAACCACTATGCTCTATGATTCCAAGCTCCCAAAATCATTTTGGGTAGATGCCATGCAAACAGCTGCATATATCACAGCACGCAGCCCAGCATCAGGACTCCATGGAAAGACCCCATATGAAATACTGTTTAAAAGGAGAGTTGATCCAACTTTGTTTTGCCCTTTCGGATGCCAAACATATGCCTTGATTCCGAAAGACAAAAGGCAAGGGAAGTTTTACTCCAAGGGGCGCAAAGCCATAATGATTGGCTACACACATGGAAAGCAAGCCTACAAACTCCTAGACACTGAAAAATGGACTGTGTTTTCCAGTCGGCATGTCATATTCAATGAATCCGGAAAGGTACAAAAGGATGACACTGCTCCCTGGAACACAGACACTAGCACAGATCAGTGGGAGGGACTCATTCCAGAGAATGCTCACTATCCAGACCAAAAAACATTGGAGGAGGATGATCCTGACCCTTGGATCCGAGATCCAAATGAATTGCAAATGGAACCACATCTCCAAGGAGATGTTCCACAAGCAATGGAACCATATCAGCATGAAGATGTTCCGAAAGCAGTGGGGCAATACCTCCGTGGAGACGTTCCGAGAGCAGTGGGAGCACCTGATCAGCTAAGACACCCTCCACAACAGTCTCTACAACCAAGACCTGAACACTGGCCATCTTCAGAACTGAAAGCCAAAGTAGAGTTACAGTCAGTGGGAGGACAGCCCCTCAACATACAGCCAGCTGATGTGGAAAAAGTCCGAATACAGCTAGACAGCCTGTCCATTGGATCAGCTTCTGGAAGGCATACAACACCTCGAAGGAGTCATCCAACACCTCTGAGGAGTGATCCAACACCTTCAGGAGTGAGTGGGGCAATAAATACACAAATGTGTCTACTCCCTGGAGTACCTGCACAAGTTCCTAAAAGAGCAGTTGTGCCTGCTGAAGTCCTAGGAGTACGCAGAAGCAGTCGCCAGACCCGTCCTGCAGACAAAAACCGAGATTATCAAAGGACTCTAGATGAGGAACAGTCTCGAAAAGAGCAGCATAACAACTCCATGGAGAAACCTAACACTCCTGAGGTTCATGAAGAAACATCTGATACAGAGGAGACATTCTTTGCTGGAATAGCAAGTACCGGTCCATCTAACACAGACCTTCCAAGGACACTAAAGGAAGCCTTATCACATCCGGATGGAGAATTATGGAAGTCTGCCTTGGAGGAGGAACTCCTCAGTCTCAATACTAATGCAGTATATGACACTGTTCTACTTCTGAAGGGAGTAAAACCCATCACATCAAAACCTGTGTTCCGGATCAAGTTTCATCAAAACGGAAACATTGAGAGATACAAACTCCGGATTGTTGCACGAGGTTTTACTCAAAGGGAGGGGATTGATTACCAGGAGATTTTTGCTCCGGTTGCAAACTTAGAGTCAATCCGAATTATTCTAGCCCTGGCAGCAAAGTACGACCTAGAACTTGATCAAATGGACGTATCCACAGCTTATCTGGAGAACTTGAAGAAGAACTGTACATGCTTCCTCCAGGGTGTGTTCCTATCCAACCTGGATACTGCTGAAGATTGAAGAAATCCATCTACAGGTTAAAACAAGCTGGTCGTACATGGAACAAAACTTTTGATCGCAAGCTCCAGGAGCTTGGTTTCACAAGACTAAATGCAGAAATATGTCTCTATGTATTCCAGGACAACAAACAAATATGCTTTGTTGTTGTCTATGTAGATGACCTCCTCCTAGGAGCTTCATCCCGAAAATTCATGGATATCACAAAAGCCAAACTCGAATCCATATTCAAAATGCAGGACCTTGGAGAAGCAAAATACATCCTCAGAATAGAAATCCAACGTGATCGTTCAAACAAAACAATATCCCTGTTACAATTAACATACCAGCACCTACTTATGCTTCACTTTTGTACTTCTACTTTTATTTTCCAAGTCACATGACCAGTCATGTGACACATCACCTGACCAGTGTCTAGACTCATTATGTGACCGGTCACATGCTAGACATTGGACTTTGAACTTTATTTACAACTGTACAGTACCTCATGTATTTTAGTATATATACAAGAGCAATACATGGGGAAGGACTCAGCGAGTCCTCCTGTTGTCTAGCACAACTAACTCACTGCAGCCTAGGGGGTAACCACTCCCCATCATCTTCTTTATAGTGTGTTCCTGTGTGCGCCAGAGTAAATAACTCTTGGTTGTTACAATCCCTATTGCAACGCCAATACATTGACACAGTCCTGGAGCGTACTGGAATGAAAAACTGCAAACCAGTATGGACACCAATGGCCCATGGATCAAAACTCCTTGCAAATGCTCCAGGGGAAGATATTGTGCAACACGAGATGCATATTGAAGGGCGTCAAGTGTCATACCTCTCAATTGTAGGCTCCCTCATGTATGCCATGCTCGGAACCCGCCCAGGCATTGCCTACGTTGTTGGAATACTAAGCAGGCATAGCTCAGCTCCAAGGAGCCATCACTGGGAAGCTGCAAAATGTGTCCTCCGATATCTGAAAGCAACCAGGGACATGGAACCACGATATGATGGCACAGATGTCTCCATGGACATGGATTTCTATGGATATTCAGATGCAGATTGGTCTGGAGACCCAGACACGTCTCGATCAACATCAGGGTTTGTCTTTATCACCATCCGAGGAGCAATCTCCTGGACAAGCAAAAGACAAAGCATGGTAGCTTTATCCTCCACGGAGTCAGAGTACATTGGATTGAGCAATGCTGGACAACACCTTGTATGGCTTCGGACATTTTTTGAAGAAATTGGACATGCTCAAAATGGACCTACAACATTGCACTGTGACAATCAAGCAGCTATCATTCTTACACGAGATCCACAGTTCCGTGCTCGCACAAAACACATTCAACGGAAATATCATTTTATCCAAGATGACTTAGTATCAAAGGGAGAGGCAGTAATCAGATATGTTCCTACAGGAGATATGGTTGCAGACATTCTCACTAAACCCCTCACTCATGAAAAACACTGGAAATTCTCTAAAGCTATGGGACTACGGTTGCACTCGAGTGGGAGTGACAAAACCGGATAAACCCGGTCTCTGCCAAAGCAGCCATTGTTCTCCATGGAGCATAGCCACCACTCCATGGAGTAACCATTGTACTCCTAGGAGTCATTATACTGTAGCGAGTAGCACCTCCGACTATAAGTAGTAGGGGGTTTAGTATAGGAATACCTCAGTCGTTTCTATAGCCTCTCGGGCAGCGGCTGAGGTATGTTACATTACATTTATTAGAGATCACCTTAAACTAACATCTATTGTAGTTTCACTTAGTTTTATTAAATTTAACTGACTCTTCTGCAGGTCTGCAGGAACTTGTGGACTAGAAATGGGGCTCAAGATCATCCCACTAGACACAAGGTGGACTTCAACATCTTCTACAAGGACCTCCTGGAGGATTTGCAACGGGTAAGGTTGTTTCTCATATTCTCTGTATATTTGCTAACCCTTATTTTAGAAATATGCTTCAGATGCTGCTATTATGGTGAGTACCACAATATTTTATTGGTCTGCTAGTACTAATATTATACTATTTTGATTCTAGAAACTCAATGCAAAGGCATAATCATTTTGGTTCAGCAAATATCATTGTATTCCGTTTTCATTTGTTTTTGATGCTTCCCAATAAATCAATAGCTTTCGCTTTCAATTGTTTTGAGTCTGAATGGTCCTGAAATCAAAGAAAGACAATGATTCAAAACAATATATTTAGTGTAAATATTCTACAATAGCTGACAATAATATTTCAAGGATTGAAAGGGTCATTCTGGTATTTAGATAGATACAGAATGATATATTCGGTGACAATCATTTTCTATCGGCCTAAATATTGTCGTTTCCGACTGGGGTTGAGGCTGTTGTGGATGTTTGACTTACTAAGCTGTCGGTTAAAGCAACTATCTGTTCGATTCTGTTAACATGTCTGTAACTTCTTGATACTATTACTTAGACATCAACTTGAATGCAGTCGTAACTTGAAATGAATCCATTCCCTGAATGTCTTTGGTTGCTCAGAATCAGAGTCGGGGACTGGCGCGCTTGGAGCGCCGCTGCGATATTGTAACGCAGGGCTAACCCCACGCTCTTGCGAGGGACAACTTGAATAACTCGCGCCTGAGCAGACAGTGCGGCTGAATCCGGTCGGCAGTCAGATCCCTACTTACCATTCTACCAAATGGTGCGCGATTCCGAGTACCATACTTGCAGACCTGCAGGCCAACAAGGGAAAGCCAATTAATGAATTATGTTCTATCATGTTGGGATTCCCCTTCCAAGGTGCCGTACACGCGAGGACCTTCATGATGACGTTTTCGACGTCAACGCAAAATCTTTAATTCATTGCCATTGTGCCTACTATTTACATTAACCACCAATCAACCATGCGTTTCCATCTTCCAAGTCCCGCTCTCATATCTCTCCATAATCTTCGCATATGTTTTACTTTGAGCATTTCTCCGCCTTTCTCATCTTTAGCTCAATTTGACGGTCCCCGACGGTCGGGCGGCCCGCTAGGATCGAGCTCGAAGCTCCTTCGTGGTACCGCAGAATCACCTGCTCATGCTGGAACCCCTGGAGTACGGCCGCGTACCTTGCTTCAGAATAGCCACGTCCATATATTAAGTCGTGATAGAGTCAGACAAAGTTGCTGTGAGCAAATCATGTTTTTGCGTGTTCTCACTGTACTATTTCTCTGGGTGTTATCCACCGTGACCAACGTACCAGTATATGCATATGTCGACAGCACAACACTTTCCAATATCAACTCTGAACCTCTTTTTCGCAGGAACTCCACAGGTTTAACGGATGCAGTAACTTGGGACCCTTATTCACTTTCGATCCTCTCCCAGCGCACGTTCATTCTGTCAGCAGAGATACATCCCTGGCGTGTGCCCAATCCCAACCTCTGGGCAGACTTGTTTCAGAAGATCAAAGCCAATGGTTTCAATACCGTATCATTCTATGTGCATTGGGCTCTTCATTACCCCACACCCGATACTGGAGGTGGAAAGGGTGACTGGGAACAGGGTACATATAGGGACGTGCAGATGTTCATTGACGAGGCAAAAAAAGCGGGCTTGTGGATGATTGCTCGGTGCGTGTATACTGAGAGGCTATTCACTATGCATCACTGCTTATCGAGTCGCATAGACCTGGACCATATATCAGTATGTCTGTTTGTGGAGCCCGATATATGCATGCATAAACAGACTAAGCATCTTGAACAGACGGCGAAACGACTGGAGGCGGTTTTCCAGGTTGGGCTGGGAACATTGCCGGCTCTTTGAGGGACAATAATCCAAACTATACGCAAGGTAAAAAAAATTTTATATAATTCCCATACGTGTTTTTCACCGGTAAAACTAGCCTGGACACCGTATCTGAATTCAATTGCCAAGATCATCGCACGGAATCAGATCACGGAAGGCGGGCCAAGTGCGTCTCACGTTGAATAATCAGTCTTATAGCTGCTCACCTATGAAATTTAATTCAATTTTGAACTCATTTAAAACTGATACATATCCATTTTGCGCTGCATATAGTCATACTCGTTCAAGCCGAGAATGAGTACAGTGTTGGTCCGAACAATGATCCTTACATGCAGGCCATCATTGACACATATCGAGGCAATGGAATTACAATCCGTGTGTACTTTTTCTTTTGCGTCATAGGCTGTTTTCATCTTTGATCTGTGTCTTTTCTTCGCTCATTTTTAACGCGAAATTATTTCAGCTATCACATTCAACGATCAACACGGCGGTGCAGCGGGAAATTTCAGCCCGGATGAACCTGGAACGCACGTTAACATCTATTGGTACGTGCTTCTTTTATTGTGAATCTGGTCTAAAAGTAACCTGGTGCGTTGCTGTATACCACAAATATCTTGTGTTCCTATTCACATCGTGCTTTCAACATCAACTATCTTGCTTACCTCCAAATATCTACATACAGCGGTGATTCTTACCCTCAGGGTCAGAACAGTTGGTCTGAAGTACAGACAGTATACTATTCAGACCATGAGGCGGTTGCGTGGAGCAATCCTTTGTGTCTTTCTGAGGTAATTGTTTTCTTCTTTACCTATATAAATACATATCTGATAATATACCTCTCATCGTCATCCTACCATATCTTCGTGCTGTTCACCTTTTGTTATATCCTTCCACTACATACTCAGTTTGGTGGTGGATACATCGTAGGCTGGGGCCAAGTCGCGCGAGGAGGAACAGGCTATGAGAAGTACTGTAAGTCGCTCCCGTCTTTCTCTCTCATTGTCATTATAATATTCCTTCTCATAGCGATGGATTTGACGAACGCCGCATATGGTATTTTATATTCCTGTACGGGGCAAGTAAAAACTAACAAAATACTCACTCGTAGAGGACGTGTTCTACAAAGACACATAGTACGTTTCTTTCTCTGATGTTATATCAACAACAATAAAGGCTAATATATTCTCGCTGTGGTTTTCGAATGCTAGCGCACAGACTGCTACTATTCTTAGTGAGTTTTTTTTTCTTTTCCTTTACTTTTACATTTAAACTAATTGGTCTACTTATGCAGGTATATATAGTATATCCTGATTCTTTTATTTTATCTTCTCGTCGACTGATTTTGTGTCTCATGTAGTACTCTTTGGTGGTACGAACTGGGGTCAAACGGCCGAGCCAACAGTATATACAAGTTATGACTATGGAGCTGGTAAGTTTTCTGTATTCGAAAGTATTAGATACAGTGCGACGAGTTTCGGTCCTAGGTATCAACGAAAACCGTGTCGCAGGGCCAAAGATGAATGAGATGAGGTTACAAGGTGATTGATCCTTCCGTCTTGACTTTTCTTCACAGATACTGAGACCTTATGTAATGTAGGACTCTTCCTCCGTGTTTCGAGGGACCTCCTTAGTTCTACTCTCATTGCAAACGGAACAAACTTCACATCTTCGTCGTCTGTGCATACAGCTGAACTGAGGAACCTCGACTCGGGGGCAGCATTTTATATCATAAGGCAGAATGACACGATGTGGGTTATTATTTACTATTTTTGATATGCGGTCAGTATCTCCGAGTTACATCTCGGAAACCAGTTGGAGCGTAAAGTCGATCTGACGAGCCGCTTTTCGCGTCCTGAACCTCTTCGGGTTTATTACTAATGATCTACCTTTGTTCCACAGACCAACTACCTTAACTACGACCAAGCTGAACGTTACTACTTCTTCCGGCTCACTCACCATTCCAGTGCAAGGAAACCTTGTCCTCGATGGTCATGAGAGTAAAGTCTTGGCTATTGATTACGTTTTTGGGATTTCTGGGACGAGAATCTTATATTCCACCACAGAGTACGTTCTTTCCTGTCTTTTTAGGCTGATGGTGTCTAATTATGGCTTGTTTAAAGAATCATGACATGGACGACGTAAGTGACCTGTGTAAAGAAAACCTGACCACATTTCATCTTTGTCTGTGCTTTAGTATCGACAACACAGATTATATCATATTATACTCCATGTCCGGTCAAACCGGTGAAACTGCCTTCCGTTTCGCTTCTGAGCCAGATGTAAATATCATCAACACATCCGACACGCATATCTCGACCAGCTACACCGATGGAACGCTCACGCTTAACTACAACCTGGTAGCTTCAATGCCAGTTGCAGTCGTTGGTATTGGCGAAGATGTCAAGTTGCTAATCATGGACAAGGCAAGTGCGGCGCAATGGCACGCGCCACTCATTGAAGGCAGCGGGGCATTTAGCAACTACTTTGGTGTTGGGACAAATGAGACGTGAGTATCTAACTTGATGGGACATTGTAGAATATGTACGCACTGATGATGTAGAGTGCTCGTTGGTGGGCCATACCTCGTGAGGAGTGCAGAGTTGTCAAGACATACTCTTTCATTGGTTCGTTTTCTTTTCGTATATGCTCTTCGAAGTACTGAACTCAGATACCCATTCAGCAAGGTGATTTGAATGGTACTACCATTGTCGAAATTTTCTGTCCTTCTGCGGTGTCGCAAATACGTTGGAACAACCAAATTGTTGACGTGACACGTACAACATATGGGTCCTATCAAGCAAAAATAGAAGGCGCTCAACCTGTTACACTACCTGAATTTGGTGAATGGAAGGTTAGCGGAAGGTGTGTTTTACCCCCTTTTTATATTCTGCTTGTATAATGCTAACCTTGACCAAGTTTACCTGAAATATCCCCCGACTTTGATGACTCCAGCTTCGTAACGGCGGACTTGACTACTACCAATGTTCGTTTCGTGACCTGTCTGAATAGCTTTAGCTCTGAAGTTTCTGTTTCCTTAGTACACTAATCTCCCCCCTCTAGCTGGTGAATATGTACTATACTCGCAGCAATACGGGTAGGCTTTCGGATATTCTTCTGCTTTCTAAAATATATTCATGCGATATTTAGGTTCTATGGCGGCAACCTGATCTTCCGTGGCCATTTTACTGCCACAGGACAAGAAACGGCTTTCAATTTAACTGTTCAGGGTGGTTATGCTTTCGGGTACTCAGCGTTCATCAATGGGGTCTTCCTTGGCTCGAACCAAGGAAATTTGACGATCAGCCAAACCACAGATATATGGCAGATACCTAACGATGTCCTCCGCATAGGCGATGATAACGTCCTCGTCGTTATACAAGGTATTTTTTCCGACGCATGTTGTAATAACCATCGCTCACTGAGTGTTGTTGACAGACCATATGGGGTACGTTGTTCTTTGTAGACTAATCTAATTGATCGGTGTCTCATGCTTGTTCACTTCGTAGCATTGTAGAAACTAGCAGTGAGTCCTTTTCGATCATCACCTTGGTCTCTTGTTGACTTTAGAGTGCAGCCAATTCAGGAAAGGAACCTCGGGGTATTAGAGGTTATGCTATCATCGGTGGAAACAGTACTTTCAAGTACTGGAAATTACAGGGCAACTATGTAGGCCTGCTCTTTTCTAATTACATTTGGACCCTTGATTTCATCACGCTATGTAGGGTGGGGCTGCAGATGCACCAGATACATTCCGCGGTTACCTTAATGAAGGTGGATTGTATGCCGAAAGAATTGGCGCCCATTTGCCTGGCTATCCTGATGAATCGTGGCAAACTGGTACACCCCTTTCAGGAGGAGGCGTGAAGAGTGCCGGCATCAATTTCTATCGGACTACGTTTAGTTTGGTTCGTGCATAGCCATTTGTTGCATTGATTTGGGCTAATAATTATGTTTATATTATAGCCCTTACCCATGGACGTGGACGTCCCTGTCCGTTTATCTATCACTCCAAGTGACATCACTTCAAATTTCCGTGCGCAAATTTACCTGAACGGTTGGCAACTTGGGAAATACGTGAACAATCTTGGGCAAGTTACCCATCTGAAGAATGACGTTTCGCACAGGACGCTTACTTTGGTTGTTTTTTTGTTTTCCTAGTCCTCAAACTGTATTCGTGTTACCTGCGGGGTGAGTTATTCTACGTTAAGAAAAGGGTTCTTGAATCATATTTGTGTGCCATCTTGCAGTCTACTTCAAAGGGAGTCGCCGAACAAGCTCGCTCTTTCACTGTGGTCCCTCGACAAAAATGGATCCTCGATCGCAGGAATAGGTTTGATTTTGGATGGTACTTTCACTACAGCACTACAAATCTCAGATTATGTTTCTGCGCCCGATTACGCCCAGCAGGAACATCTACGCCCTCAAGGCGAATACGTTCAACCGATGTAGTGAAGGGTATCTGCAGTGTATGCAGTACGACACGTCTATAGTTGCCATGTTCAGTTCACATATCAACTTGAATTACACCGACTATCAGATCGTCTCTGTAGTAATACACATTGACATTTAGAAATATATGTATGAAATATATGTACAAAGGCTTGTACTGGATGGTGTTTGCTACACATCAGTGTGCGAAGTAGGAAAATAGTGGGCTCACAATATTGTTCTACCAATGCTTTGCATCTATAGGTAACTTAATCTTGCAATCATTAAACTGAAGGGCTTTGTTGTGCTTCGCTGAATGAGCATATCACTGATATATGATTTACCTAACCCCAACTCGTGGAACAGGACGTTGTAACTGACGCCTTGAAGAGTTCTTGTTCAGGACCAAATCATAAGGAAACACCAACTATCTGTCCTGTCGCATCATCTGTAGTATAGCATTCGCCTTCGAGAAATCACGCCTGAACAATTGAGCGGAAGAGAGGGCCCCTGAGCTGGTCAGCTCCACTCGTTATTATAGTAGATATCTAAGAGAACCTCGGTCAATTTCACTACCCCTGCTCAAAATTACACTTCTTACCTCCGCCAAAGGCCTTTTTCTTTGGCATCGAAATGCGTAGCTTGTGCGCCAATTCCATCGCTAGGTCCTCATTAATCATAAGTGAGGATTCTATCTGTCAGCGATCGATTTAAATGGACTTGATATTGAGACGTAATAGTTGTTGTCTCGAAAACTCTGCCAACGCTATTGTTTATCCTGTTGCGTATCTGGCCACAGTCCATTCCGACGATAACAGATATCTTGCGTGAGGTTGGGCCCTTCGGTATGCAGATGGTTTCTTCACGGGGCACTTAGTGTTCAACGTTGAACATTCAACCCGGGTCAATCTGGGTCATACCGAGAACGAATCGTTGCCTGTTAACCTTGGGTCAGATGTGAGGCTTCAAATGTGAGCGCTGAGCACTGATCTACCACGAGGGCGTTGGCCTATCGATCCAGATGTTGTCTTGGTGCCCACCGGCACAGTCCCGATCATTCGTACAGGTGAAATAAACGCTTGGCGAGAATGCTCTGCGATTGGGAACAGTATTAAAAACGTTTATCGAAGGAATGGAATGTCTTGACAGATATCATAAAAAGGCGAAGTTGATGTTTCGATGAGTATTCTAATCAACGTGACTGCAGAAACTAAAAGGTTTCAGAGTCCGCATCGTTGTCGAAGTACAGTTGTAGCTGGATGTCTTTCACCACACATACGACTCGTTCAGGTGAGACTGACATAGTCGTCGCCGCTGATACGTTGGCTAATTTCTTGTTACCCAGGATTTCTACTTCCTTCGATTCACTCTGTTCCCCCTTTCTTCACGTTTGTCTCTTTACTCACTCCTGTCGTCGTGACCCACTTACTTTGTGGAACCAGGGAACAACCTAATCCCACAACACAATCGCAAAATATTTCTCAATGGACACGGCTTATTTTGGCTTATGCTCGCCACCGCCGTCTTTTCGTCCTTCGCCTCGAGGACGCAGAGACGTCTGGCGGAGACTGGGATGAAGTTCTAAGGAATGAGAGAATCAATCGTGCGTATGCTCTATGCCAAGTGATACCTTTCACAGCACTCATATTATCTTCTTAGGTCGAGTGCTTCCTTCACACCTTTCCGCTATCATGGAATCCATGATAACTAACGGTCAAGCAGTTTACGAACCTCCCAAGCAGACACGCGCTGTGCTATTGTACTGGCGTCTTCCAGAAGAATGGGCAGAGGTACTACACTCTTGGGTACGTCTTGGACTATACACATGTCTCATTTCATATTCACGGTCTGTCTTTCATCATAACGTTTTGGATCTATCGCGGGTATAGGCGACAGATACAGCTAATCTGAACACAATCCTCACATTCTACGAAATCACTGACCCCCCCGTTCCTTCTCCACTTTCTGATATTCCAATTACTCTCCTGCGTCGTGTTATCGCCGTACTTGCAAAAACGGGTCGGGCACAGGTTATCAGTACAGGGCGTACAGGGTCTGGCGAAGAAAATGAAGGGGTAAGATTTTTTTCTGGTGGAAAATAAACTTGTTATCAGTGTATCAGAGCCTGTAATCACAAGCCATTTCTTTGAACATGTATTTGAAACCTTAACTGTATGTGCAGAAACAGATTTATAGCACTTTTGTTTGGAGAATCAAGATTATGTAATTAGATAATGTTTTCATCGGCCGACTAGCTCAGTTGGTTAGAGCGTCGTGCTAATAACGCGAAGGTCTTGGGTTCGATCCCCACGTTGGCCATTATATTTTGTTTTTGTTTTGTTTTCAAATTGCAACCTTGCTTCAACCTACACCCACTGGCGTTGTCTCGTTGCAGACATCATTCAAACATGCTTTGTCACAAGATGTAGATTAATGTATAAAACTATCCAACATCTTGTAAGGATTCACCCTCTCCAGTACTTTGGTTTCACGAAAGGCATCGGCGTTAGAACGCCCTTCCGCAGCTTGTTTCGCACCTCCACTTCCACTTCTGTCCCTTTCTTATGCCAACCTGATTGAACGTAGCCCATGGCGATGTTCTTGCCTAATGTTGGTGAGGGGATGCCTGATGTGACATTACCTGGGGGATATCCCTGTACGTGAGCATGTGGCCTAAATAAACCTATAATGCGCATTACCTATGAGATCCGTCCCCGACGGCGCAAATATTTGGGCACCCTCTATTGCAAGTTAGTCCTTAAGGAAGATTCGGCGACTGCGCAGTAAGATAACTCACGCCTAGCAGGGGCACCTTCAACCACTAAGCCCACCCGGCGCCTTGGCGGCCCATCCTTGAGATGCCTTCTGACACCTTCAGCACCAATAAATTCGCCGGATTCTCTGCGCTCTTTGCCTAATGGAACACATGAACAAAAAACCAACCTTTCAAGTCAATGCGACAAATTACCTATCACCCATGCCAAGCCGGCCTCGATGGGCGTTGTATCTTCGTCTAGGTCATTACCATAAAGACACATGCCAGCCTCAAGACGTAGACTATCTCTAGCACCAAGACCAGTGAGTTTGACAGGATGTTTTGAGAGAAGTTCAGCGACATCCAAGGTTTGCGATGGTGGTATCGAGATCTGATAGATAAGCTGACATGGAAAGAACATTGAAAAAGGATACTCGTATACTGACTTCAAACCCGTCTTCACCAGTGTACCCTCCTCGCGCAACGTGCAAGTTGAAACCCTCAATAGGTACAAAAGCAGATGTGCCGAATATGAGATCCTTGAGATCAAACGAAGTGAACCTTTGTAGATATGCAGCAGCTTCGGGGCCTAAACCATTCAATCGTGAAAATTGGACTTGCAGAACATTTTACAGTAGCAGCTGATTGACCTTGTAACGCAATAAGCCCCCAATTGTCTAAAACTTCAATTTCTACCTTGCCATCCCGACCTTTCTCGCCATGGTTCCATTCATCAAGCTTCTCTCGGAACCATGGCAGGTCTCTGTCTCGTCTACCTGCATTCGTGACAACGTAATACGCATCATCAGAGTGCTTTGTGATGACAGTGTCGTCTATGATGCCACCCTTTTCATTTAAGATCACAGACAAAGTCGAAGAATAAGGGGTGAGTGATGAAAGGGAAGACGGTGTTAGCCATTCCAAGAACGCTGTTGCCGTGGGACCACGGAAGCTGCTACTGTCTGAACAGACTTTCTGGAGCAACGCAGTAAATAACGTACTTGCTTTGTACCATGTGGCCAACATCGAAGAGGCCTACGCTACTACGCACGTAGCTATGGCTGGCAACTGTATTCAATTGGAAGATGGACGGGAACAAAGTCCGTCTAGTGCGCACCTTGACCAACACTACCATAGGCAAGGGGCATGGAGTATCCAGCGAACGGCACCATTTTTGCTCCGTTCTCCACATGAAAATCATACAACCCAGTTCTCTTCAGCTGAGTTTCCTTGAAGTCAAAAAGGAGTATTACTTGGTAAACAAACTACCAACCTCTCCTACGGATGTCGCTAGACCGCGGCAGTAGACTCGAGATACTCCACACCTTGGCACGGAAAGGGCATTTGCCAACCTAAGCACAGACACTACACGCGCACTCGACATTGAGAAAAGAAGAAAAGAAATCCTTGTTGTGAACCGAAAATTCGACAAGAAGTCCTTCGTTTCGAACTTAGGGCGGAGCGGACTCAGCGGAGCAGCGCTTGAGCAGACGATTTAGGAAATTAGTAAATGTAATCGTGGAAGCAGCTTAGATAATTTTGTAGCCCTAACCTCGACGAGAATAAACATATGTCGGGGATTCAAATAACATTGATCAAGGTCCAAGTATACTTAGGGCAACCAGCTTTGCGACAGGCACAGCTCAGACCTGGGTATCGTCTGCGACTCGTCTGTTTCTTGCCTGAACAATGTCTCGTTTCGTGCGTCCATCAAAGTATCGGTGAGTATATCATGTAGCCGTATATTCGATATTCGTGCAAGTTGACCAATATGAATTTGTGGGTTCACAATCTAGTCATGTCTATGGTCAAAATGCAAAGAAAAAAGAATTCGGAATCGAGAATGTAAAGGTGTCCAGCAGCGCCTGGGATACCAATTTGGTCTCTGCTTCAGGGGTGAATATTTAGATCAATGTCGCGCTGCTGTGATTTCCTTCTAATTACTAATTACTATGACCAGCGATACATCAGTCTTAACTGGAATGCATCTGGTGGTGGCGCTTTTGCCATTTTACCCTTGCCTTCTCCCTTCGAAGCATTACCCAATAATCTTCCATACAAGCTCCCGGATGTGATACCCTTGGCACGCAGTCACACTGCTCCAGTCCTCGACACGGATTGGTCCCCTCACAATGATTCGATTGTCGCCTCAGGCGGTGAAGATGGGAAGGTCATGATCTGGAAAGTGGAACCCTCTACGTTCGAAGATTGGGGTCAAGATCACTGGGAACCTCACGATTTCGATCCTGTGGCCCGTATCGATGCCTCGCCGCGAAAGATCGGTCAAGTCTTGTTTCATCCTACTGCTTCTAACGTTATCGCAAGTGCTTCTGGAGAGCATACCGTCAAGCTGTGGGACCTTGCAGAAACAGAACGTCAGAGGTCTACTCTAACTGGCCATGGCGATTCTATCCAATGTATCGCCTTTAACCCTACTGGCACTCTTCTTGCCACGACATGCAGAGATCGCAAGCTAAGATTGTTCGACCCCCGTGCGGGAAGCGAAGCTGTTCGTGTGGCAGAAGGACATGGTGGAATCAAAGGCGCACGCGTCGTGTGGATGGGTGACCTCGATAAAATCGCCACGACAGGTTTCAGCAAAATGAGTGATCGTCAGGTCGGCATCTGGGAAACTGGTGGGCTTGGTAACGTCAAAACGACGATCCTCGACCAGTCAGCTGGTGTTATTATGCCGTTTTGGAGTGATAACAGTATTCTTTTCCTTGGTGAGTGGTTGATACCGATGTGTGAAGATTATATTCTAATATTCTGCACAACTTGTAGCCGGTAAAGGGTGGGTAATCTGACTAAATTACTTTGAATATACAGTAACCCACGTAGCACACTAGGGACGGCAACATTCGTTACTACGAATTCGAAAGCGATACCCTTTATGCCTTAGCGGAACACAAGTCTTCAGAACCTCAGCGGGGAATGTGCTTCTTACCCAGGCGTGCGCTCAATGCATCAGAGTGCGAAATCGCTCGTGCTTACAAAGTTTATGGATCTGCAATTGAACCGATTGGATTTATTGTACCCCGAAAGGTATGCTGATATCTTATCGGTTTTAGATAATCCCAAGGTGATAGCCTATTGTTGCAGGCCGACTCTTTCCAGTCCGACATATATCCACCAGCACCTTCCTCTGAAGCATCCCTTTCGGCCAGTGAATTTTTCTCCGGGAAGACCGCACCTCCCAAATTGGTCAGCTTGGAAAATGGTGCAATATCCAATGGTGTCCAGTCGACCTATACACCTGCACCCACGGTCGCAGCCACTGCACCTGTGCCTGCTCCTCCGAGCTTCAGTGCATCACCTGTAGCGCGGGCTGCAACTACTCCTTCTACCCCCTCGAACCCCGTACCCTTCGCGCCGGTCTCGAAATCAGAATCCATGCCCATACCTGCTACTTCTCCTGCAGTATCGCCCACCTCGAGCCCACCTGCAAAATCTAACTTCGATAATGAAGATGTACGTACTGATCATGCGCGATGCTCTTTTCTTACCCGAATTGACATTGCGATCACAGGCAGCTGCTCAGGCGTTACGCGAAGAGAACCAGCGCCAGGCTAGCGAACTCCGCGATGCCCGCGAAAAAATCAGGAACCTAGAACTCCAAGTTGAGGGCTTAAAAGCGAATGCGCGAAAGGCTCAGGCGCTATTAGAAGGATAAATGGGGTACAGTGGTTCGCCATTGTATCATGGTTGGCTCTAGTATCTAGCTCATAAGCTTGGAATTGTACAACGGCTGTACTGTTGAATTTCGACCTTAGTTTCGTCGTTGCGTCGCTGCGACGGTCATAGGCAGGTTGAGTTGAACCCGTCCACTACTTACGTGCCCTTCTGGTACGAACTTCTTACTAGATGCGCTGATGTATTGAAGAACAAGTTCAAATCACCCCCATGCTCATACAACACCAGGAGAGAAGCAGCACTGGAAGATGCGACGAACCGAACCGCAAGCTGGTCACGCGTCACAAGTCTAAGACTTAGCGAACTTGACGTGATGTCACAGCACTTTCAGGTCGAACTTCAACGTTTCACTGGCAACAGTAATATTCGAGTATATTATAATGGTCACTGTACCATGCAGGTGTGCATGTAAGGATCGAAGTAAGGACAAACTATGTAAGATCACCAATATCAAAGCTTGTGGAATACCTTGCAAATCATGATATTCCGTGTCGGTGCTTACCATGGACATCCGAAGTCCTTGGCCGAGCTTTCTCTGCAGAATCGAATCAGCCTGCTTCTTGACTTTCAGCATCTATCCAGTATATAAGTAGCAGTCCTTTGTCCTTATGATAACTTATCGATAATTTACTACACGGTTCGGCTGCCTATCAATGCAACAACAAGAAGGCTCAGAAGGTGAGTTTGATGTGCTGGTGAGTATCTTTTACTAAATATTTCCTCCTGCAGTCAAGTTCTTGAGCCACGTCTTCGGATGATGCGCGACTTAGTTTACGACGCAAGCTGATTACTATTGCGAAGAATGAAACCATGGGCTGTGATTGGTCCATTTGTGGTCTAATCGGCGTTCCTTGGGATTTTAGAGGTCGTGACCACCGGCGAGGCTTGGCCCGAGATGCACCTCCCGAGGGTGTGTTCTTGTGTGTCGATTAAAGCCGCAGTTTCTACCATCTAACAGCAGTTTGGGGCTAATTTTGGCAGATAGAGTTGCAAGCGCCTCTTTGATGTCGGTTCTATCACGTTGGCCTAATTCGATTGATTCCCTAAAGATCCGACTCAGCTTAATAGCGGGGACATGTTACAGGAATCCTGGATACTCAACATCTTCTAGATCCAGATTACAGAAGCAAATTGGTATGTCAGTCACCGTCCGCGTAAGTAGCGGTTCGTGTTATAGCCCTTTGTTTTCGGAGAACCACCTTATAAAAAGTCGAACATGCTAGTAGCTTGGTTTTCTATAGTACACAAGAGCATCCTGTGTCTTCCATGGCTACTAATACTCTTCCAAATCGCCCCCCACAATCAAGGGAGAGTAATGTTGATGTGCTCATCGTAGGTGCTGGGCCTACAGGGCTTATGTGTGCGTATGCACTAATGCAAGCTGGTGCCAACGTCAGAATCGTTGACAAAAGGTACGTTCAAACCGTCGGGTGATTGCATGATGCGCAGCACCTTGTAATGAACATGTATACAGGCCAGAATGCCTTGTTACCGGCCAAGCAGACGGGATTCAGCCTAGGACTATCGAGGTATTGCAGGTAGGTCTATTGAACATTGTGGGGCTAAAACTCTGACTTATGAATACCTGTAGAGCTATGGGCTTGGTGACCGTCTTCTTCGCGAAGGCAATCATATACACATGGCTGTGGGTTAACTTACTTTTGGCATGGTTATGTGTGTATATTGACGCTTTGCCACAAATCCGATAGACGATCTATATTCCTAACTCAGAGGGCGATATTGAAGTGAGTTTTATAGCTAAACCTATGCTGATACCGTGTTTATATTGCTCTCAGTCCACCGGGCGTATACCAGTCATAGGCACTGAGGGAACTCGATACCCGTTTTTGGTATGCCAAATTGAAACCAATGCGATCTCTTTAGATGATGTGGACTGCCGTGATATAGATTACCCTCAATCAAGGAGCGATCGAAGCTCTGTTTTGTGATGCCATACACTCATTAGGATTTGATGTACACCGATCAATCGTTCCGACTTCTATCGAGCTATCACAGGATAACGAAGAACTCGCGAATCCAACATCGCATCCAGTCAAAGTATGGCCTGCTTTGGCTCCTATAAACTCTTCCAAGATACTAATTTTTGTTTGCATTAGGTAGTATTACAGCATCTCGATTGTTCAAACGCAACAGAAATCGTACATGCGAAATTTATGATAGGGACAGATGGTGAGCACGCTGTTATGGCATGGCCTTGCGCGAAATTAATTGAGACTGCAGGCGCGCATTCATGGGTTCGCAAGGCTCTGGATATAGCTATGGAAGGAGAGCAAACAGGTGAGATAAATTTTTGTTTGTTTACAGATTACCAACTTCTTATATGCCCACTATGCCCATTGTTTAAGAGTATATATGGGGTGCTTTAGACATGGTTCCTATTACAAATTTCCCTGACACTCGCATCAGAGCCACTATCCGCTCTCCTAACGGTTCTTGTATGCTTATTCCCCGTGAAGACGATAAAATTCGCCTATATGTACAATTATCGGATGAAGATATTTTAGATCCGCTTACGGGGAGATCAGACAAAGATAGAATGAGCCCTGAAAAGCTACTGGAGGTGAGTTATCCATTCTGGGACCTGCTATGTAGCGTGACTGACGGTCAGTATCGAAGGCTATCAACAAGACATTCAGTCCTTTTAAGATGGAAAGGCCTTTGGAGTTTGACTGGTGGACAGTATACATAAGCGAGCGCCGTTTTATATTCTACACGCACCGACTGCTGATATTGTTTGGTGCAGTTGGTCAGCGAGTAGCGTCGACATTTTCTGTAAAGGATCGTATCTTCATAGCGGGGGATGCATGTCATACGCACTCGCCCAAAGCAGGTCAGTATAGCGCCCAATAAGTATTATCTATTCCATTCCTTGATTTGTTTACCACACTACCCAGGCCAAGGGATGAATGCAGGCATGAGCGATGCACATAATCTCGGTGAGTTAATGCAATTGCTTGGTTGTTAACTGCGTCTCGTATTGATGTTGAGTACAGCATGGAAACTGACACAGGTTTTGCGAGGTTGGAGTGATATCTCGCTACTCAAGACTGTGCGTAAATGTTCTATCACCTTCCCACCCCACTTAAAAGAACCTTGTGAATAGTATGAGTTCGAACGGCGAAGGTATGCGCAAGACCTGATAAATTTCGACAAAGAATACGCAACTTTGTTTTCGTGCAAGGGACGAACAGAGACAAAAATTGAACACGAAAATTTATTGAAGTGAGTTCTACTGATTTCCACTCGTCATTCTGATTGCACTATAAACTCACGGTATGGACTAAAGGGCTCAGAATGCGTTTGGCGGCTTCATTACCGGCATTGGAGTGCAGTATTGCTCATCGTCCATCATAATTCCCACCCACCAATGGTGTGCCGAGAATATCTTGGTTGGACAACGCATGCCACCGCAAATATTTGTGCGGGCTTCTGACGGGCGGCCATATGAATTGCAAGATCTGCTACCAGCAGACATGCGATTCAAGATACTGCTATTTTTGGGGAATACAGCTGATCCCTCACAGCTGGAAAAGGTCCAATTACTAGCAAAAGATATGGAAAGCTCTGAAAGCTTCCTCAGAAGATATCTGAGGAATGATAACATAACTTCCATGTTTGACATCTTGACCATCCTAGCGGAAAAGAAAGAGCTTGTGAACATAATGGATTTACCAAAGCTTTTTAGGCTTCACTGGTCACAGTAAGCACGACACCTAGCATTGCTTCTACATGACGCTGATGCATTTGATCTTCTTAGAGTGTTCGTCGATGATTTAGACGTGACAAGAAGTAAGGGAGGTCAGGGGTACAGTGCATTTGGCATTGATCCCAGTCAAGTGACGCTGGTTGTTGTTCGTCCTGATGGCGTTGTTGGAATGGTTGCTCCGTCCGAATCGATCGACGATGTGAATGGATATTTCGCATCATTCATGAAATCCTCCGAGGTATGAATGTTAGCATGGGCCGTGTCAGTGATTTGGAGATACCCTATATACTAACCATTTTATGAAATATCGAATATGCTTTTGATTTACCATATGCTCCCAAATAAACGTGGTCTTATATCGGACAGACGTGCTTGCCTGATAACATGAGTGTCATTTGACATATCTCGGAAGACTCACCTGGGAACGCTTTGGGTAGCGGATTCGCACGTGCGCACGTTCCGAGTTTTGGTGATTCATTATTTGACGGAGCCGGAATGTCGTTATCTCTTCCTGCTTTTGACATTACATTCCAGCTCTCGCTGCTCTAACCTTGACCCTCCATATTATTGACTTAGCGCCCTTCTCTTTTTCCTGAACCAACGTCTCTTTTTCGGTTTTGCTCCAAGAAATCTAGAATTTCTAGTTGTGCTTGTCAGCGAGCACAACAACCCCTGGACTACGCGATCTTGCGAAGGAGTCATCAGCTCTCCTTGTAGGTCGCTCGGTCTGACCACCACCTCGCATGACCTTGCTCCATGTCCACTTCAACTTACGAAACCAGCAGGCTTTTCAGCGTCTGCTTGAGAGTACCGGGATCCGTGGACAACCCTCCACCTCTAGCTTAGCAAGCCTCAGCACTAGCGGCGGAAAATCATGGAGTCGTTCCACTGCACACTCCTCTATCTTGACCACTGATGTCAACGCGCGCGACTGGTTGGGAAGAACCGTCCTACATATGGCCTGCGCTTCCGTTGAGCCATCGAGCTTGCAATATGTTCGATTCTTGCTTGCCCACCCCGCGATAAACGTCAATCTTCAGGATGCAGAAAGTAATTGGACCGCACTTCACAGGGCATTGTATGCGGGTAATCTTGCTGCAGCGTGCGTCTATTCTTGCTCGTTTCAATAGCGGAGAGCTTATCGAAAGCACAGCATTTTACTCCTCAAACGTTCTGACGTCGATACCTCACTAAAGGACCTGGAGGGATATACTGCATTTGATCTATATAATACCACGTTGCGGACAACGAAACCAGATGCAACAGATGAAGGTCCTGCGGAGTTATTTACGTGGGGGGCAAATAGGTGCGCATACAGCTTGCGTCATATTCATATTTTCCCTATATTCTTGTGCTTCTCCCAGGAACGCTGCTCTAGGACTTGGAGATAGCGACAACAGAACATTTCCAGATCAGGTTATCATTCCTCGTAAACATGATCCCAACTTGCATGACAAAACTTTGGAAGTTCGTTTTTCACCAATTCAAGTTCGTCAGATCTCCATGTCCAGGCTTCACACAGGTAAATGTCGTTCTTCGTCTTTTATATTTTATTGAACTGTCGCATCGCAGTCGTGGTTACCTCTGAAAGCCAAGACAATTTACGATTATGTGGGTTCGGAAGCGGAGGACGGTACGTTCCTAACAAGAGCTATGAAAGCTTGTACAGATTTCTTTTGTCACAGCCTAGGACCAAGTCAACATACGCAATACGGTCTGATGACTCTTCCAGAATTCTCACACAACGTCGTGTCAGTAGCACTGGGACAAGATCACACTCTGGCTCTGACGAAGAGCTGGGAAGTACTGAGCTGGGGCCTTAATCGCTTTTCTCAGCTTGGATATGTAGTTGATCAGTCTCCCATGTCTGTCGGACGGCGGGAAGAGCCTATTCAAGCATCTCCGCGAAAGATAGGTCATTTGAAGAAAGAGACTGTCAGAGGTATCGCAGCTTGCAAAACTGCCTCAGCCTGTTGGACCGAAACTGAAGTTTTCACTTGGGGCACTAATAGTGGGCAGCTCGGTATGGTCATATTTTATCCTTGCGAGATATTGAAGACCTATCGCTTCTCGTTAGGCTATAGCAAGAATGCGACACCAGTGCAGGTCCTACCCAGAAAAGTAACTGTGGTTGTTCAGCCTGTTACTGCAATTGCTATGACGGTAAATTTGTAGTATACCAAGTCTTATCCTCGGTTTGATATTCTCTTGGCAGGATAATGCAATGGCATGTCTGCTCAAATCAGGGGATGTTGCCTTTCTCTGGAATGACATCGTTCTTAAGATCAAGTGAGATGACTTGTGTAGTATTTTCACACGGTTACTCATCCTTGTTAGCTTCCCTACGCAGAGCTTCTCGTCCGAAATACATGTTTATCGGCCACCTCAAGCTATCAAAGGACCAAAGGTCGCGAAGATCACAAGTTGCGAGGACACGTTTGCTGCCCTGTCCTCGAATGGCGAAGTTTTCATATTCACCCCTCCAGGCTCATCTGATGATGGACTTCATGGGAAGGGAGCCGCAACTGTTATACCACAACGTGTTTGGGCTCTGCGAAAACAGTTCAGTGGAGTCAGAGTGCGTAAACAACTACTCATGTAGATCTCGTTTGACACAGTCTTTCTAGGATGTTGATCTCGGAGCTGACGGCTCTATTATTGTCTGTACATTCTCAGGCCATGTTTTCGTACGTATACGAAATCCAAAGGGGGGACAGTCCAGCAGCGCAAAAACGTTTAAGTTCCAGCGTGTTCCCTATATTCAACGTACCATTAAGGTATGCGCCAACAGTACAGGTGCATTTGGTGCGCTTCGCGTCGACTTTCGACCAGAACCGATTCGACTGTCGGGTCAAACTTTTGCGCAGGATATGGCTGATGTTCAACCTTATCTATGTTGGCTTACAAACGACGGACATTCGGCTGGCCTTTCTTCCATACCGTTCTCTGGCCCAAGTGGAAGCGGGTTTATGCCCGTCGTTGATATTGACGACGAGGTTGAAGACGTCCCAATTCTTGACGATATCGCAGAGCTCTCTCGCATCCTTAATCTGATCAAGCGGGAGAAGATCATCCGGAAGTCTCCAGGCAGTAATCTCTATAATTACGAAAATCTCCCTCATGGCGCCGACCTTCTCGTAAGAATACCCTCTGGATCCGAGTTCCCTGTCCATCGCATTGTCCTATCCGCGAGATGCCCCGTACTCTGCAGCATTTTATCCAGCACAGCCGCCGTACAAGATACGGTGTCCAAAGTATCTGTGAGATGCAGGGATCATAACACTGCACCCGGAAAGCCAGCTCTTCTTTCCCGTTTAGTGTTTGCTGGGTGTGGTGCCCTGTCCGTCCTCGTTTTGTTGAGGTACCTGTACTGCGACGAGCTCTTAGCCATCTGGGATCGTCGGATCGGCTTACCATTCGACACACAGCTAAGAGACTTGAATGTGTATCCTATTCAGGTCAAGACCGAGCTCCAAATTCTGGCGAGGATCTTAGAACTTCCTCACCTTACACAGGCTCTGGAATCACTCGCGAAACGGATTCCAGTCTCATCCCTCATAGACGATTATAGCCGTCTATTCAGTAATGCGGATAAGAACACCACAAAGAGTTTGCCTCCTCCTGATGCCATTCTTCAGTTAGCAGATCAAGAGATTTCATGTTACTCTGCTATCCTTCGAGCCCGATCCCCGTTTTTTGCAACCTTCTTTGGAGACAACGTGTGGACCATCAAGCGACGAGATGAATTTGGTGTCGTTAGGATCAATATGAAACACCTCAAATGGCGTGTTATGGAATACATCCTCCGTTTTCTCTGCTGCGGGGAAGAAGGAGCAATGTTTGAAACGATAGGTTCGTATACATACTATATCGTCCTATACTTGTATTGGAAGCTCAAATCCCCCAGATTCCTTGCACACTGTTGACCACGTTATGGAATTTATGTTCGAAGTTATGGCAGCCGCGGTGAGTGAAGCCAGTGTGTTGTTAATGTATCACATCCTGATACGATCCTCTCCAAGAGCGAGCTTCTGTTGGATCGGATGATTCTTCACTGCTCTGCGGTTATTTTGAAGCATCTCAATATCAACAACATTTGCTTCCTGCTGGCAGACGCGACTTATTATCAGGCTGTCGATCTTGTCGAAAGTTTGCAAGGTTACATGGCTGCTAACCTTGAAACATTACTTGAATGTGGAATGCTCGATGATCTTTCGCCTGACCTCATAACGCAATTCTCCAAGTTCTTGCGTAAACAACAAGCACAGAAATCTTCTTTGTCTCGCTCGAATAAACTCGCCAATGAGGCATTGAAAAAGCACCACGACTGGCTTGCAGAACAGGATATACCAGAACCTATAGTTCCTGTACATCGCAAGTCACACATACATAGATCTCCCAAGTTATCTCCGTCAGGCCCAACAAGGAAAGGGATTCGTCCGTCGATAGCTGGTTCGCCTTCAACAAGTCCTTCATTGCATCCCAGGTCTGGCCTTCGTCCTGTTCCAAGTGTAGGACCGATAGGGGATGAAATATTTTCCATGGATACCATGGATGACGCAGATGCGATTCCGGCTTTAGACCTCAGCCAAGCATCTACTTTGCTAGAATCAGACACTTCGCATGCCAGGCCTGCAGTATGGAAACGAGGTGTATCGACACGGTATGTTTTGGAATGAGAGCCGAACACGACTTCTATGCTAATCGTATTGGGCAGCGTTGATCTGAAAACGATTATGGCAGAAACTGAGAATAGCAAAATCACGCCAAAAAATACCGTACCTACTACCCCAGGCCTTGACAGAATGACCCAGCGACCCGCTATTACAGCCTCGCGTTCAAACACTTCGGGCACTTCACCCTGGAAGCTGCCTATACCACCTAGCACTCCGACGAAACACCCTTCCCCTACTAGTACTCCTCTGGGCACACCCTCATCTGCTCAAGTGAAGGCGCCCGATACACGTCTTATGATGACGCAGCCTTCTACGCCAAGTCCTTCACGGAGTATAGCAACACTCAAGACGCAACAAGCACAGCTAGGACTAGGACCAATGATCACCCCTGCTCGAGCTTCACCTGCGAAACCTGGCCCCTCCGCAGCGCGTCGTGTTTCGTAAGTACTTTCCCCTTTTCCAGTTACACCTTAATGACGTTCTTTGTATAGGAGTAACGGGGGTGCATGGACACTCCCACCTGTAAAGCCTGTAGTAGAACCCACTGTGCCCGGGTCTGCGCTACCATTTGCCGAGATCCAACGACTACAACTAGAACAAGGAAACGCTGGGACGCAAGAAAAGAGATCTTTACTTGAGATTCAAGAAGAGGAACAATCTCGCCAAAGAGAAGAGGAGTTCATGAAGTGGTGGGAAGCAGAGGAAGAACGCGTACGCCTCGAGTCGCAACCAACGGCCCAACCTGCCCCTCGCGATAAAAGCTCAAAGAAGAATGGGAAATCGAAAGGAAAACGCACTCAGGCTTCATCAGAAACGCAATCAAACCAAAGAAAATCAAACAAATCAAAACGAAATGACTGAGCAGTACCTTCTGAGCTGATGTCTGCCCATGGACTACTGGTTAGTAAAAAGGACTAATTTTGGTTGATGAATACACTATAGCTACATAGAGTGGGGATTTACGCTGGTTTCTAATAGCTAATAGTGACTAGATATATGCTTATTGAGTAGTGATGTTTATGCAGATAGAAATATGATACTACGATATGCGATTAGTGTGAGTCGTCAGTTAGACTACCCGAAGCTGCAGCGGCATCTGGAGGATGAATATCCTGGATATGCAGAGAATCTCCATTAGAACGTATTGTAACCACATCGCCGTCCCTGAAAGGTCATGATTAGCTTGATTTGGAGAGCCAAGCACGGTTCAAAAACCTTATCGTCCCCCTTAACAACTTTTGAGCCATAACAAATAGAACATCAGTGCGGACTACGCGTGAAATAGCACGGGCACCATAAATGTCCGAATACCCCTTACTTGCAAGCCATTCTCGAGCAGCAGCATCGACATCCAGTGTAATCCTGCGGTCCTTCAATCTCTTGGCTACATCGTCCAGTCGAAGAGACACCACTCGTAAAATGGACTCGCGCGACAGTTTATTGAACACAAGTATCGAGTCGAGGCGATTCAGAAGCTCGGGAGGGAAATATTCGCCTGTGCGTTCCAGGACTAGGTTCATCGCTTCTTCCGTGACAATACCATTGGAGTCGCATGACGAAGAATGGGCAAGAATATCACTGCCCAAATTGCTAGTCAAACAAACAATGGTGTTCTAGAGGATTATGGTCAGTAAGAATAATATTAGGTCACTATGTCGTTTACCTTGAAGTCTACCTTTCGACCTTGACTATCAGTAATGCTACCCTCGTCAAGAATTTGCAACAATATCATCGCAACATCCTTGTTTGTGAATTTTTGTTAGCGGCGATTGGGCTCAAAAATTTTGCGCGATGCTCACCTTGTGAGCCTTTTCGAGTTCATCCAGTAAAATAACAGCTACAAGGACGAATGAGACCGGAGTAATATAAAATGATGGCACCTTTACCATAAGGCTTGCGACGAACAGCCTCCGTCAATTGACCTTTTGATCTCATGAGTAAGGATACTGAGGGATGACAACGAATTCCATACCGCCTTCCTCGAAACCAACATAGCCAGGTGCAGCACCAATAAGCCTCGAGATGGTATGTCGATCATGATACTAGTGAGTAGACTTCAGGACGTGTTTTAGATATGAAGCTCGAAAGAATATACCTCCGACATGTTAATATTGATTCTAATAACATTATCAGATAGGCGAGTAAAACATCGAGTCTGAATACGCACAGTCCCCTTTGTTCATCGTTAAATAAAAATCTTGCCAGTGCCTTGGAGAGTTCCGTCTAGACAAAGAATTTCGAAGTTTGACTCTTTGAAGTTAAGAATGGACCGACCTTCCCGACACCTGTTGGGCCAAGGAATAGGAAAGACGCGACGGGGCGGTTGGGTGCCTGCAAGCCAGCGCGAGATATACGAACAGAGTCGCTAATAGCAGTAACAATGTGATCTTGTCCTACAACACGTTGCTTGAGTGTGTCTTCCATCTATAATTTGGTTCAAGTAAAACTTATAGTAGCAGACAAATCAAAAAAGCGCATATACTCACATGAACCAACTTGTCCCTTTCGCCTTTCAGTAAATTCTGGACAGGGATTCCAGTCGCCTTTGCTACCACCCTTGAAATATCGTTGCTTGTGACCCGATCGTGTAACATGTAAAGAGGGCCCTCCTCGCCCTCCTCTTTCCTCTCACCGTCCTTCGGCAACTGCTGCTCTAGATCCGGTATCGTGCCAAAACGCAACTGTGACGCCCTTTCATATTGGCCCTGACGCTGCGCGACTTCGAGTTCATGCTTGGCGTCTTCAAGTCGCTGTTTCAAGTCCTTCAGACGATCAAGGCGAGCGCGTTCTGGGGTTCATGTAAGTAATCGATGTGCTTATGTTTCAAAGTACCCGATGAGGTAGACATGGAACTCACCATTTTGCCAAATGGCAGTCAACTGTTCTGCATCTTCTTTCTTTGCCCTTAGCTGCTCCTCCAGTTTCCTTCTCCTCTCTACACTAAATACATCTGATTCGTTCTTCAGACTCTCAAGCTCGATTTGAAGCGTAACGATCTCGCGGTCCAGAGCTTCCAGTTCGTCCGGTTTGGACTCTTGAGCGAGACGAAGAGAAGAGGCGGCTTCGTCCACGAGATCAATCGCCTTGTCAGGAAGATAGCGATCAGATATATACCGAGCACCATACACCGCCGCTGATATAATGGTCAGTCAGCGTAGATAAAGAAGCATACATTCAGTACGCATACCCGTCACGAGTGCACCATCCGCAATCTCAACCCCATGGTGGACTTCATATCGCGGCTTGAGCCCCCGCAAAATGGATATCGTTGATTCTACAGTTGGCTCGTCGATCTGAACTGGCTGAAACCGGCGTTCGAGAGCAGCATCCTTGCCAATCGTTTTTCTATATTCGTCAGCTGCAAGAAAAGGCCATAAATGAGGTGTTGTCCCACTCATATATGCGTCATGTAACGTTACGTGTCGTGGCCCCAACTAACTGTAAACCTCGAGCAAGAGCCGGTTTAATCATCTGACCAGCGTCGATGCTGCCTTCTGCTTTACCAAGGTTGAAAAGTGTGTCTAAATACAACAAAAAAAGTCTGAATATCCAGTCTGTGATGGCTAGGGCCTAAGCGTCTCGACACTCACGGACTTCATCGATAAAACAAATAACATTCCCTGCCTATATTGAAAATCTCAGCAGCCATCATTTCCATCACAGATAGAGATACTACGCACTTCATCTTCAATGTCACGTATGAGGGCCTTGAACTTTTCTTCAAATTGTCCACGAATACCCGAACCGGCCATAATGGCGGAAAGGTCAATGGATAGGACCTTCTTGTCATGCAGAGACTAATCCAAGGATGGTAAAACGTAGTTATGACCAAACAGCAGCCTTTGACTTACTTCGGGAACTTCTTTCGCCACTATTCTACTTGCGAGACCCTCCAATATAGCGGTTTTGCCGACGCCAGGGGGCCCTATCAACTGAGAAAATGGAAAACATCAGGCCCCGTACTACTAACAGTGCTTCATATTTGATTTTACCACTGGATTGGACTTTGTCCTTCGAGACAGGACTTCAAACAACGATCAGATTTAGTATTTTCAAGAATAGTGGATATCATACTCTGTATAGTACGACGTATCTCTGAATGAATGATATATTGAGTATTTGCGAGAGTGTAGGCCCGGGAGAGGACTCGCCATCATCCCTTCCAATAGTAGGGTCAAGTTTTCCATTCCTCGCCAGTTCCGTTAAATCAACACTCTGAAATGCACAGTCAAATCGTTGCTATCCTATCACGCACTAAGTTACTCACATATTCTTTCAGTGCGTCTCCTTTTTGCTGTGGTTGCTGGAATGCAAACCCAGGAAATCCTCCACCACCAGTTCCACCAGGCGGATTCGATGCATAGCCCCTATATGCAGTTGCTCGGTTCAAACTGGGTGGTGGTCGGGCCTTGTATGGGGCTTCATGGCCTCTGGAACGGTTGGCGAGTCCCAGACCCGAGACATTTCGATGCAATGCACTTCTGCATCGCGGAAATATTGGGTAGACAAGACCCGGACGAAGCGACATAAGTACAAGGCCACCACACCTCGATGTTAGTTACTGTGAAATGAAATTTAAGCTGCGGGAAAAACACAAAGTCCAAATAATTCTAGAATGTATTGTTTGGAGTGGAAAGCTCGGACCAAACAAACTGATTAACAAAGCACAAAAATATATTTCGGTTACCGGGAATTGAACCCGGGGCCGCTGTGTGAAAGACAGCAATGTTAGCCACTACACCATAACCGATATACTGTATCTTCATTCGTTACTTGAATAGGAACAAACGAGTCTATCAGGTCATTTATTCCAGCCTAGTTAGATGCTAAACATAGATGCTACGTTTACATAGTCGCTCTCCTTTTATTTGCGTATGCGGTTCCATGTGAGAAATCCTTCAGGCAACCACTCCGGAGTGCTCCACTGTTTTCTAGATAACTCAGCGATAATCATCTCTGCAACCACTTCAGCACTGAAGAAAAGTTAGCATGGGTCTCGATCAAAAATATGTAAGCGTTGGGACCTACCATCCAAAAGCCCGTGGCATGCCATGCCCCGTGTACCCAGCAGCTATGTATTGACCTTTATATGCACCCGAATCACGGCCTGAAGGATCTAACACTGGGCCAACCTAATCATAATAACCATTGGCTGGCTTACTCAAGACGTGGGCTTCAAAACTCACGAATGGATCTCCTGACTTAGTAAACGCCATGATGCCAGTCTGTGGTAAACATTATTCAATCGATGAAAAGAATCATTTCGAGCATATATCCAACTAACCCATTCCATCTCTGGCTCCCTTCCGGCCTCGAACCTTCCATCGAACACTGCAGGTAAGAAGTCTCGCAATACGCGACCCGCGTCATGATTATTAGTCGAATCATCATCCACGTATAACTCAAAAGGGGGTTCTGTAACAACTTCACGTCCGCCACCCAGGATGATCAAAGGTTGTTCATCAGATGTACTAGCGTTTTCACTTCTTCTAACGGGCCTTGGGAACCAATATTCGAAGCCCTGTAGAACATTTGAAATATATATGAAATCTCGAAATGCACTAGTACTCAAACACACCTCATTTCCACCCCAGCCGTTTTTGCCTATGTCCTGCGTGCTAGCAGCGGCTCTGACAGCTATAATCTGGCCTCGAGTAGGAACTATACCTTCCGGGCCCGTTAAAAATGGCAAAAGATGCGATGCATACCCATTTGTGGCATGGACAACGCGTGAGCAAGAGATAGATCCACGAGGAGTTTCAACGATGTATGGACGCGCATTATTTGAATCGCCAATTGTAACGCCTCCATTGCTGATGGCTGTGACAGGGGTTCGGGTATGCAGCGACAAAGAGAACTTGGGGCCGGCGCGAGCTTGTGCAAGATGGTACAACTGAGTGACGAGTTTGAGTGGCCAGACGTTATGTCCTGGAATGCGTACTGCGGGGTATAATGTGCCATACTAGGTGCATCGATACATGCACGAATTGAGACGTATTTTCTTGGAAATATACATTTTGGAGCTTACCGCTTGCATTTCCTCTTTACTCATCCATTGCACGTTCCGTAAATCCACACCTGCCTTCTCGGCGGCTTCGTAGTCATCCCTTGCATCTTCCACCTCTTTCTCTGTAATCAGCAGGTCGATATGCCCACCTTCCACGAGATCCACCTTTTCCTCCAGACCATGAGCATTTATGATCGAAACGAGAGATGACGCTGTGTGGGCTTCCAGCGCAAGCGAGCGGATAGCCTCGTCGGTGCCGTATTCAGTGACGTGACGCTTAAAATCAAAAAAGGCAGCGGGAGTGAGATGTCCGCCATTCCTACCTATCATCAAGGTCAGTTAGTAATGGTACGATAGGGTTCCAACTGCATCCACGCATATGGTCACGATTTGAAGCACTCACCAGTAGCTCCCGAACCTGTTTTCAATCACTATGATCAGTACACTTGAACGACACACGAAGTCGACAACATGCCAGTGGCAGTCAGCAAGATGACACTAACAAAAGTCTCGTGCTTCAAGGATTACCACCTTGAGTGGTCCTTCATGATCGACCCCAGCGACAGACTCAGCTAGGTGGTACGCAACGCCAACGCCTGTAATCCCTGAACCGATAATGCACACGTCGGCCTCACTTGTGAGAATGCCTTCGCTCCCTTCACTTGCAAGAGGATTCACGTTAGGTGCAGAATCAGTCCAGAAGGAACGGGTGGGATGCTCAGATGGCAACTGGGCCGGTCGCGGTGCTGCAGGTTCATTGGAGAATATGGTTTGGTGGGTGTCCCATCGATTAAGTGGTATCGGGAGTACACGCATGATAAGATTCAAAACAAAGTGTCCGTGAACAAACGAATGCAAGAGCGCAGGAATTTAACAAGAAGCTGAGTCATGGAAACAGATAACCAAGTGAGGGTGTTAAAATATCGATACAGACTCGAATATGTACTATAGTACTAATGCATGGTGCCTACCTTTGGAAGCTGATAAGATATCAAATTACAAAGATTTTACAGTAAAAGTATGTCGTGAATCATGAAAGGTCATCAATGCTGATATCTAAAAGTACAGAAACCAATGTTGCCAATATACCTGAGAGTGACCCGTATAATGAATTAGACTGAAAGAAAACAACGCTTAAGCTTTGGATATCAGCTGTCCATTGCCCGTATCATCGAGGCAAACGCATCACAGTCGTCCTTCTTCTTTGCCTTCTTCTCTTGTTTCCGTTTCGATTTCTCAGTTTGCGGCTGTGATCAAGACGATCAGAATCAAGTTGATCATCATGCTCCTCGACCGCGAAACCCACCTTGGCTTTGGCAGCTAACCATTCCTTCTCCATCTGTAGAGTCCTTCGTGAGAAGTCTTCCCAGGCTCTCCGATACTCTCTAACGAGAACCTTAGCAGAATCCCGTTCATCGATGCGAATTCCACCATATGGCACACGCTTTTGCGTAGACTTCTTATTCGCCTTGTCCACACCGCCAAAGATGTCCTTCGTCACTTCCAGGGTGGCATAAGCGAACCAAGAACAGGATTCCTCATTTGAGCAATATCCCAATATGTGCTGACTGACAGTAGTGAGTAGGGCTGCAAAGTGTGCAACAGATGGAGATGATGATGATTTTGGGAAGGAAAGTGTGTGGAGTTTCACGAAGGGCTGAGACGCCAAAGAACTGGTGGTACCGTCGTGTGATATCCTCACCCGATCGCGAGCGGGTAAAGACACGGATATTGAGGCGAGGACAGGGTTTATGTGAGTATGTTGATCGTACGATGAGTCGTCATCAGATAGTATAGACGAGCTATCCGAGTCTGTGAAACTAGCTACCCGCTCGACCAGCAGAACGGCCTTGGTTCGGGAGGGCTGGCGAACGTGAACGAGAAGAAACTCGTGGTTTGACGAAGATTTCGATTTGCAGTGAACGATCTTACGAATGCGACAACGTAGGCTGTCTGGATGGGCTTGCACACGATGTGCCCAGTCGCCTACGGGCGCGACATATTCAACCTCTGGAAAGAGGATGGTAGGCCTTGAAGTACTATCACCGCTCATGCCCCGACGGAAAACTTGAAGGGAAAAGGGGAAGAAACGCATGGAGTTCGTTTTTTAACTTGAGCTCGAGTCTTTCTAACCTGACAAATGATGAACAATGTGAAAACACAGGAACAGGAAAGCAAAGCTGCGACAGAAAGAAAAACTTGGTGAGGAATGAAAAATACAGTGTAAAGATGAAAGTCCCACTTGTGAGAGCATTTGTATTAGTGGAGTGGAGGCTGAGGCCATAAATATAGCACGTTAGGTCCCATCCTAGTTTGTACTGGCTGCAATTCGGGTTGCAATGGCAAGGGGATCTGATCATTGAAGTTCTACAGAGCGGTCAGCTGCAAGTTTCAAACAGTTACGATTGTTGGAGAGAGAAAAAGGAATCCAAGTACTCACCATGCCAAAATCTGTTCGTAAGGCTGTTGTCTCTGATGATGCTTCCCAATAGCAGTACCACCGGGCGATACACTATCAGAGTATTTACGGCGTAGTACGAACCAAACATCATGATGTTACCATAAAATAGATGCACTTATTCCAATTTCGGGGAACACGGTCATAATCACATCTGATCACATTGGCTGGGGTTATGGAGGCTGTACACGTGCAGGTCAAGGCACAGCTATCAAACTGTTATCGACTACTCTCGACTACTTTGGAAACATAGATCTATTGATCGTGGTCATACCTTTCAGTCAACAAGATCATGTGTGTAGGATTATATTTACAGGCCCTGGGGAGACGTACATCTCGACTTTTCTATTTAGCAAATCGCCACTGCCCCTAGCCAAACATACATTTCCATTTCTTCGTCATCTCTTAATGGAACCCTGACGCTCATGACCTTGATCAACAGATGCGTTACTGTCATCATTTGTTTGATCGCGAATAGACCAGGTTCTTCAAAGACATAAAACCTTCACTCATTATTGCAGTCATTTCCACCCTCGATTCCCAGAGAGGTAAAATGATGCAGAAAGAGCCACTGAGAAAGACCCACACGCTAACAAAAGCTCAACATGGGTCATCTTGTAACACAAAACGAGACTCACATCGAACAAGCCACCCAGAACGCGAAAAAACGTTCACTGAAGATATAGCGAGAAAAGAACATCGGAATAGGAACTATCATCGGGGTCAGTTCAGACTTTAAGTCTGAAAACAGTAAAAGTAAAGCCATACCGACGATAATAACTATAGCAGACATCGCGAACGAGTACCATGCGGCCCGCTGGAATATTTGTTGTAACACATCTCTGCTTGGACTATTTTCAACGACGGCTTCCGCTGAGATACAGACTCTACTCTTGGTATCCAGGTCTGGTCCAAGCTTCTCTAAATCCGACACGCTGTTTGCAGTTTTTGGTATTGGACCTTGAAGCGTGTGTACGTCCTTAACGGTGCCCTTAATATCAGCTGTCTCACACATGCCACCGCTCGGTGCATCAAGCAACGCAATTGCTCTCGTTCCAGCAAAATCATATTTGCTGGGCCCTGGTCGGAAGCTCAGTCTAATAAAAAGCCCTGATGAAAAAACTCACTCATCAATGATACGAATACTGTGATGAGCCCTGAGGTTAGCACCCCAGTCAAACCGCTACAAACAGCAGAATAAGGCTCTGCTAAGTTGGTGATGTTTATTGTACCTGAATATGCTCGTTATGAAAGGAAAGGTCATTAATCGTAGATGTAAGCTTGCCATATATCTTCCAACACCCAATCATCCAGGCCAGCATACCGAGACAAGCGCCAATTACAGAGCCACAGAGAACACCAGCACGTGTAAGTTTAGACCACAGCACAGTAAGCACGATCGGAATGACCGCGGAGCTCAGAACGACTCCTCTGAATTAATCGTGATGAACATAGTATCTTAGAAGCGACGAACAACGCACTGGACATAGTAAAGCTATGAACAAACAAGGAACAGTTAGCAGTCATCACGGCGAATATAACTGTATATCTTACCCAACCAAGATCGATGTTGGCTTTATTAAGCTGTGGACATCATTAGCGTTAAGGGACTGAACTTACACAAAGACTCGGAGGGTACACAACTTACGATAGTACCCCAGCAGCCCATCCATATTGCCCATATACAGATGAAATAGTGAGAAACTCGCACAATTTCTGCACCAGTAGCTTGTGGACGCCAATAAGTTCGGTATATACTGGATCCATCAAACGCTCATAAGTGAGCTTCCAGTCAAAGCAAGGAAACACCAACTGACTCGTAAGATCTGCCCAAGATAACAAAAGTTGATGTTTAGCATCTGGGTAACCAAGTGGATGAAAAATTCACTTACACTATGCTCGACACAGCTATCAGTTCTGAACTAGCCGCCGATGTGACAGCCATGCTGAGATACAGGCATCACATCAATGGGATTATCACACCAGAACGAGAATACTGACAATACGACGAGCAATAATGCTATGGCACCGCCCTTGCCCATGAGAACGGAAGCCGCGGCAGCAGCAGCAAGCCCTGCACTGGTTTGTTCAGCCGAGAGGGGAGCAGGATAAGTAGGGAAAAGGGGCTGCATCGTTTCATCAATTACGAGCGATATAACCGAGTAAGAACTACCCACGTTCGTTTGTAGTGCACGAGCGCTCAGGCCAAGACAGGAGCCAAATGCCCAGGGAACGGCAAACCAGGATATTCCGCCCAACATCTTCAGAATAACGACATGGTTTCAATCGAAAAACATATACAGACGGAAAACTCACGTAGGCCTTAGTTGTCCCACTGGGATGGCTAGCTATGGCCTAAGTGCAAATCATCAGTATTTGCGATAGTCTAGTACAACCCATTACTCGCTCGTTGCCAATATCCTGTCATAATCATGAGTTCAGAAGTAGGCGCCCCATGTGAGATGACCAACCCTGATCACAGAAAACCCCAGCAAAACCGGATAACAGCGACGCCGCACCAAATACAAGCCCTTGGTTTGACTTCAAGGTCAAATAACTTCCATTCTCGTTCCCTGAAACTGGCGTATCCACAGCAGCCTGTACGAGCAATTCGTACATTCGAGGTACACTGCCTATTTCTGGAGACGTCCCACTACAAGTGATAGAGCGTTCAATCATCGCGATGGGCAGGATACGATGAGACGACCTACAAGGCGCGAAACAAAAAGATGTATATAATGATGAAGAGAATGATGGTATGAGTCCAATCGCAGATAAATGTTGCGCGTAAACCACCGAAGACAACATAAACCGCGATACCTATAGGGAGAAGGAAGCACGCTGCAATTGTATTCATCCCGGTCAGTGCGTTCACAGTCGCAGCACCTCCCACTGTAAATGAAGTAGGTGAATTAAAGCTCGAAGTGTCGTGAACGAGATCGCATACAGAGCAATGATCCACATACAACCAAGATGCATATAAAAGCATAGACAGTAAAAAGCAGATGCGTTGCCGTGCCGAAACGGGCCTTGACAATCTGAATCGTGCTCAGCGATGTTATTGCCTGTAGGATGAACGACATACTTCAAGGAACGTATGAGCTCCGTTGGCGTTCATTTTTACCTTCGCTGCAACCATGCCAAACATGGCCACTTGTATAGACCCACCAGCACCGTACCACCTTCAAAAGACCATGTGAGTACAGAGATTTATTAAGATGGAGATATGGCTCACCAGGGACCACTAACACCTATATACTCTCATCATCAGCATATCGACCAAATAAATATTTCGATATGGATCACTCCACTGACCAAGAGTATAGGCGACAGTACTGGACTGCAGTAGAGTTGCACTCCATGTCCACGCGCTAACACTGTGTAACATTAGTCTTCGTTCAAAGACAAAGCTCCAATACGAACATGCCACAGCACACTAGTCCAGGCTTAGTCCTGAGGTGAGTTTTTCAGTTGATACACAACAGTGAGACTATCACCTTGACGCTTCTGGAAGCACTCTGAACAGAGGTTCAATAGCGAGCAGACATCAAGGGCGGGATTACTCACTGTGAATTCTTCAGAAGAACTAGGTGCAAATCTTGAGAATTTTGATTGCAAGCTGGTCAAAACCAGCATGACAAATGCGAAGAAGAATCCCACTCCTGCAGAGATATTTTTTCAGGAGTCCGATGGGTCGATATCTAAGATGGCATACCAACTACAACCCCATATCCGACACTTTGGTCTGTAGACCGTTAAGAGATCGTACAAATGGAGAGAGAGAATGGCACTTACCAAGCAGTGGCCTGAATTCAGAAGAAATTGGCTGAGACATAGGAGAAAAGAACCACAACTTGCAGTAATCGACTTAAGCTGAAGCCAACGCATTTAAGTGTATATGGCAGCAGAACTCTAGGTTACAGTTTAATGGTCTAAGAATATCTCAAGAGATAGCGAATAATCATGTTATCATTTTGACAGCATCGATAGGGTCTAGTTTTAACGCCTATGAAGATTGGGCCATTAGTCAGTGTACGAGAGAAAAAAATACAAGGACATCTACTTACATGATAACCGATAAGATACCACCATGGTCCCCTATATGTCTAGGGTATACGTTCGGCCTGTTTGATACGTGTCCGTCTAGTCATGTGTCACAGTGTTGATTCAAATTTTTTAAACGCTGGCGGAAATGTAGAGTCTATGTCCTTTTTGAACGACGAATCTGCTCAACCGCTTTAGCTAGGCGAGATGAGTGTGAGTACAACAATCAGTTCAGGCACAGCGCTAGGTACGAGATGTTCGTATACAAAACGTGCTCGCTATTCTTCACTGCCAACTACAATAGTGCATAAGGACAAGGATGGTCTATGGGAGATTTCAATCTTGGTGGGGTTAAGCTCCTGATACTAAAGGGCAGGAGTGCAAAGAAATACCATGTAGATTCCTGCATCTTTCTATCTCTCGTCCGTCTTTCCTGTAGAGCATCGCTCAATTTCTGCAACTGAGCGGTAATGGTAGTGTCTCCTCCCTTTGAAGGAGTGCTGCGGCTTTGGAAATCTGCTAGAAAGTCATTGACGCTGGCATTTGCACTTTTGAGAGAGATGGTGGTGGCTGAGATGGCCTGTAAACGTACAGGAGGTCGGAGGGACTCGTCCATTGCGCACAGCGATGAGAGTGAGAGGCGAGAGCGTGGGCGGGAAAGGGCAGAGACCGGTGGACCCGTATCACGTGATGCGGTGGACCGTGGGGTAGGTTCGGAGGTCCGTACAGTATTTGATGCGAATCATGCCATCGTACGACCGTCTAAATTTTGGTTAATTCGGGGTTCAGAGCAGTCTCAATACTGTAGTCCCATTTTGCTTCTTGTCCACTACAGCCATGAACAAGACTCTGTCTATGCTCACTTTGCTCTTGACGCATCCCACCGAATTCAGGACTCTCGTTCAGTTCTACATCTTTCATGAACAGAAACGCGACATCACTGCTCAGCAAGAGCACCCGACGTCAGGATGGGACAGACCGACTATGCGGCGCTGTTGGGAGCTTTTGGATTTGACAAGCAGAAGTTTTGCTGCTGTCATCAAGGAATTGGACGGCGACCTGGCCAGGATAGTAAGTGTTCACATTTTTGTGCCAAATGCGTACGCGAGAGCCCTCTTGCGTGTTTACCTGCGCCCACACAACTATGCATCTCGCTTAGACCACGAGGGAGATGTTGTAGTGTAGTGGTTTTTTACATGGTTTTTTTTTTCCCAACTCACTTACATGTGTTATGTCCACTCTCTTGCAACTGCTGACCGGCTTGTCTTTTAGATTTGCATATATTATCTAGTACTCCGCGGCTTGGATACCATTGAAGATGATATGACCATCTCTGATGAGGTGAAGCAACCACTCCTTCGCTCGTTCCACGAAAAGGCAATTACCCCTGGCTGGAATTTCAAAGACAGTGGTCCAGACGAGAAGGATAGACAACTGCTTATTGAATATGACACCGTCGTCATCGAAACCAACATGCTCAAACCTGAGTAGGTCCCCAGAGTGCTATCGTTGTGCATTCGTCTAACCCTACGGTATTCAGGTATAAGGCAGTCATTATGGACATTTGCCAAAAAATGGAAAATGGCATGGCCGATTATGCTCACAAAGCCGCTACGACGTCTACAGTCTACCTTGAGACTGTCGCAGAATATGATCTCTATTGCCACTACGTCGCAGGCCTTGTTGGAGAGGGTGTCACTCGTATTTGGTCAGCGACCGGTAAAGAAGCACCGTGGCTATGTGACCAGCTCGAGCTAGCAAACTCTATGGGTTTACTCTTGCAGAAAACAAACATTATCCGTGATTTCCGTGAAGACGTCGACGACCGGCGGTTCTTCTGGCCTCGTGAATTATGGGCCAAGTACGGATTTGAAGAAATGAAGGATTTGTATGAGAAGGGTGACGTGGAACATGCGACATGGATACAAAGTGGCATGGTCTTGGACGCGCTACGACATGCCACGGACTCGCTGGATTATTTGAAATTACTCAAGAACCAGAGCATATTTATTTTCTGTGCAATCCCTGTGACCATGGCTATGGCAACACTGTCCTTATGCTTCATGAATCCTGAAATGTTCCAGAGGAACATCAAAATACGCAAAGCAGAGGCCGCAAAGGTATGTTTCCACACGTCTGGTTTTGACAGTTATTGTTTTACTAATTTTATCCCACCAGCTTATCATGCGTTCGACTAACCCCCGAGAGGTTGCTCTGGTATTCCGAGATTACGCTCGCAAAATCCATTCCAAAGCTAAGCCGCAGGATCCTAATTTCCTACGACTATCTGTGACCTGTTGTAAAGTATGTTTCTATGTCCTAGCTTTGCTATGTTTACATATTCTGGTACTGATCTATCGTACTTGGCAGATCGAACAATGGTGTGAGCAGCACTACCCTTCATTCGTTACGCTTGCCCCAGCCGGTCAGTCACCATACGACCCGCTCGACAAACGCACTGCTATCGTACAAGTTGAAGAAAAGCGAATAAAGGAAATTGAGACAGCTCGTATAGAGGCCTCAGGCATACGTCCTCTGATACCCGATAACAGTTTCCCATGGGAACTGATGGGTTTCGTAGCAGGAGGATTTGCTATTGTTATCCTGAGCAGTCTTGGGATTGTCTGGATAATCTTGAAAATCTGGGCCGATGACATCTGACACTACCACTACCTCGAGACTCCGTTCTGTAGTGGACTATTGATACTATATATAGCTTTTATTCATCATCCTTATTGGCCCTGTAATGCCTCATTGTGCTTTCTCGAGATGTTATCGTTTCCAGCATATTCGAAGTGAACCCCGTGAAATATTTTCCATTGTTATTTGTTAACATGTTTTCCCATGACACCCAGAAAATCCAAGAAATAGTTAAAATAAAATATGGTGTCTGTTTGGGTACAGATTACTCGTCCATATGTAACCCTTTAGAGTTACTTTTTGCGCTTTGACGCTAGATGTACCGATTTAGACCGCATTCACTGCCAAAGAAAAAAAGCACCTACATCCTTCCTTCGTGGCGGAAGGCGCCTTTCGCTTCCCCGCGTGTTTGGATTCAGCCTGGGCACCCTCTTCGGTTTTCCCTTTGCCCTTGTGTTTCACGTTCTTGGAAGGACCTGAAAGCGCAGCCTGGTCACTAACACATTTAGGACAGAACCATTCACCTTCTGGTATTGCAGATAGGGGAGGTTTAAGACAGCCTAAATGATACGGATGGTCGCACTAGAGATACAGGGATCAGAAATGTGAGACTAGCAAGACACTACACAACAATTGTGATCACCTTGTCGCATTCCAAAGCAGGGTCGTCGTCTCCGTTATCCTTTTCACACACTACACATAAATCAGGGGCTTCGACTTCAACAGGGTGACGAGGTAGATCGGAAAGCTTTGAATTGGGTTTCGCTAAGAAAAGGGTTGTGTTCTGGCCCGCTGCTATGCTGAAGAATCGTGGGGATACGGTCACAGTCAAAGGCAGTCAGTTCATGCACTACTACTCACCTGAAAACCTGAATTCCGCTCAGAGGTTGGTGACGGGTAGGCTTTGTGGCACTTTTCGGCTCATCAGGACCAAGGCCCAGCTCACCTGACAACATTTCAGAAATAGAAATATCACAACTAAAATAAATCTCATACCATTGGCGGCATTCTGCCCCCATGCCACAGTCATGGTGCCACCATCATCGTCATCCGTCAATGCGAAATGAGTAACTCCTCCGCAGCTAGCGTTTGACATCTTGCATGCCCTGAGGTACAAAGTCAGTCAAACTTGAGCAGATTTAAAGGTAAAGATAATCCGACATTATGTCTTGCATGAAGCGGAAGGACGAGTATGGCGACCCAGAAGATCCTGGTTGTGAATGATGCACGATGAGCCAATACAAGATTATACATTGAAATCCACAATACCTTCGCCACTATTCTTCCACTACATAATCATTTAGTGCATGAGCTACAACCTAATCTGACATTCCGCATACCTTGCCAGCCATCCAGTACATTTTTTGGTTATCAATGATAGCTGTATTCGAGGGGCCAGCAAAGACATGGGCGCCCATCGTCGCTTCATTGGGCCCGGCAAACTGGTTGACGATTAGAAGCGCAACAAAAATAACGTAAAGAAGAACTCAACCTGAGGAACAATCTTCGGAATGAGTACGTCCTGTTGGTTTCCCAAACCGAGTCGACAATACCCGTTGTAGCCCCAAACGTACACAAGACTGGTTTAATATGATGAGCTCAAAACGTTATAAGTTATGATATGCACACACCCCTGAGAATCAAGGGCGACGGTGTGTTGCTGACCACACGAAATTTGTACTATTTTTTTGTCATCGAGGCCTCTTACTCGGACTTATGAGAGCAAATTAGGACAGTGATAACCGAAAGACAGCGAGGTACGCAACTAGGCTCAACTTCGATATCATACGCGGTTTTGTTACCAGTGACAATGTGCTCCCCTGTCCTTCCATTTCCCAGCTGTCCTTTTTCACCACTTCCAAAGGTAAATACTGCCAGAGTGATTTCAGTCTCTGCAATAAAAATCAACGAAGCCAATTACTTACCTTTGCCACTTTCGGTGAGAACGACAGAAAAGGTTATGCCTGCTGCAGCCTTAATAACGCGTTCCCTTGCGCCGTTATGAAAAGGCCCATCAACTAGCTTGAACGTTGATACCTGGGCGCAGACAGAATGTCCGCACTATGTGGATGTGGAGTGCATACAATAAGCATGGACAAAAAGCTGGGCAGTAATGATAACGACTTGCCTGACCATGGTTGTTTATACCTGCCGACCATACTTGACCTTCGCTGTCTACCAACAACGAGTGACCCCTCCCACAAGCAGCATCCACAAACTTCGCATATTCGGGTGCACCCAAATCACTGGCCCGTAACCTTCTGGGCACCTTTTCAGAGATCGCGTCAACACCAGTGACCCCGAGGGGGGCCGAAGGTCCATTGCGCCCAAACATCCACGCTGCTCCGTCAGTGTCAATGGCGATGAAGTGACATCCACAACAAGACGCGTGTATTGATGATATTTTTACATTGCTAAGGGAGCGAAGAATGTGGGGCTCGAGAAGGTCTGGATTCCTAGTGCCCAGTGAGGTGAAGTTCAGTTCACGACGCGGTCAAGTTGGAAGTGAAACACACTCGGATTCGTCCTTTTCACTCTTGCCTCCCCGCTCTTTGCGACCCAGCTTTGGCCTGGTTATTGTTCAAATTCGACGAGAAGATGCAGTCCAGGAAGTGTTTAGATATGTGTTCACAAGTCAAAACCTGAAAGTGTCCACATAGTGATGAATTTAACTCTTACCAGTCTGTTCCACCACAAATGAGGACTGACGCAAACACTCAGTAAATCATTAATTTAATATATAATTTCGCTTACCTCTGCCCCATTGCTGATCCACAGAAATTGAAGCAGGAGGTTCCTCTGCAGGAATGTTTTCAGCAGTTGTAGTCATGTCAGAGAATTTGTTAAGGTTGGTTCAGACGAAAGCGCTCGTCCCGTGTCAATATGGAAAAAGCCAGCTTAGCCTTCTGTAGAATTAACCTGATGGGTGACGTTACTTGCATTTATTCAAACATTCATGGCAAAATACACAAAGAGAGGAGAACAAAGAGTGCTATCAAGCAAGGCTCGATACTTTTACACATCTACTACTACATGCAAACTACATGTCAAACAGTGCCGTCAACGGGTCAGTAGCATCTGGAGGTTCTTCAATTTCTACGTCTTCGCTAACGCGCGAAATTCCCAGTGGATTCCAAGAAGAACTCGGAATCGATTGCCCTAGTTCTGGCCCTCCGCATGACATGTCTCCATCACTTGCTGCTGCAGCTTGAGTGCCAATCAGAACTGAGACAGTGAATTAGCTGCATGCACAAAAGCTAAATACTTGAGTACATACGTATTGTAGTGCCTGACCGCTTAATCTGACACTAAAACCGGAGCAACAGTCGTCACATCAGCAAGCGTAAAGTGCAAAAGGAAAACAACTTTCCTCAAAGTCATCACCTTGAAGTATCAGAGCATCACCATGCACCAAAGTAACCGCAAGGTCCGTTTGCTGTTTCAGCTGACCTTTCCTTCCTCCTGCCAAAGGTAACTCGTCTTGTCCTGCGTTTTGACCAGAGGTCACTAACACATCTTTGTGGGAAGATATGGCTGCAACGGGCTCAGTGCCGTCTCCATTGGCCGTCTCCATGGTTGTATCCTGCGCTAAAGTCTCGCGGTCTATCGGCGAAGCAGGGGGATGCTCGTAAGTGGGTTCTCTTTGTCTGCTGTCGTTTCCGATGCCGTTATGGAACATTCCAATTCTTTGGTCTGCTTCGTGAAATGATTCTCGTGAAGAAACAACGCCTTCCATAGCAGAGTTCATCTCGGGTGCTGCTTCCGCCCAAAATCCGGTTTTCGGTACAAACCTCAGATCTACATCAGATCCCAAACAAAAAATGACTATGCTGAATGTTTTAGCCCTGAACACTTTCCCCTAGAACCGATTAAAAACACAATGGTGCTGATAGAGGGGCTAAGGACTGACCTTTCTGGAACCACTTCGAACCCATGCCTGAGTAAGTAGTGAATCGATTGAGAATGACTCGTCTTCATCGTAGACTTGAACATAGTGTTGAATCAAGTCTCGTGCATGTAGTAAAACTGGTACATCCTCCCATGAAACAGCTCTTGTATTATCCACTGGAGGTTTTGTGGCCATGAGGGTGAAATAAGGCGCTAAACATACGTTTCAGAAACTGTGTCGCAGGCAAAGCATGGCTTGGAAAACTTACAAGAAGAATCTTCTCGTAAGAGAGGCACATGCGCCTGGATATATTCGAGTAGTCGAGTGGGTTCTTCTTGTAGGTCTTCGTAATTACAAGTAGAGATGTGTTTGATGGCAACATTCTCATTGATTCCATACCGGTAAACATCCATGCCGTCCATCCATTTCGTCACAATGATTTCAACGCATTCGGGAGCGGAATCGAGTGGCATCAGGATCGGAAGGTTTTGCTGAGTTTCTCGGATGGTATACAAATTTTCAACGTAACCTATGGTCGACTGGTCACTGGCCACCGACTGTCATATGTTCAGTAAGCGTACTGTAAAGAGTGCGGCTGCGCATAGTTGTCCCCCTTACCTTGCAAGTCGAGTTACCGCATATTTTGTGTCGAAAAAACCTTTGTTCATTCAGCATACCACACTCCTTGCAGAACCAGCCTCTGGGAAATGGCTCACTCGGCGTGGAGGATGCTAAGAGATCCAGAGGTAGATAACTGGTGTACTGACTGCTCAGGTCTCTATGATGGGACGTTCCCTTGTCCGGTAGTTTGCCGTCTGATGAAGCAGGGGATATCCACCAAGGGAGTGGTGCGTCGCTTCCTATGAGCAGTTCTTCCCCACCAGGTGCCCAATCGAGTGTCAATGACCATGTTACCCGACCATTGATGCCGGTGAGAGAGTGATCGCTTGAACATTCGAGGATCTCTAGCTACAAAAAATCAGGCACAAAACGAGGAATATACCGCGAGAACAGACGGACTCGCACGTTAGATACAAAGAAAAACCCCAGATACGAGTAGGCATATTGTGAATGTAAACTGGCAGGCATCAGTGCACATGTACGAGATGCTATTACGACCAACGGCATTTCGAGAGACTGCAAGCCGAGAAGGACTTCAATCTCTGGGGGTTTCTTCTCCGGGAGGCGTGAGCTAATCGATTTCTTGGATCCAACTTGTTCTACTGGAGGCTCGGACGGAGAATTTGCACCTATCTTTGCTTCATAAACTATAAGTGTTGAACCTGCATGAAAGAGAAAGATGCATGCCTAAATGATGTTGTGCTGTGAAACAAGAGCCGCTGTGATCAGGCGTAGAAGAAAAGGCGTGCCCAACTGGGAACTGGGATGGTATGACTGATTGATAGGCATCGAGGACTACATCATAGCCATGGACTGCATTTACGTCTAAAACACACGAATCAAGTCGGCTGACGGCAGCATTCTGCTGAGTCTCGCACGAAGACGGATTGAGATCGGGGCCACAGGCGTCGGGGTGCTTGGGGAGTGGATTCACGGTTGGTGAGGCGCTTTGCACGTCCTGGGAATGGCCTACAGGCTGATCTAAAGTTGTATGATAGACATATTCATTAGGCGCTTTAGTAAGAGTGAGATCCTTTGAGCTACCGAATGTCTCTGCGGTTGAAGAGAATAAAAACATCCCGCGATTTAAGCAGTACATATCAGGGTCGTCTCCGACAGAAATACCTCCAGATACATTCCCCGTATGGTCTTCAAGTGGTTCCTGCATTCGATTACCATTCTGCGCTTCATCAGATGTTGACAGTGCGTCCCCCGGAGGATACTCCAAAGAACCGAGCGAAGTTATAGTCTCGTCCTCCGCATCACAACGAACCAGGATATCCGATACGGGTGGTTGGTTTGGTGGGATATTCTGGGCAATTGGTTCGAGATCAGACTCGTCGCAAGAAAAGTCCCAGGTCCTATGAGAAAACTTGTTCACTGGCTTGTATGGGATAAATACAAGGTAAAACTAACGTTGATAATTTGATATTAATATCTCCGTCCCAGGAACTATCAAAGGCAGAGTTCTCCAAGAGGAGCATCGGCGTTTCAGAATATAACCAAGCAAGCCCTGTAGGTGATTTGGAGAACTCGGGAAATATAGTTAATAGATCTTTGCGGCTCTGTCCTAACTGCGTAAATAGACAAGGTGACTTTGAAAATTAATGGTCTTCTTACACCTGTCCAAACACGAGGTCTTAACCCAACAGGAACCTGTTCTTGAGGGGCAGGAGGGCCAGCGTCACTGTTAGAACTGCGGCTGTCATAGCTGTATTTTACGAAGGTCCAACGCAGGTCCGTTTTCTTACAGGAAACGGCGGCTGTAGGCGCAAAGATAAAGATAATAACGATGAAGAGGAGTGAAGAACACACACATGGCACACTAATCACCTCTCCGGGTTGACTTTCTGGCTCCAGAATTTTTGACGAGGCAGATTTTGGGGAAGCCCGCTTCTCCTTCGACTGGAAGCCTAGTTTAGTGGCTTTTCCAGACTTTTTGGCCAGTGAAGGTGGCTTAGATTTTGCCTTCTTCCGCAGGCTGCGCTTCTTTCCAGAGCTAGACTTTTGCATTGGGAATGGGATGGTGAGCGATACCCCACTCTCCTGATTTGGAATCGAAAGCTGAGGGCCTACACCGTCGAACATTGATGAATCTACTTGCGAAGAGATCGGGGCAGTATTCTCTTGGTTGTTGACATCAGAACTGACAACTTGGGATCTATCGCCCGTGGTAAATAAGGTAGGAGCAACAAAAACCATGCCAGCCAAGCCTTCACGTTGAGGATCTTGGCACTCATTTGGTTGGGAACAGACTCCTGTTTGAAACACTCTATTGTTCAATAGCGTTTCTTCAAGTTGCGGGAGAGAGATGTGATCTGAAACATATGGATCGTTAGGGACAATAGATTGCGCGGTGCTTCGGACGCCATCGTTATCTTGGGGATATTCGAGTTCATCAGTTATGATATCTATATTATCCAATGGTGGCGAGGATAATGAGATTGGGCGGGATCGCGACAGGGCACTGGAGGTACCGTACTTGCATGTTGAGAATTCGCCTTTTGATATTTGATTCTCTCGCAGAAATTGTTCTCCTTCAGAAGACACGATATCCGGACGAAATGGAGACGAGGGTGCGGTAAGATCAACCCTAGTTGTAATGAATGTAGCCTCTCCTAGGAGTGTTCGCGGCTCGTGTCCATTGTCGGCACTTGGAAGCTCGGTAGTATTGGAGGAGGTATCTTTTGAACTACTTTTAGGTATACGGAGGCTGGGAAGTGAATCCCACAACTTGTCATCTGTTTGGCATTGTTCTTTGAGGTTTTGACAGGAGATACAGGTTGGCCTAGTCCTCGAACAAGTGCGTTTAGACTCCTTGCAGTTGACGCATTTCTTGGGAACGATGTACTTCATCGTTGTTTGCGTAGGATTTGCGCTAGAATCGATCTCAAAGATAACATGGCGGTCGACGGTAACATCCCAAAGCTTTGGCAACGTTGTTGGACGTCGCACTGATGCTCCCCAAGCTCTTGCATATGCGGGTATATCGTCCTGGAAAACGTGCACACCAACACCGTCCCCACTGGCACTGGTAGGTTCAGAGTGTTCTAAAGGATCCATGAATGGACATTAAAGGCCTGTTTCGCCCTGGTTGGCTGTCAAGGTGGAAAGAAAGTAGACTGTGTGCGTATAAGCAAGCGCATACACAGACCTCAAAAGAAAAAACACTGCACCTACACGCTGGGCTAAACGACGACGGAACCGTGTCTGGCTCGACGCGACGCGGCGACGAAAGATATTTGTTCGAACTCCGACAAAGAACTTTTGGTACTGGCAATCACAGTCTATAAGTAATTGCTAAAGGTTGATATGGGGAAAAAGCGTTCCAACCTTTCTGGTCTGTCCAGTTTTGTGGCCGTAGCATTCAAAGATTCGGGAGATACAGCAAAGGGTAACGGACATGGGCCCATTAACGTGCTCGAAGGAAGTCGACCTGAAGTACAACGAGAGGATCGACCGCAGAGCAAGAAGCGCAAGGTGGGGTTGCTAGGTGCTGGATATGAGAAATACGATGCCACAGGCCTTACTCCCCACTACACAAATGCTCGTGATGTTCCAGATCACTTGCAAAAATGTACGTCTAGAAATATAGACATTTATTTTTATTTTCCTGCTTACGTATGTACTCAGACTTTTCTCAAAGAAAACGATATTTCTCACTATACGAAGAAGGCTGTCTGTTAGACGAGGAGGGGTGGTATAGTGTCACTCCCGAACGCATCGCCGACCAGATTGCAGAACGATGTCGGTGCGATACGATACTCGATGCATTCTGTGGTGTAGGAGGCAACGCTATCGCGTTTGCAAAAACCTGCGAGAGGGGTATGTCATTCATTTCTATGGTGATCCATCATGCTAATGCATTCCCCGATGAGTTATCGCCTTAGATACATCACCTATCAGACTGGCTTTAGCTCGCCATAATGCAGTGATTTATGGCGTTGCCGACCGCATCGAGTTTATCCTTGCCGACTACTTGTCATTTGCTCGCACATATCTTTTTCAACCTAACAAAAGTCGCAAGATTGATGTCGTCTTTCTCAGCCCGCCATGGGGCGGTCCGTCGTATCTTTCCGCGTCGCCTTTATCAGATCCTGCTCATAAATCTAAAAGCGACGACCTATCCGAGCATGAACTAGCGGAGACATATCCAGAATATAGTCTTGCATCTATACAGCCTGTTCACGGTAGCGAATTATTCAAGCTTACCAGAAGAATCACATGCAATATCGCATTCTTCTTACCTCGCAATACTTCTCTCGATGAAATATCTGGCCTCCTTATACCGACTGTATCGGGCGGTAGTGACAAAGCGCCTGAGATGGTGGAGGTTGAAGAAGAGTGGATGGGTTCGAAACTGAAAGCGTTGACATGCTACTTCGGCGGACTTGTGGATGGACAATCCGACTTGTTCTAGACACAGGTTGGTGTCTAATGCGGGATATTACGGCGTGCGTTCTGGCTGAATTGCTGTTCGCAGTTTATATACGGTGTGCAGCCTATTTGCACATTACTCGCTTCCTTGAAGTGTCGCCATCGGGCCCGACGGTTAACTCCCTCATGCAAAGACCCCTACCAGCCGATGTAGAGTGCGCTTCCTTGCTTCCATCACAATCATTCTCTCGCTGTACAGGAGATTAGGGCATAACACATGAGATTATGGCCTCATCCCACCCCAGAATGGATGATAATGTTGATCACCATCTCCTGGGCCACAACACGTATGTGTTTACCGCTTGATGCGTGTATATAGGTGTGCTTCCAATGTTAGAAGAATTTAGTGGAACCATTTGGAGCTGCCCACCCGCAAGACGTACTGCTGTGAATATGGATCAAACTACTGCAAGCGAACTGCCTTGGCGGTAGTTTGTAAGTCTCCATCTAGTGAACATTAGCGCCGTTCGTGTCCCAAACATTTTGCAATGCTATAACCACCACACGAAAATTTTCGAGTTCACGCATAACATCAGGAATGAAGTCCAAACAGCAATATGCTCTATCAAGCCTAGTTGGGCAGAAAGTAACGGTTTACCCCCTCGATGTAAGAACGAGTCGCGATTTGCCGATTTTGTGTCGTGAGATGCACTGCAGCATTATGTTAGAGCCCATGGTGAAATGGTATTTGCTTTGCCATTATTTTTGTCAAATGGCTACTGTTGACGTTAATATAACTTGAATGTCAGAGATGATTCGGAGCCGTGATTATGATAGCTTTCAATAATCTCAGGTTGCATAGGGCCGATCAAAATGCAGACCAGCCCTTGCGAAGAAGTTCACAGAAGGCAACGGACCGATGGCGGTATATGACAATTTGAATGATGTCGGTTGCCTGTCTGGATAACATTCACAAGGGGTGATGGCGGCACATCGTGGCTACCATCGTTACTGCAAGTATTCTATGATCGATGCCACATTGACCTGAATCAATGATTAAAGGGCGATACAGCCTCATCTGAAATAGGTGCCAGGTGCATCACCCTACTACCGATAGCTGCGCTTTCTAGACATGCGCAGATCAAGAGTTCCTTTGCACAACCTGGATGATTGGAGCGGACACGACTATTTCTGGAGAGAGATTCCTGGAAAAGAAGAATCTCAAGATGATACTTGGCCGCAATGCTTTGCTGAGATGCACGGTCGTTCTACGCAACGGTAACATTATTATGACTGTGGCCCATCATCCTATCGGCGCTGTTGTTGTAAATATCCTCTGTGTGACAATGTGCAATGTCTTCCGACGTCGCCATCGATCACGGAAGCTCCACTCCTTCTTTTATGTACAAGGGCAACGGCTCTAGGAGATGAGTCAATGGAAATAACCATTATGTATCATATATTATGACACTGGAGTTGGTTAGATCCCGACAGTGCCGACCCAAGTTGTGCAAGTTCCTGGAAGCTGGGACAAATCTAATAGCCGATCATTAATTCTGGGATTCGATGACCCATAAGCTTTTCATACGCAGGGCGTCTTTTGACTACCATTGTGTAACCTAAGGTTGCAAAATGCGCAAGTCGATCGATCATCGGATGCACTTCAAGTTCGCACGTACTTGTGGCTTTCAAAGGGCTACGCACGCAGGTGTGAACCCATGACATGTAATTATTAGTACTATCTTCTATTTGACTTGAAACAACAACCTCCACAGATCAAGACTACTAGAAAACCGGACCCAACTCCTGGCGTTGTGGTCTGATCTTCGTTCCGTCGGGCTAGAAGCAAACTTGATGGCAAGTCTGAGGATCTAGGTGCTTGAAAATCAAATTGAGCGTCGTCAAATGGCAATGGGCCTACAGTAGTATGCTTAAGCTTATAACTCGGTGTAATTTTATCGGCTTCTGCTAAACAGACTCGGAGCGAGCTGGCCACGTCAGACTTGACAGTCATAACTCAGTGTCCAGATATCATAATTATTAGTATAACGAGTGTAGGTAGAACCGTCGCTTGCGCAGGAGTACGTGACTTGTAGATCGAGGACAATTACATATGAACGATATAAACCCAGCTTTAACTTGAAGAAGAAGATTGTGTAGAAGAATGCTTTGAGTCTGAGTCACTGACACCGAGAAAACTAAACATGCTTGTTAACGCGAAAGCGTCGTCGTCATCGTTTTCCCCGGTAAATCCAGTGGAAGAAAGACGATGTATGTTTAGGATAAGCCTGCAGCCCTGCTTCTGCAAGTGAATACAATAAATGAAATCGACTTGAACCATGTGACACTCACACAAATCGAAAGAATAGATAAGAGCCAACTAAGGGCAGTCATAGCAGTCATACGGTGAGACAGGCAGACGCAAAAACAGCTTTCACTTACTAAAAGATAATATCATTTGTATCTATCTCCAGGAGAATATTCATTAGTGGAAAACAAAATATGGCTATCGTTTCGACTTCGCGCTCAGTAACGCATGTACTTATTATTGAAGACGTACTCACTAAGGTTTACAATGGCTGTAAAGCTCCCATCCCTCAACACTAGGGACACAAGCGGCGTTCGGCCCCAACCGTAACGTGAGGCAGTGAACTGTTTCCACCCCGTGAGGACCACCAGGGTAATCTGAGTCACAGCTGCTGAAACTCTATGTTCCAATCGTCAGCAAGGGCGATAAAGTAAAAGTAAAGACTCACGAAAAATATATAATTTGTGGGGGAGCCCTATCGAAGAGACACATGGGACCCGGGCGAAAGTCAGACATTATGAAAAATGTGCTGGTGCACATGCAGCTGATTTCGATGATGAGTTCCGTTGTCAGTATAGTAGCTATCTTTCGACTACCATTCCACAGCGCGTAAACTACTCACGAACATCAAGAAACATGACGCACGATATGTTTGCAAATTACGCACCTCTCGTCATAAGCAATCCATCCACAAGCACCAACATCATTTGCACCACTACACTCTGATATATGATCCAAGCTTTACAGTGGTGAATTGCAACTCCAGCGACCATCCACGAGACGAAGAATATGTTGTAACTAGGGGTACGGATAAGTGAAAAAGAAGAGAAGGTCAAAGAATGCAACTACTTGCATCTGACAGATCAGTGGAACGTATCTGCAGAATATATACACCCATTTGTAGTATGAAGAACCTGGCTTTCTGGAAACAAACCGTAAGAGGAAGTATTAGAGCAATAAATGGAGAAACGAGAGAACACAGTAATATATCACTCACGACCATATGTACTCGATTTCATCCTCGATGGTCAAAAGGAGGTCCCAGACCATCACTGTCAATACGGCATCTAATAAGCGTCGAGATCAGTACCTCCATAATTATTAAGCTGCCTGCAGCGCATAATGGACTTACATGCATTATAACTTGTGAGACGCACTACCCAAACTTGCCTGAGTATGGCTTCACTGCACATCGCCCGCTTGGGAGTGGAATAGAGTGGAAGGATTCTTGTCCAAGACGGAGGTGCAGTCTACGCGGAAAGTCCTGCCAGTAGTAATATATGGGTGTTATATGGGGCAATGAAAGGATGGGATTCGCTCGACAGTAGATTTCCAAGCAGCAAGATTTATATTGACCAGCAGGGTCCTATAGAGGTGCCGAAAAACATATTATAAAGTAGCGCACGTCCAAGCCGCGGGGCCTAGAGACAACAGCCTATTTGTTGATTGGCTGAACTTAGTCTGATTATACTTTCGTTGAATATATTTCCCGCATTGCCGGCATTCTACAAAAATAACCAAACCTGCATCTGTTGCGAGATAGATCCGAACCTGGACGGCATCAATGTTGTGATCTCGCGACTAGAAAATTTGGTCGCAATGCCACTGAGTGGCCGGTAATAGCTCGAAGCACAGTAAACTGAGAAGAAAGACGAAATATCATACCAAAAAAGTAGCAGTCCTGAGGAATGCGCCGATGACCGTACCGTGTTTCCCCATTATGGAAACTTCTGGTGTTCCCAGGTCAAGAACAGTTGCGAATTTGCAATTGACGCGTTCTTTGAGCGGACTGAGGTAAAGACTGCAGTAATAAGCTTAAGTACTGACCTGCTCAACTTGGAACACTTTCGTAGAACACCATGCGTATAGGAACAACGCGACGTATAGCGTAACCGGTCATTCGGTGGTGGCTTCGGTAAGTGAGTCATCCAAACGTCAAAGCGCTTAATTGGGTATATATGGGGGTTTGATAACATTCCATTTCAAAGCCTTTCTCCACTGGCATGTCTGTCAACAACTGCAGAACTCCTTTTGTTATCGTCAACGCATTTTCCGACGATTCTTTTGGCGGCAATCCGGCTGTCATCGTATTTTTGCCACAGTCGAGTCAAACGTCGATCGATATCTCGTCGTCGGCTTTGCAGAAAATCGCACACAGCTTCAACCAGCCTATAGTAGTATTCGTTGCACCTCCTTCTCCAGACGCTGATGATGGCATCCTTAACGTACGGTTCTTTACGCCTGAGCTAGAAGCACCATTGTGTGGCCACGGCCTCCTTGCTGCGACTAAAGCCATCTGCGACGGGTACATGCCGGGCCAAAAACATATAAAAGATATTCTGAAATTTCGGAATATGAATGGTACTGTATTGTCTGCTGGCATACTCTTGAATGGCGCGGGAGCAGCGACACAAGGAGAATGGTTTGAATTAGAATTACAGGATAATGTGGTAGAAGAAGTCTCGCCTGATGAAAAGCAACGCTTGACCCAGATAGTCGGCAAGGCATTGGGTAAATCAGATGTAGTGGTCAAATTTATCGGACAAGGGGTCGGTGCGCTGGATAGATATGTTCTGATTGTGCTAGACGAGAAAGAAACGTTAGACGGAGCAAAGGTTGACACGGAGGCCTTGGTCAGTGTCATCTATCACATTCTCCTTGTCGCTAGTCTAAGATAACCCTCAGAAAGGAACGTTCCCGCGTGTTGTCAATATTTTGACCAGGGCTACACCGAACTCGGACACTGTCTTCGTCTCGCGCATGTTTGCACCATTAGCAGGTCTTCCAGAGGATCCTGTCTGCGGAACTGCGCACTGTCTCCTTACACCTTATTGGTCAACCAAAACACATCAAGAAGGTCAAGACTTGCGTGTAAAACAAGTTAGCCCTCGGGGGGGAGACCTTTTGGTCAGATGGGAGAAAGAGAGGGGCATTGTGAAGCTGAGAGGGAAAGCGATAGTGACCACTAGCGGAAACTTGCATCTGTAACATTCTGGCTCAAGCGTGTCCCTTTAAAGTGGGTCAATAGATAGCATGCTAGATCATGCGCAAATCCTGTATCACATTGCTAGGTAAATTCGAATAGAAAAGAGGTACGTCTTTATTCGTCTTCGTCATCTTCTGAATCGTGATTGAGCCGACTTAAAATTGAACCATCAAAAGCATCTTTAAAAAACCGTTCCATCAGTCTGCGATCAATGAGAAGTATAAGAAGTACATACGCCCTACAGAAGCAGAGTGTCGTCCTCGATAAGCTGCGAGAGGTGATGCTATTACTGGCGATGGCGATGGAGGTATCGATATCGAAGATGAGTTCAATGGAGTGTTGAAAGGAGACGGAGATGATGGCATCGTGTAGTGCAAAGTACGCGAAGGGGTAGAGATAGGAGAGGAAATGTAAGAGGATGAGAAAGATTTTTGTAATTGCGGGGAGGTCTAACATATGCCAAAGTTAGTAATACTTCTGTCATTAGGTGTCAACATACATTAGGAGTAAAAGTTCGCAGACGCTTCTTCTGGCTGACGGGAGAGATATAATTTGCTTTCGCAGGCGACTGAAGAGGTGGCAGCGGTGCACGAGGATATTTCAGCGCGTAACCAGCCTGTAGGACGTTCAGAGCGAAGAGACTCAATAGCGCTAATTCTATAGCATATTGAATGATAAGCGCAGAATAAACAATCGTATTAACAGGTACATACCTGCTGAACACAGATAAAACCACCAAGATGTGGCCGATGAATTCTGAGACAAAACGACACCAAAACACGTCCATAAGGATGGCAATGGTGAGAGATTCATCACCAATAGCAATATGGCAATTCCTGCTGTGCTCGTACGCAAACGAACAGCTGCTTCGCTTTTGTGAGGTTTCGCAAAGTCCAAAATTCGCGTTCTGGTTTGAGAGAGGGCAACAGATGGGCTGGCCATTTGGGATCCAAAGCTTGAAGTAACAACTGCAGATAGAGGAAATTCGTAGTTCTGGTGGTTCTTGAAGACTTCTATAAAACTTAACGCAGAGCCGACGTCTAGGATGGTGGAAACTTTCAGGAGAGGTGAGCTAGGCTTTTGAAAATTACCATTGTCTGCAACGAACGACCAACGGATTTTACAACTCCGACACCAATTTGAGTCGGTTTGTGACAGTTTATATTGTTTATCTACTATATCGGGCCCGTACACATGTGTCACACCCGTGGAAGGGGCGCTCAGCGTATGGGGCAAACTGTCAAGTCTAACTGAACTGCACATTCAAAAAAATAACATAGTCCGTATTAACATTTACATTCGAAAAATAAGTTGAAGAGGGTAGATGTTCGCTAAATACTACTGTGCCCTGGCAACACCGCTCTGCGATCATAAACACCCCAACATCCTCTACTGGGGCACTCTACCGGTGCCGGCACAAACAGGACAGGGGCGTACGTCGATTATCAAAACAGATAAACTTCCCAAACCGCCACATCTCCAACAAATACACCCTCCAAGACGGGGATCTCCCGGTTTGACAGTGATAGCACCAGGGGGCGGATGTAAGCCCGCTACGGGGTTATAAGCATAATATTGCTGCTGCTGTTGATTATATGATTGTTGATGATGGTCATTCTGCGGTGGAGGATATGCAGAAGATACACTGCGAGAAGATGAAGTAGACATGTGAGGCGGGGTAAATGATGGGAGAGGACGCTGAAACGAATTGCGACTGGTGCTAGTAGATGATGGATTATTGGACCATGGGGTGTAGGTCAAGGCACCCGTATAAGATTTGCCAAATTTATCCCAACATTTCCGGCAAGGGTGTGAAGGATCATAATTTTTATAACCGGTGTTACGACCTACACGTGTAAATTCAGGTGAGCGATTTATTAAGAGCACAGATAAATGATACTGACACTTTACGCAAATATATCCATGTGTGTACACCAATAACATTCCGTCCCGCAGGAGTGGATGACCAGGTACAGGGGTCGTTGTAGGAGTCCCATCGTCTGGGACGTTACTGGCAGGCTGCGGTCTCCGGGTAGAAAGGTCTCTTGAAGAAGAACTTCTGTGAGCAGTAGATGGAGGATAAGGTGTTGCATAAGCATTGGCAGGGACGTATCCCTGTTGTTGCTGATATGGTCGATTTTCAGGTACACCAGATATCACGTCAACTACGTCTCGAACAATCTCCGTAAGGGCTCTCGATAGGAGACCACCTTGACGACGAGATCCTAGGCTGATATTCCTTTGATGATAACTTGCATGACCCGAAAAGCGGGAGGCAGTCGGAGGGGGAGCGTAAGAGATTGTGGGAGGGGGCTGTTGGAAGGATTGTTGGGGCTGGGACCAGCCAGTCCCTTGGAGAGCGATGTGCTGATTCGGGTTTTGCTGTGGATGCTGTGGGGGTGGCTGGAATGGTCTTCGCGGGCCAACGTCAACGGTTGACTCGCCCTGATGTATATCAGCGGAAGGGGTATAGGCTGGTGGCATGTCTTCCTCGATTCCTAACGAATCCGACCGCGACCTTGGCTCTGGCTCTGGAGTACGTTGGACGGGGGGCTGTCCAGAAGAACTAGAGGGTCCTTCCATAGAAGCTGAAAACCCTGAAGCACCAGTGGGATTGGTGGAAATGGGTGGAGAGAGGAATGGATTGGAGGAAGATTTCATGGTAGACATCGCAAGGCGAAATAGAAGTTCATAAAACTATAGAAACAGGAAAACTGGTAGCAGAGACACACAGAGAACAGAATAAAAGACGACAAATGGTACAGCAATAAGCCTGAGCGCAGCAACTACGGGCTGTGGTAAACAAGCGAGACTCCGCAGGTAGTATTCGACTCAGTAAGGTTAGGTTTTGTACACTCACAATACACCGCCTTCCAATATATTTTAACAATACAGAAACATTGTGCTACATCTAATGCGAGTGATATTATGCAGGATAATAGCATCGATTACAAGAACCTCAGGCTCCAGGATCCTTTCCACCACTAAGACTGCGGAAAAATTCAGCATATGCGTGGTCGACGTCGAATAGCAGCTGTGTAGACGCTGTTAGCTACTCGACCAGCACAGGATAGGAAAGTTGGATTACTTGACGAGATTGCTCTTCCGTGATCTCTTCAGATGCTTTCATACCATTGAGAGTGATAAGCCTGTACAACAGCAACTTTAGACTTTGATGTTGATTCGTGATAGAGACTTTGATTACCATCCAACCATCCTACTTCTGCCTTCCCAGTCCTTACTCCCTTTAAATCGAGCATATCCTGTTACGAGTTCCTGCAGTATTGGATGCAGTTGATCTTTGGCTCGTAGGCGTAACTTGAGAGCATCCATGAAGGTAATAAAGTTCTATGCAAGCAGAAAATCAGGGAAATTAGTAGACTGGGACGGTCAAAAGGCATACCTGGGTTGTTTCAGCGATCCATTTCCCTGTTTCCGGTCCTGCTTCACTCGAGTGCTCGACTGTTGCAGGAACTCCAACTTTAATTCTGTGCAAAGCCGCAGGATTGTCCATCTTCACCAGTTAATTTTATATGATTTGTATTTGCGGACGAAGCTGGCAAGGGGCTTACTCGATAGCGACTCATGAATTCGTCTATGGAGGGAACTTCATCTTTGACGAGCTTTAACATCGTCATGTACTGTGATAACAGACGCGTGCATGCTGGAGAATATCTCTTAACGGTATCCCTTAGCACAAAACCATCGAGGTAACAGACAGCATACTCAGCGGCAGTTATAGAGTCACGGACATACGCTCGTTCCAGATAGTCGAGCGCTACCACGATACCATATAGTGTCCCTAAGAGATTGTATTTTTCGCGTTCTGAGTTATTAGTGTAAAGCCGGACTTCTTCGTCGAGTGACAGGGTGGACATGAAGGCCATTGAGGTGGCTGAAATTATGATGTTTGTGTGTGAATCACACCTCTCCCGGCTTGGCTGGTGTAACAACCAAGAGTTAGTTACTCTGGCGCACACAAGAACACACTATAAGGAAGATGTAGAGGGAGTGGTTACCCCTTAAGCTGCAGAGAGTTTGTTGGTATACAACAGGAGGACTCGCTGAGGAGTCTCCTGGATCTATTGGGGTATATATACTACTACAGGTTGTTTGTACATGTGTACTATACAGTTGATGAAGGCAGTGGCTGATGATGTCATAGGGTCTAGCCCGTATGGCCAGCTCCACTGCGTGAGAGAGTTTAAGTCTAAAAGTAAAAGAAAGGCAACGCGGCGCGAGAAAGGGAAATGCCGCGTGGCACTTAAAGTATAAAGTTAAAGCGGAGAATAAAAGGACAGGAGATGTCCGGAAATTGTGTTATCGTAACAGCTGGAACCCTTCCATGCCCGTGGTGTACTGTCGTTAACCGTCAGTTCGGATGGGGGGGGCTATTTGGACATTTCTGAAAACATATGTTCCACTGTCATTTTTCCTCAACAACTCAACCCATAGCAGTTCTATATATTCTTACTACTTACTCCAACTTTCCTAGCACCTGAATTATTGAGCGAGTTCCTTCCATGTGCGTGACTTTTGTCGGAAAAATCCATTTTCCCATACAAGGTCTAGAATGGCCACTTCAGGTCGTTAGATTTTAGGTAGCCTTAAAAGAATCAAAACGTTGCAACAATGCCTTGTAAGTCATGATCGAAATTACGCCCTAGTAAGATCAACCATCATTAGATACCTAGTCTCATTTATGAGACCATATATGACATGTGCGACAGACCACTCAAACCAGTCCAATCAGCGCAACCAGTGCAACCAGCGTGACCAGTATGACCAGCGCGACCAGCACAACCAGGCAGATAGCAACAGGCCAGACAGGCTTGGTCTAGCAGTTTCCTTGTTAGTGCTGATAATTCATCTCAGCCGGATCATGGCTAATATTATCTTGATCATGACTGAAGTGCCATCATTAGTATCTTTACAGTTTGGCTGACTCGGATATCCCCAAATCACACAAACGAAAGGCATGGAAATTAAGTAAAAAAGTCAGGTTATATTTATCAATCAGGAGGACACTACAAGTATACAACTACAACTGTAAGGTAACAGCAAAAATGTAGAAGCACTTAGTTAAAACAAAAATCAATTTGTGACAATTGTCGTCAAAAATGACTTGTTCCTCGTGAGTTCTGGTCCTGACAGAAATCTGGAAATCGAGGCATGTGAATGTGAGGTAATGAAAAGAGAAACAAAATGCTTACCATAATAATATTGATACCACAAGCGCGAAGGCAGCCCCAGTTGTTGATGACCAAACGACACTACAAGCAAGATCCTGTCAATTGAAATGTGTGAAATCAAATCCAAATGTCTACAGTATTGATGATTGATATTACTCACTGCATTGAGTACAAGAAGGGTTGGATGGCTGGGACTTGGAGTGGTATTCATTGATGTGGTAGAGTCTTCTCAATGAGTTCTGTAGTTGACTGAGGAGGAGATGGAGATAATACAGCAACACGATGGCAACAACGGACCTTTATAAATGCAATGTAGTGGCGTGTGGATTAATCGACGTCACATTACTAGAGCATACTTGAATCTAATTTATTGCCGAAACTCACTGTATCCACATTTCTCGTCGACTCCTACCTACAAGATGAAAAGAGAAAACTCAGTCATTGTTATCAGCGACACGGAGTCAGAAAGCCCTGTGCCAGCCCCAGGCGGCGGCAATCAGGGCTCTCAGAAAAACCCTCCAAGTCGGACTTACCACCGCAATTACTATAGCTCTCGTTCTTCTTCACGAAACAACGCTGCCTCGGTCATCCTTGGTAATAGCAAGGCACATGCTGAGTTGGAGGATGAAGCAAGTCAGGGTGGGGGGATTAGCATCAAAAAAGAGCCTGAGCCAGATGTTATAGTCAGCGATAGAGCAGAAGTTGGGGGTCAACACAGTTCATACCAGCCCGAGGATGAAAGTGTCAGAAAATCTTGGAAAGATCCTGACAGTAAAAGTCAGAGCCCAGAGTCCGAGTATGACCTGCAATCACATCCTATTGAAGACCACGGCAGTCAATATCCTTGGCTTGTTCCGAGTTCAGGACTCACCAAAAAGTCATCACCGGATAAGCCGTTTCCCAATCCCAGTGACGAAGAGATCATTGTGAGTGTGCCTCATTTTTGGATCGCACATAGCACTGACTGACTTATGAACACTGTTAATACTAGTTTACCCTTCATCATTCAAAAGGGTTGCAACCAAGGATTGTGAAAAAACGTCAAGTCGGAGAGATAGGGGACAAAAATGTTGAGGTATGTACTGGCTGTAAATATCTCCTTGATTTTGCTAATTATTTGTAATTTAATTAGCCTACCAAACAAGACGCATCAGCTCAAGTGGACTTACCGTCTAATGAAGTTGTCCCTGTTCCCATCACACCTCGCAAGGCCCGCCGTTTTGTTATCTCTCAATTGGAGATAACACCTAGCAAAACAACACAGAAGATGCGCCAGGGCACTGGAAGCCCCGGCATCAGTGAAAGGTTGGATAGAATTGAGAACCGGGCACAAGACATCAGCGAGGCTTTGAAAGGAGTAACTTGTGCAATCGATGGTCAGACTTCGGCCCTGGAAAATATTTTCCGTGAGTGCCTGAATAAGTAGAGAATGTATACTGTCCTTGTCTGTCAATGTATGAATACTATCAGAAATCCTACCGAGTTTTATTTGAACCTGGGATTTAGTGTGAATTATATCACTCTGAATCAACATTCAACGACAACATGTATTGAAAGATCAAAAACTCTGTTGCTAAGTTAGATTGGGTCTGGGTTACAGTTGTCTATTCTTATCATTCCCATCGGAGCTGAGCATGTGGACAGAAATAATTTAAATAATATACTGATATTGTCTAATTACATTGTCAATGACAATAGGGACCCGGGAGTTGGTCTGAATTACAATGCCTCAGGACTCTTCTGACGGGTTCAGTATCATCTTCCCCATGATTGAGCTCTCCTAGACGAATTGCTGAGCAACGTAGATCCGACAGAGAATAGTTGTCGTCACTTACCCATTTGATCCATACATGCTTGTGCCGCATGACCAGAGTCCAGATTCAGATCGATGAAAGTTAAGCTTCTTGTTGTGATAAGCATAGGCTGCTCAAAAGTCAATTACTTCGTTCTGGGCACTGGTCTATTCTTATCATTCTTATTGTCGTCAGCCTGATCATGTGCACACAGAAATGATTCACATAGATATTGCATAATTACAGGAGGACGGGGGGGAGCGAGCTTCCAGGCTAAGTTAACTGTGGACTAATGGCTCTTCTGACGGGTTCAGTATCATTCACCCCACGACTGAGCTCTCCCTAGACAAATTGGTGAGCAACATAGACCCGACAGAGAATTACCATTGACATCACTTACCAATCATACTTTGGTTCTTGGTCTCAGGCTTCCCCTTCTGATTCGAGGCCGTTATCTGATTCGCCTGGACCTAGATCGTTCCCCTCCCTTATCACGCCACCATCATCATCATGTTCTTGATCACTAGGCGGCAGCTCTTCAACGTCTTGATTCAATGCATCCATCGCTTCTTTCATTGCCTCCTCCCTGTCTTCGTCGTTCAGTGGACCTCCGAGGCCACTTGTGGTATGTGGGAAAAGTATTCTGTCCCACTCGCGGAAGATAGTGAGTACACTCCCTTTCCTTTTTCCCAGCCCAATTTCGAGATATTCAAGGTAATTGTCGAAATCTTCATGCCAATTAATGCCGGACTGAGCTCCCCTCTCTTTCAGGATACTATCAGGGGAGAGCACCCATTGTGCCTAAGGGAAATTCAGTAATAATTAGTGTTGGGTTAGGCATTTTACTTACCAAAATAGCGGCGCATGCAACCATGCCTGGTGTGGTGTGCTGGAGGCCCCATTTAACGTCCAGAGTTTCGGTACTTCACGCGCCCTCATAAGGCATCCCCTTTTTCATCGCCACAATTGAGCCGGGTCCTCGAATGACACAGGATAGGACCTTGGAGTTTCTCAGCTACAATAAATCTGATTTTGACAGGAAGACACTTACCACTTTCAAGAGCGGGTTAAGGAAGACTTTATTCACGTCGAACTTCCCAGAATAATCAGCATGGAGGACCTCAACGTTCCATAGGCTGAAAGCTGAGTGTCCTTTGCTGTTCATCCTCCACCCAATTTTATTGAGAAATTTATTTCGCCTCGCCTCAGATGTCTTCAAATCGGCCGCTGAACAATCAAAGATAGTGTTGCCGCATGCACAAAGACGGCTTGCACCATTTGACCGCTGGGCCTGCATCCCGTCGCGGAACTCATTTTCATACGCTCAGTTCAAGGAGGCGTGGTAGGAATGAAAAGACTCTACTCACAGCAGATACGAACCAATCCTGCCCAATCATCCCAACAAGTTCACGAGGTGTGTTTGCGTATATCTCACTAATCTGACCTTGTATCTTTTGCTCAATGTTTTCAAACCGGCCCAGTGGACTATATTGATCGTCACGAGTTGTCTTGAATGTATTTACTGGGTCATGTATCCATAGCATGGACGTCACAAGGAACTTTTGCCCCAGCTGCTTGGTATGTTTGATTTTTCTTTGTAGCTCACTGCCGACGTCCATAAGCTCTTGCTTTTTGGGGGGACCTTGCTGACTCGAGATTTCAGGGTCTTCAGTCTCGTTCAGCAAATCGTCGTATTTTCGCCGCAAAATCCTTGTTTCCTCTCTGGCCAAATTGACCGCTATCTGAGCTTCTCGAGCAACCTGACATTAGGTGAGTCAGTATATTTTGCTAATCTTCCCAGATTAACATCAGCGTACCTTATAAAGCATTCGTGGGGACATTGTCTGATTGACACTCAGATCACCATGTAATTCAGGTGTGTCTGCTTCATGTCTCATGGCATGGTCTTCACTGACTTGAGCATTCTGTCCTCGAGTATCGCTCAAAGTCGAATCATCCCTGCCCCAGTCTTGCATTGGCTGTGCTCCATGATGTAAGTCCATCTCTTGGACATGGTCTCTGCTCTGATCACTCCCTCTGTTTGTAGGCACCCTTCGTCGTTCTCTTTTACGGTTTTTTTCCATTGTAGGCTGTGAATTTAAAAAGAAGGACAATATTGAGGGTTTGAGTTACTCGCAGTTAGGAAAACTGTTGATGGTGCGTAGGTAGTTTTCAAGTCCGACAATCTAACATGACGTAGGATGCCGTCAAAGATATGGTTGTTCTCCATTATCAACTGCAATTAGTAGAATCAGCTCAAGCTCACTCAAATCCATCAACATGCACTCATCTACTAGGACAAAGAAGCTTTGCCAGGGCCCTTGGTGCCAATACTGCAACAGTTTTCGAAGCTCTCGTCGATTTGATAAACATGTGGAAGCCTGCAAACGTCATCATAATGAGCTTGCAACAGCTCCATCCTTTCAAGTCAATAAATCGCGCCCACAGGATGACTTACCTGTGCCTCAAAAACGGCGCAAACTAGACTCAAATGTAAGCAAATAATATCTCCATGTTTGTTTATGCATGTGGTTGCTACGGTACTGAGTGCCTTCCCATTTCTTATACTAATACTACACTGTTTCCCATAGTCCAGTCCCGACTTTACATTCAACAAAACTGCTTATGGAGAAGATCAGGCACAAATTGACGAAGCAGAACCATCGCACCAGGAATCTTCGCTGGACTTAGACTCTGAGGTGCACAATGAACGTCCCTCAAGCTTTATTCAAGTCATACCACACCCTCACAGCGGCATCAAGGAACCAACCATTATCTCACTAGACACACCAACAACCTACAGTACTTTCAATGTCCGTGGCATCAACAGCAAACCATGGGCTCCGTTCCGAACTCGTGCAGACTTTGAGTATGCAGAAACCGCTGTAAAAGGATTATTTAGCAAGGACATCATCAACACACAGTTACGTGGTATACACGGTGGATGGGCACGTGAAACGGCAATCACACTGCAAAGCCACGTCGATCTAGAACATTCATTGAAAAAAGCACGGAAACTATGTCCTCAGGTGAGCCAAAACTTCAAACTCAAGTCTGGTCTAATGTTTTCATTACAGTTTCGAGAGGGGAATGTCTCAGCCGTTTATTTGGGTGAGACATTTCATTTCAGTTTCGTGTATCGCGATCCCTGGGAAGTATATTGTGACTGGATCATGGATGCCAGCTTATCATCCATGATATTCTGGTATCCGTGTAAGAAATTCTTTTGTAGGCGCAATGGCCGGGTCACTCTCAAGACTCGAATATACGATGAGTTTAGCACTGGTAATAGATGGTGGGATATACAGGTGCATTTCTATGTATTATACAGTACTTCACTTACGTTCTTCCAGGATCAGCTTCCCAAAGACGACATCCCACACTGCTTTCTCCCGGTCTCCCTCTGGCTCGACAAGGGGAATGTAACAAAACGAGTGCGAAAGCACCCAATGATTATTCGGCCAGCATTCCTACCTCGTGAAGTACGGAATGCTTCTGGTAATGGAGGGGGGGTACTGATTGGTTACATGCCGGTGGTGTGCTTCTCTCTCTATCCCCTAGAGAGTTCTTACTACTTTACCATAGCCTGAAGACCCGGCCGACCCAACAGACCGCAATTCAGCCGAGACCCTTGAGTGGGCGCATTTCAAGAGAGACGTATATGTAAGGACCATTTTATTATTTCCTTATCTTCACAATGTCTTGGTTCTCGAACACTTTTCCCATCACGCCTCTGGCTCTAGGGCTAGAGGTATCGTTTGCAGTTCTACTTCTCATAGCCCTCACAGGCTTTCTTAACCATCGCTACCATTTTATATCACAGATCAGAGACTGGGCATCGCTCCCAGCCAGCCAGCACACTGGGTAGGGACTGGTGGTAGGCATCTCGCCAACCAGCTCCAAGCCCCAGTAAAGCCTGGTAATACTAATAACGCCTTATCTAGAATCATACCTCATCATGAGGATACGGTTCCTGACCACGCGTGACAATCTTCTATTATTAGTACAAGTCTCTCACCTGCTGATTAATCAAGTCAGAAGTCGTACAATAGTTACTCTCCCTTTTTCTTATTGGTTGATTAATTCCTCAGACCACTTTTCGTATATTCTCCTTTCGGTCTGAGGAACGGACAGTTCCCTATATAAAGCCGTACCTATTCATGTATGGCTCCTTAGCTTTCTATTACTGAATTTACCCGCTTTACTCCTCAACAAGAACCTTTGAAGCTTACCTCTCAAAGTCCTCTACTCGCTATATTTGCTAGCGTCTGTTGACCTCAAGCTCATCGAACCCTTACTCCCTGCAAGTGCAGAAGGAGATAGGTTTAGTTCTTGTTATAGTTTATCGTTGCCTCACAGTATACCATCAAGTTCTTGGCATTGTTTTCAAGACCTTACAACGACCAGCACGCCATGGGGAGGCAATGAAATGTGGCGACTCACATAATAGGATTATTCACCCTGGAATACCAATCAAGTCTCTTGACGGAGAAGAGAGCTGTGCGGTTACAGCAACGCGGGCTGCACTTGCCAATTACCCCTGCCCCAAATGTTTGGTTCATCACAACGAGCTACATAACATCAATGGAACATTTGAGCCCCGCATTACCAAGACTATGCAGAAGGCTTATCTTGATTCTACTCGAGCGCCAAACAAAAGTGAAGCTGAACGAATCTTACAGAGCCGGGGGCTTCATGCTACGCAGGTAAGTGCATACCCTGTATTCATCGCTGATAATCCTATAAATAATGTATTTTCTATATTTACAGAATTTCTTCTGGTCTTTACACTACTCGGACCCGTATCTATCAGTTTCCTACGACAAACTTCACTCGGACGACTTAGGAAAGTGGGGGAAACACTTGTGGCCCCTGTTGCTTAGTGTTCTAGCCAAAGATGGAGTCAAAGGGCAGCTAGCAAGGAAGTGAGTCTTCATGATTATCATTGAATCATAGCTAAAAACTCGACACCAGCATGCGAAACGTTTCTCGCTGGCGCAACCTTAAACACTTTGGTAATGTCACAACAGTTGATTACGCAGATGGTCAAGTATTTTTTGATATTCTAAAGGTAGACATTTCTCAACGCAGTATTTTCAAAGTACTTACTTTGCTATTTTAGTGTATACTACCTTGTGTCGTTCAGCTTCTGCCCGAAGACTGTTCACTTGTCCACTGCATTCGGGCCTATGCTCAATATCGGACAATGATTGGATTGTCCTGTTTGACTGACGAGCGGCTGCAACAGATAAATAGCATAATATTATCCTATAAGAACACTTGTGAGGTAACTATTCTACATTTGTAGAATCAATGAATTGCTGGCACTAACAATTTACTAGGACGTCTCAAGAGACTACGGAAAATCATTCGATTTCTTCAAACAACATTTCGTCAATCATGTTATTGAGGATATCCAACAAAAGGGTGCTACTGACAACTATGAAACAAGAGTCGGTGAAGGAATTCACCAGGAGGTTCGTCAAGCTTACAAACAGACTAATTGCAAGAACACGGATCCACAGGTATGCTCCTGTCTTTCTATCAAAATCTGAAAATCACACAACTATTCTACAGATGGCCCGAATAGACGAGAATCAAGAATCCATTGCGTATCTACGTATGGTCGTTGACGAGTATGACAAAGCACAACAAGAACAAGAGCAGGTAGGGAACGCACGAGAAGCTGAGACAGAGGATACAACAGAGCAGGCCGAGACGGAGGACACAAGAGAGCACATAATAGAGAGTACAGACGACCACTGGACACTTGGATCGCCAACAAGCCTGAGTGACTCTATTGCAATGGAGACCATGCATTCAGCATTTGATAAGTCTCTGCGACGGTTTTTTTCGATTGATGTTCCGGATGCTAGCCTCAGTGTTGAACCCATTAAGGTATATATATTTATGTTGTTTTTTGGTCTCATTGATCTTAGTACGCCATACAATAGATCCGACAATATCATTGCATCTATCTTCGGTACCAGTCGCAAGAAGACTGGACCGAAGGGCGAGATATCCTCAGGTGTAACCCTCGATTCAATGGAGTGCCCCGCCACGATTGCATACTCATCAACACGGACACTGTTAAACCCACACCGGCTCGACTTATAGGGATTTACAGGTGTTATATCAAGTCCAAAACATATGATGTCGTCCTCGTCAATTACTTCAAGCCCTCCACTACAAAACCAAGGACAAAATGGGCTGGTGCTCGTCTTTATGAGGAGGCAAGGGAAAGCAGGTTCGCACTGGTGAAATATTTTATTCGTGGGGCACATATGATTACAGCGTTTGGAATGAGGGAGGGTCGCTTTTATCTCAACGATACCGTAGACGGCGACATGTTTCTACGCTTTTCAAAGTGATTCCTACTGTATTATCTAACTGTACTAATGAATCTTGTATCTCTGGCACTAAAATTGATCCAACCTAACGTCGTTCGAATTATGGACCATTGATTTGGCCTCACAGAGCCCTGAATAGCCTTCGAGGACTTCTTAGTTCTTAAACAAGGTGTGATGACGCCTTTTCATTTTTCGCTGCGATTTTATAGAGCTTGATCACATCTTATCACGTCCTCTATTCCCCTTGTAAGGTCTCATAAGACATGATGATAGGCTTTTCATTTGCACTATGATTTTATAGGGCCCGCTCATACCTTACCTGATACTCCAGCTCCCTCATAAGGTCGTCAGGCGACACCGTACTCGCAGCATGCTCCAGCAGTCCTGATCAGGTGAATTGGATTTTTCCGACATTCGAGAAAGTAACGCTCTACTAAGGTACTGCAACTCAGTTTCAAAAAGTTCAGGTGCGCCACACTCAAAATCATGTTCAAACACTGATAGTGCCGAGCGGGCTTGTGTGACCTCTGTGACGTCCGAATAGCCCCATCCGAGCTGACGGTTAACGACAGTATAGTAGTCAATGATAACTGACCGTGAGAAAAGATAAGTTTGAAGAGGCGCAAAAATGCCATCAACTTTTCTACCATGGAGCCCGTCACCAAACGTCTTCATGTCTCTGGCTTGACTCCAGCAATCACCCAGGATGATATTTCACGGCGTCTGTCGGGTTTTGGGACGGTAAAGTCTCTAGATGGCTTTGGAAAAGTGGATGGAGTCGGTATGCCAAGGAAATTCGGGTATGTGACGCTCGAGAGCACAAAAGGACAACTTGCGAAATGTGAGTAGTGTGCGTATATCATTTTAGTACATCAGTGATGTTGGCCAAAATTGCCCTGTAAGTTCTCATATACTTTGTTCTGTCAGGTTTGAATGTCCTGAGCGGGTCTACATGGAAAGGCACTAAACTTCGTATTGGAGAGGCAAAGCCCGACTATCATGAAAGGTACGTAGTAGGGAATGATTATTTAAAGGTATCGCAAAGTTGAAACTCATTAGGTTAGAGGCTGAAAGGTCTGAAAGTTCAGGACCTCCAAAGAAAAAGCGCAAGAGTGCTCAAGGTGTTCATGCGCCAGACATGTCCCTGGTCACTCCTGAAAACGCAAGTGAACGAGGAGGTTGGCGGGTTACTCAGATGGGCAGGATAGTTCGACCAGCTAGAATGAGACCCGAACGACCACTGGCACCTCAAATGTCTACGCCAAGTGTATCAAAGAAAGGTGGACTGAAAAAAAAGCCGCGGATAAAAGCAGCACTGGTCAGATCGAGACGGCGGACAATTGATCCTACGAAGTGGGATTCTGTTCATCTGAAGGGCATGTTCTTGGACGCGGAGGGAGTGATCTCACAAAAGAAAGAGATTAAGGAAGATGTTGATAACACTGGCAAACACGCAAACGACACCTCATCAGATGACGATACCGACAGTGAAATGAGCAGTGTACACGAGGAACAGGAAAGTAGCACTAATGACGCCTATGCAGTCCTGAAAAACCCTCACACGGAACCACCTACTTCTCTCAACGTCTCCATGGACGTTGATATCAAAGTCTTACGAAGCCAAAAGGAGCCATTCGTAGCGCTAGTTGAGGAGCCTCTCATTGATACTCATGTTTCTCCGGGACCGGAACGTCCCACACGGGTGACGAAATTGAAAGACCTTTTTGCCCCTCGAGAAGAAGAGGGTAAGTCAACTAGTTGTCTAAGACTTATCAAGACGGCGCCTGATATTATAAAAAAAATATAGCTGGATTTTCGCTACTTGGACACTTGGACATAGATCTCGAGCTAGACGATGAGTTTGCGGTACCGGTTTATTCACAGTCGCAACTAGCATCCGTGGTAGAAGCCGCACCACGTACGGCAGTCGTCGACCTTCCCGTTCCTGCATCTGACTCGGGGCAATTCAAGTTCGACCCTAATCAGCCCTTTTTCTTTCCTCTATCGTCAGACCTTCGAGACAATCTGCGGCCGAAAGATAAAGGGCGAGTCAAGGACCTTCTTGATGTAGCAAAGGATAAAGGATGGAATTGGCGTGATGCAGGGTTTTACAGGACTCAGACAGAAGATGAAATCCGTAAACGATGGGAAAAGAACAAGGCGGAGTTGACGAGAGACTGGAAGAAGCGGCATAGAGAGGCAGGGAAGATGAGGCGACGAAGGGGAGGTGTTGATGGGGAATAATAGTTACTGCGGCGCAGAGGGATGTACCGTGACTATACACGATTACCTTACCTACGTTAGGATGTCATGCATATCATATCATGGGCGCACTGCCATGCATTCTATGGAGCTATTCTGAGAAAGAGGACTGTTGATTCTGTTTCTCACCAAATCACTAGTGACTAAATGGCGGAAAACCCGGGTTGCATCATAATTGCTTTCGACACACTCTTGAACTTGGACTACCATGAGCTCTTTGCGTCCCCGATGGGGCGCCATACGGTCCTTCCTCGCTCTCGCTCCTGTGATCATTGTAGTGCCATGGATTGCGATGAAACACCAATATGGTATGTGGAATTCACGCTGCGCGTTGAAAAGGCGAAGTCGCGCTCATGATATTTTTTCATGTGACCAGCATTGCCGGCGCCAAACATTGACCAGTAAGTGATGTCTTATACCAAATAGCTGCTCTATCTCACACATCCATTGTCAGAATAAACCCAGTCACGTCTCTTCCCCAAATATCTGAGGCTACCATTCTCAGTTATGCAAAATATTTGTCCGAAGATATCGGGTATCGTACACCGGGTACCTATGAACATGCATTGGCCGATAAGTGGATGGTTGACAAGGCTACTGAGCTGAAGGATGAATGTGATAGGATTGTCAAAGAGTACCCTGAGAGAAATTTGGAGTGCGAAGTGTGGAGACAACAAGGCAGTGGAAGTCATCGGTACGTCTTGTTACCTATTCGGAACCCATCAACAACAAAGAACACGAACTTCCTGATACAGTTTCGATATGATGAATAAACGACTGTATAAGCATTATGTGGATCTTTCCAACATCATTGTACGCGTTTCAGACGGGACACTGGCAGGCAAAGAGCACGCCGTACTTGTCAATTCTCACCTGGATAGTACTTTACCCAGCCCAGGCGCAGCTGACGATGCGCTAGCTGTTGGTGTGATGACAGAGTGTTTGAGAGTCTTGATAGAAACGCCAAACTGGTCACCGAGACATGCTATCATATTCTGTAAGTCATAGTGCTACGCTCGGGTAAACAGGAAACTGAATTTTTACCAGTGTTCAATAATGCTGAGGAATCGTTACAAGATGGCTCTCACCTTTATTCTACACAGCATCCTACTGCATCCACGTAAGCCACTTCTATTTTCTTAGAATAGCATCATGACCATAATATGCTGCATCAGGGTACGGGCAGTCGTTAATTTAGAAGGTAAACGGTTATAGTGATTAGCCGCGCGGTGGTGCTGACCGCCAAAACCAGCTGCTGGAACCACAGGACGTGAATTATTATTCCAAGCAACTTCTGAACAAATGATTGAAGCATACTCTCATGTGCCAAGGTAATGAATGCATTCACTTAAATTTTGTGTAATCTGAATCCAGTGCTTCCGCATTCGTCTTCGTGATTCCATTTATTTAGACCATTTGGAACTATATTTGCCAACGAAATATTCAGTTCTGGCATCATCCTATCCGAGTTAGTCTTTCTTCCCTTGATTTGTCTACTAGCGTTAAACCCAATCTTGACAGTACCGATTTTCGACAATTTGAACATTATTTGAATGTCACAGGGCTGGATGTGAGATTCTTTATTGTTTTTACGAGACAGTAGTTTTAAAATCCTATACGTAGATGGCTGTCGTAGGGAACAGCTATCTCTATCATATGCGCAAAGTGGGCTTCCGCAAGTCACGTACTGATTGTTGTTACTGATCGGGGGTTGGTGTAGGATCTGGTTGAGAACATTCAGCCAGGGGTAGCTCAGGTATGTTGGAAGTCCATCTATACAAACATGCTAGGTTATTTACCATCTACGCCCAAGCACATGGCCGAGAACACTCTCGCATTGTTGCAATATCTCTCATCCACGGAATCTCCTTTGCCGTCGTTGACAGCCGGTTACAGTCGTCCCACTACTGTGTTCTTCTCGCACATGGGCTTCTTTTTTGTTTACTCTTTCCAGACGGCACGGTTACTATATTCGTTGTTATTCGTCTCATCAGTAATACTCGTTCAAGCGATATCCGTAGATCATGCCCCTGCACTAAGGAAAGGTCGAGGTGTCTTCGGGGAACATGTTAGAGGAATATTCGCCGTAGGCGCAGCCGTCCTGGGTGCAATCATAGCATCCAACATGCTTGCCCTCTTCATGCAATTTGTGCTAGGTAAAGGCATGAGTTGGTTCACAAATGAGCTTGCGCCTCTAGTATTATATGGACCAGCGGCATTTAGTGGTGAGATTTCAAGTTGCTTCGTTGTCATGAATCCTGGAATTGAACTGCCTCGAGGTGCTCTCATTTCGCAGCTATTTTTCGGCCGGATACATGAGAAGACTGTTTTCACCTCGCTACTTCTATTGCAGTCTTTCCTTGCTGCGGTACTACAACTTGCAGGCGTTGGCTCCAGCGCAATGTTTTTCCTGTCAGGTCTTTCGGTATTCTCTGCTCTGCTAGTCAACACAGTAATATCTCGAGGAGACAATATTTCTCTGTGGACATATGCATGTGGTCAACTAATCCCTCTATTGACTGGGACTCAGCTTACCGCTGCTACATTGGATGTCTTTGTCCCTTTGGTAGGCAACTCTCTCCGATTATGTATCAACCTAACACTCACGCCGTTCAGACTGGCCGTATCGGAAGAGAAGCTCCAGCTGAACATATCATTGCTACCATAGTGGCAGCTATGACATGTTATACGCTTCCACTATCGTTATCTTTTGCACATCGATTTGGCCAGCGCACGTTGACTCGGATCTTGAAACTTCTTGTTCTTGCTACTGGTGTCTCGATGGCTATTTTTTCTATGAAGTCTCCATTTGATTCCATGCATCAGAAGCGATTATTTGTACTTCACCTGGAAAATGTAAGTCGTTGACCCGTTGCTTCCGAGTTCCGAGTTGCCCCCTGATCTCTCTGCCCTGCACAGCTGAACACACAAGAGCAACATCTCCATATAGCTGCAGCTGACGGTGCTCCTGGGTTTGGAGAACTGGTGGCTGACATTGCACTGCAGTTCGGCGGTCCTGGAGCATCTGCAGCCGCCGTCATCATGGATGATAATAACAGCGACTGGGACACCCTATACCCGTTCTCGGCCGTACGTGTGACCCGTTATCCCATTCTCGTCTTCATAACTGAACACACTGCCCCTGTCCTCTAGTTCCTGTCTCCACATAAGATTGGTTTGCCCTTAGATCCTTCATACATGACATCGTTGCCTGCTGAAGACAAGTTCACTGTCACTGCTATCAACCATAGCATAGATGAAACTGCAGGCACCAGGACTCTCACCCTGGCCATCGACCATCCTGGTATCATTTGGACAGGTAAATAATTTTAGGAAAGATTTTTTTCACCTACTAATTGTGGCGGCGTCCCTACAGTGGTTGCTTTTGACGCTCATGTTTTGAAGTGGACTTTGGATGATCACCCGCCTGACGAATTCGCTAGGCACCATATCAAGGAAGCGTCATTCTATGGAACTGATACATGGACGGTGGAAATGACTATCAAACTTCCGGACGGTTCTTCTACGATGGATGAAACCGGCCTGAAAGTCAACTTCATCGGAATTCAGGAGAAGAGAATGTGGCCCGCAAAGAAAGCCATCAAGGCTGAAGGTGGGCGCGCGATGAAACTTTTTGAAGAGTTCGATGAGTGGCTGGACTCAAAAACCGGGGGTACTGTAGACGCCCTTCTCCTTGGCTGTGTTAGTGGTGAAACGGTCGTGTGAGGTAGATAAATGTAGAAAGATAATAGATGTCCCTAATTTCGAATACTACTTTCAGAGCTTATCACAGTCGATGCCATGTGAAGCAACGACTCAGTCTGATAATGCCGTATAGATCGGATACCCACGGTGACTTAGTGCTGGGCCGACTTGGACCCTCATCTGGTACTCCTTCCGACGAGCAAAGAATCCATTAATTGCACACTGTACCCTGGCTCAAGAGCTACAAGCTTCACTAACGGAAACCAATTTAGACAGTACGATCAAATTCAGAGGAGTATAATGTTGAAGAGAGTCGTGTCCCAGCATTAGTTATGGAGGCTGGTATAGCCTCAATTATCAGCGTTTAATCTAACGGCGAGGTCGGGGTAATGCGGTTCATCGGGACTAACCTGGAATAGCGCTCTTAGCTGCCATTGCTCTCCATAAACGTTGCCAATCAGAGACAGCACGTATGAATAGCAATGTTACCCACAACGCAGGTCTCGTTCTGCAAGTGTGCTTCCTTCTTGTGGACATTTGAATTAGCAAGTAATGCGCATCGCCTCGATTACTCGAAAGATGATCGAAATTACGACTCGTATGTACAACCCCAGCGATCCCATCAAAAAAATATGACGTGAAATGGTTTAAACTGGGGATGCCATCGGTCAACGAGGGGAGTGATAATCGAGGTTGCTGCACGATGGTAACTGGACCCCCAATCAGGCGCCACCGTGACGTCTGTACTTGACAGACTTGAATATGCGTTCCTCACGTAGAGACCACAGGTACCTACAGCAGACGGGTACAAATGAGGTAGTAAGCCATTTACTGTAGGTTTCACCTTCACCTTGGCTGGGGTGATAGGAAAACTCGAAGTAACGGCCGCAATGCCAGCACCATGATCGTAGTAGCCGTGATCGTAGTAGCACGAACAGCACCATGGCATACGCCGCAAGGTCCACATCCGAGGCCTTCGTGTCCCTGTAGTGTATGTTCCACATAGATGCCTCATCCCTAATACGTGTGCAGCCGGCACACTGACAAAAGAGACTGTAGCCGTGTAAAATTCGAAGATACGTGATAATAAGGCAGTGGACACCGCGCCGATGGACCTCTATATTCATGAGGGGCATGCCTACATATTAGCAACTCGGTACCAGCAAAATTCTTTTTAGCTAGCTGCCCCTGGTTAAGGTCGTGGTTGCTTGGCAAGTCTCCAAGTCTCGTAATAAACCAAGGAACCGTCACATACTCCTATAGACTCCTATATTAACTTATAGCCACGAGGTATAGAAGCTTACTGCTCAGCCTCAACTTATGACTTAAGTTGAAGGCATTTGCAAATTCAAAGTCAGCGTCTTGTGGTTCCGTGAAACTCAACAAGCGCCCCAAGGCCGGATGAGGCAATGTCGTTGGTGATAGATGACCGCCATTCACTCGATGGTCCTAGAAAAGTTGTAAATCGAAGTACCTGTTCCAGGACATAGACGGGACAAAATATCCATTCGTCGTAATATCAATCAGAAAGAATCACGGCTCCGACGTACAAAGTTGACAGTAACCCGATGCTTCGTGCTATGGTGAGAAAATAGGCTCACAAGCACGGCGGTAATAATGTCAATCCAGTGTCGAGGAAAGTTGTGAATAGTTCATAATGACGAAACCTCTTGCACGGATCAAAATATCGTGTTCCTATGGGGTACGTCCCGTGCGATGCAGCACCAAGACGAGGCATAGCATGCAACCGTAGTTGCTAGACATGTGCAGCTGGGGCATTCTCAAGTTTGGGCGTGGACGATGCTTGAACCAGCTTTACATTCCATGCTGAGGGGTTCTGGTGCGTCCGTGACAGCATTTCTATCATCATCCGAACAACGGGTCGGCTTGGTACCTACCCGTGGAAGGTAGTTAAGATCAATCTTTGACCTGAGTTTAGGCACATGAATCGAAAGGATTGAAGGCTGCCTCCATGAGACAATGGCAGATATGAACATTTCATTTAACACAGGGCAAGCAACGGTGGTGGGCTTTGATATCCGATTTATTGGTCAAAGCACTGTAAAAGACAAATGCGTGGTCGCGTCACGGTTCATATTAGCGCTGAACTGGCGCTGAAGCCTGAAGCAACTGCTTACCGCCTAAGTGAAGCTTATCGTCCTTCAGGACTGCTTTAGATGTTCCTTTTCACAACAACATTTCTCTTCTAGCTCGAAACGGTAGTGAATGATATGGTTCAACCGAAGACTGTAAAATTTGAGTTTGCATGGCTATTCCTTTCAAGTTGAGCTATACTAGGTAAAGTATGGACGGAGTCTCAATTTCCCAATATGTCCGTGAACTGCAACCGAGCCAAATCGTGTCAACTACGCTCCACTACCGTGACAGTCACTACTACTATCCATGCACTTTATCATTTGACTAAGTTAGAGAAGGGCGCTGCTGTCTCTTTTCAATATGTTTCTACGTCCATTCTGACCAGAACCGCTTCTGCAGTCAGGACCGCGCCGTCCGAGCCAATTTCAAACACGTAATATGGCTCAGCTATCCAAAATGTAGCGCTTTCATTCAAGTTTGAAATACGAACAGAATATTTCAAAATGTAAGTATGGTTATGCCTTACAGGGGCCAATCTGCCACTGCATTGATTGTAACCGTTCCTGTAGGCACACTTGCACTTGCAGTAGTGGATTTTTGCTTTGGTCGTTCGGTCATTCGTATCCGGATACTGAAGCCAATCCCAAGTGCGGCATTCTCAGGTCACCACGCATGTCAATGACAACACCGCTCGGAATGGAACGAAATACCGTGCCGTGCATTGACTCGGAATGTTAGCAACCAAAGGCTAAGCTATGTCTGCAAGCCTCAGCTCTCAGTAGCATATCATTATTTGACGCTGAACTGGGCATATATAAGACGTTGGACGAAGCGATATACTCTCACTAATTCATACCCATCGTCTCCGGTTAGCTTAACACAAAGCATTTAATCCTATCTATACGTGCCATGTTTTATCATATTGCATTTATTCTTCTTCTTTCCACTCTTCCCTCGCCGTCTTTTGCGGCTTCTATTGTTCGAGGCCCATATCCCAGGAGCTCGAATCAAGGGCCATCCACCGTCGTCGGACCTGTGACTGATCTCAATATTGTTAACAAAGTTATCGCACCCGATGGTTTTGAGCGTTCGTAAGTCATATATCATCTGCCCTTTTTTCTCCCCAAGCTCATACTGTGTGCTCGCAGCGCTACTCTCGCCGGCGGGACATTCCCAGGTCCTATTATCAAGGCCAATATAGTGAGTATCTATCACAAATGTTCTACGTTCTATGGTATCTGATACTGGTCTACAATAGGGGGATCATTTCAGCGTCAACGTACATAATCAGTTGGTAGACAATTCGATGCCGAAAGTAACCAGTATAGTGAGCAACCAGTTTTCATATTGAAGCGGTCACGTGCTGATCATCATCAAGCATTGGCATGGCATTTTCCAGCATGGGACTAGTTATGCTGACGGCACCTCCTCCGTCACCCAATGTCCAATTACCGCTAATCATTCTTTCCAGTATAACTTTGACGTTCCTGACCAGTCGGGTACCTACTGGTATCATTCTCACTTTTCGACGCAGTACTGTGATGGATTGAGAGGTCCTCTGGTCATCTATGACCCGAATGATCCTCTTGCGTATATGTATGATGTGGACGATGGTCTGTTGCTTTCCTTTGTTTCTTATGCGGTTCAATTGACTTATTAATATCCCTATGCGAATCCAGAAACAACCATCATAACTTTGGCTGACTGGTAGGCTATCAGTATACGCCCTAAGGCTTCATATCCACTCATATATCAAAACAGGTATCACGATCCCTCATCTGAATTGAACCAAATCAACGGCGCTGTTACTGCCAATTCAACGCTCATTAATGGACTCGGACGGTACCCTGGTGGTCCCGCCTCCGCATTAGCTGTAGTCAACGTCCAGCAAGGAAAACGATATCGCTTCCGTTTGATCAGCATGTCATGTGACCCTAATTTCATCTTTTCGATCGATGGGCATAACATGACCGTCATTGAAGCGGATGGGATTGAGACGGAACCTGTCGAAGTGGACTCTATTCAAATATTCTCCGCTCAGCGCTATTCTGTCGTCTTTACCGCCAACCAGCCGGTGGATAACTATTGGATCCGTGCAGAGTCAAACCTACCCAATCAGACCTTTGCCGGTGGTCTAAACTCTGCTATTTTGAGGTATAACGGTGCTCCCGCACTCGACCCGACCACCGAATCGACAATTCAAAATCTCCTTGTAGAGAGTGATCTTCACCCTTTGATAAACCCTGGCGCACCGGGAATACCTGAAATTGGCAAGGCAGATATCAATATCAACTTTGACATCGACCTATTGCCCTCCGGTTTGTTCACTATGAACAGCGCATCTTTCGTAACGCCCGCGGCTCCCGTACTCCTTCAGATCCTTAGCGGGAGCCAACATCCCATGAACTTGTTGCCAGCTGGTAGCGTGTATACTCTGGAGCCTAACAAAACGGTCGAAATATCCGTACCTTACTCAGCCTCGGCTCTTGGTGGACCTGTGAGCAATTCTGGCCTTTCTCTTCATTGTCTAATTGAGATTGACTACCCGGTTACTCTAGCACCCAATGCATCTTCATGGTGTAAGTGATATATTCACTAACGAGCGGCCCAATTCTTACCCTATATCTAGCATACGTTCGATGTTATCAGAACTTCCGGAAACAGCACTCCCAACTTCGTAAACCCCGTTCGCAGAGATACGGTATCGCTAGGAGGAAATCCCGGGGACAATGTCACCTTCCGTTTTGTTACCGATAATTTCGGACCGTGGTTCTTCCATTGGTAAGCGTTTTCATTTCCCTCTTCAGAGATTGAGCCACTTACCTGGACTTTGTTTTTTAAAGTCACATCGACTGGCATCTCAACAAGTAAGTCAACTGAATTTTTCTCACCATTTGGCCATATTAACTTTCGTCTCTCAGAGGATTTGCTGTTGTAATGGCAGAGGCTCCCAAGGAAATAAAGAACCATAGTTCGAGTGTTCCTGGTATGTGATCAATTTATGTACATCCTCACATTCTTGATTGAATGTTCCTGGATCTCATCTAGCTGCGTGGGACGAACTTTGCCCCTTGTATGATGGTTTGACCGGAGCTCAGCAGTAATCAAGTTTAATGGAGTCTAAGATATCTTGGTAATTTACTATATAATGCAACTTGCTATAATTTTGTTACGTCTCCCCTACTCTGTCTTTACTTTCTTGGTTTTTTTTTTATGTCTGTCTGTCTTTGTAATGGCTATTTAATAATGCGTGATATTGATTATCACTGATTAATCGATTAACTCGTAATATAAGTGTATATTGATATGTGGCCGCGCTATACACAGGATGCGGGCGATGTAAATCAATAGCAACGAGCCTTATCCTTTTGCATTTTACGGGCTGCGCTGAGCTTTGCTAATAATTGCAGTGATGAGCGCTGACTATCAGGAGAAATCTGGCTAGATAAGGGAATGCAATAAGTTGGTCGAGGATCAAGCTGTGCTGAGAAGAGAGCTGAGCGCTGAGCGCTGAGTAACGGAACTTGTTCAGTAATCAAGAAGTTCCGCATGCTGCGCAATCATCAAGCTTACATGCACTAGGGAGACCATTGGTATGCTTGCTATATAAACCGGACGCGAAGACTCATCAGCTTCCGGTTCCGCATCTTGTCCAACATCTCAGTAGTATATCTATATTCCGTAGGGGCCCCGGGAAAATATCCTCCGCCCAATCTTGACAGTGAGTGTTGTTAATGCTGAAGCCCAAGCGGCGAGTCAACCAGTGCGCAAACGTTGACAAACTTGGCAGGAATGTAGACCACATGTACAACTGTCGGGGTGACAGATTGACCTGCGCGTCCGCAATACATGCGTTCCTGAAGAACAATCTTGCAAGCCTAGCGCTCACAGAGACAGGATCCTTAATGTGGGCTTCACTGAACAATGCAATTGACACAGCCTGAACGCCGTGGGTGTGAACTGGCTGCTGACAGCCACAGAATGCACGCGTGCACCTGCACCGCTCCCGCCGGACGTTGTCTTCGATCTCTACGATGATGAAATTGAAACGACGAATAAGAAAAATACCCGCCATCGCGGTGAATTGTATAACGAGAACATATTCCTGCGGATTGGAAGGGGTGCGACGAATAAGAAAAATACCCGCCATCGCGGTGAATTGTATAACGAGAACTTATTCCTGCGGATTGGAAGGGGTGATGGCGTAGTCGGGATATCAGTTGTGTGCCACTGTGGTTCAACCCTTGTTTGGGGCTGGCCCTCGATTGATGGCCGTCGATGGACAGCAAGACAGATCACATCAGGTCCTCCGTACGTCCTTGACAAGACTGATCGCCTTTTCGCAACCAAACTGATTCTCAACGCAGTGCTAAGAGCACAAACTGGCAATGGAGGCTTTCTAATATTCCCACCTTGGTGGCTCGTGTTGAGTGGTGGCAAGACAGTTTGTGATGTTCAGCCAAAATTTCCAAAAGCTAATGGAGAGCGGTTACTAGTAAACCTTACTATCGGAACTAAAGCGAAGGGCAGATAAGCGGGGATGCGAGCGCAATGGCGCGATCACGTACTGATTGAGTATACCCAAATCCTGTGAGCATCATCATTCCAGACGTCAACGGCCTTCTCGAGCCTTTGTGGTCGCTCAGCGCTCAGTATTCAGAAAACTCAGGCATTGGATTACTTGGGCCTCGCGCCCGCCGCGGAGAAAAATATGGAAACGGTGGGCTTTTAAATTCCAAAAAATTTGTCTCCCGCGATTATTCCCAGCAACCACTTTACAGTCACAGTATCCGTGACAGCGTACGATGGCTGAGAGGACACTTTCAAACCCAACTTGCAACTTGAAGGTCCTTTATGTACTTACTACATCTTAAAGGTCCGAACGGGCTATCTACAAAGCACAAAATCCAACTATCGTCTGCTTTTCGCACCAATATCGACCAGTCAATCTAATAGCAAAACCCAGAAGGTCATAGAATAGTTTTATCCTGGTCGAAAGCCGGCAACCCTCAGCCATGCAACGCTCAAACACTATTCGACGATATCGTAGCCTTTCAATTTGACCGGAACTTCCACACCCGTCGCGCATGGTCAATCATGAACAACTAATGTGATCTCGCTAGGTTCGCAATATTCACTGCTGTGTCTACCTAGTATTCACTGACTATACAAGAGTTGAAATAGAATGGCATTGGCCGTCATGCACGTATGGTCATATTGGTAGTGGATCGCAGGTACTTATTTCTTTCCAACTGGCGTACCGAAAGCCGACCTACGAATCTACAAAACTCCATTGTCTTTTCCACGCCATCCAATCACATCTGGTCTCTCATGAACACGTCTAGGGTACTACTAGACTATAGCAGGGTCGCATTCCTTCCCTGTCGACAACGATATTTGTTCTGTGCTTGCTCCGACTTCATAGCTACGACATTCAGGAGCCTTACTACCATCAGAGGATGTGTCGCTTCCGACTGCACTTGCGATGTCCGGGTTGTCACTGGTCTTTACCCATTCATTTTCGATAAATGTTCCAGATCTCAGGAACTCAACTGCGCCCGACTTATTGACAAAATGACTATCATCTCTGTCTATTTGTTGTAACTGGAAGGCTTGTAGGGACTATTCGACAGCACACTTAGACATGCATTGTGATTTGATTAGTCTCGATCTAGTTCCCTAAATAAGGCAAGGGCGATTACCTGAGGACCAGGTGACTGTCAGTGTTACCAAGCATTATTGGTGTGACGTATGCCATATAACAACGACAAGCCAGTGCTCCTATCCTAGACCATCACTCATTCCTCCCTTCCATTGAGCTAGAGTCTCCTAGTCAACCATCATGCCCCTAGACCTCCCTGCAACCATCAAACCAGGCATTGTTAATTTTCCTGGAAGGACACCGGAAACTCAGGAGACTGTTCAACGTTTACTTGCAGACGATCGTCGGGAGAATCATTGCTTTTTTGTTGCTTCTGGACTTCATAATCATTTGAGCCACCAGTGAGCATGATTATATTGTAGTGCCTGACTAAACGCGCTCAAATTGATGCGGGGAGCCTGTTGGCGGCGTATGACTTGGGAGCATCAACCAAGCTTTTACAAGACATATACAATGAGGAGAATAAGTCACAGAGGCCAATCTTGAGCGGATCTGCAAACGATAGTATTGATGAACATCAGCCTCAAATCAATCGCGATAACTTTGAGCATTATCTTGGAAAGCAAAAGTGCGTATATGCGCGTTCTCCCTCTCAGTGGTGTATAACGTTCGTCCAGGTACTATTCTGCCTTTCTGAGTTTCTTCACTGCCGAAATCGCCACACATGGAGTTCCAGACACACTGGAAGCACTTGTATTCAATCCCTCCGTCAACAAGGCCGAAAGCAATATGCTGTCGAGGTTTTTGGCTGGCGCGTGAGTGATATGATTCATCTAAACTAAACTCTTTTAAACATGTAATACATGTTTATCGTAGATTCCATCCTTTTATTCAAACTGGGGCAAGCACTCTATCCTAAACATGGTTTCCCATTTTCTGACACATAAGCGAATAGTATGGTGCCGAGTTTGATAGCGATGCTATGATAGCGCAAGGTTTGTTTTGTTGTAGTCCTTTAATATCACATGGCGCTCAATGAGCGTGAAACTGTATAGGTCTTGCTCAAGCATCGGTTCATGAAGCACTATACCCTGAACTTTTCGACTTCACGAGCCACGAAACAGAAGATACAATACCAAAAGGAGGATTGCCCTTGCTGTGTATCCTTCGCCAAGTTTATGACTCGAACATTCTGAAACCAGTCATGCCGTACGATCCGAATGCTCTTCTGAGTTCCCGCAGAAAAGCACTCATGAAAGACGGGAGACCAGAAGAAATCAAGCGAATATGCCGACTATGGTGGAAGTCGACCTCGGCTGAAGACGAGGTAGAATTGGGGAATAAAGTCGAGGAGTTTTTCTGGATGTCAACTCTCTTGCTGGCAGCTACAGGAAAAGAGGGGCGTAAACCAAGGCTGGATTTCTTCCTCATGCATGTCCTTAATGCAACGATTTTCCTTCCATCTCTGCTGAAGATCATTCCAACGAAAGCATCGAGAATCAAACTTTTGAAGGGGCTTTTACCGGTTGTGGTCATGTATGTCCTGATGCGCGGACGCCCCAGAATCAATCCAGAGCTTTTGTTGTCGTATACCGCTGTGCCCCGCCCTCCGAACTTTGACGAATATATGCTGCAAAAGCCCAGCGCGTCGGCAATCGGTGGACCCTGTGGAACTGAATCTTATCTGAACCCATGGCATGGTATTCTAGTGTCCGTGGTACATGCTCCGGACGCTCATACTCTGAAGGCCATACGCACTCTCTACTATGCTGCTCAACACTACGGGCACAAAGCTCCTGGACAGGTTCTCGGCTCCTCTTACAATGGGAAAGAAACACACGTTGGCGTCGAGAAGCTAGACGGAACTGTATTTGTCCGAGCTGCTGGCGTGATTATGGACACTCTTGGATGGGTCTCGCATGGTGAGGGAGCTGGGAAATGGGATTACAGTGGGTTAGGATGGGAAGATGCGTGGAAAGAGTAAGATCGTTAAGAATGTTTTGTATTCTCAGTTCTGTACTACTACTGTTTCTCAGTCTATTCTTCTTGTACAACAGTTGCTGTATTTTTAGCCAGGACCATCGCGATGCTGGAGGCGAAACTCAATTTATTATGTGCTGTAATATTTTTACTTTACGAGCGAGTGATAAATCAAATCACGTGATTTACACGCGCGTCAGCAGCAGCTTTCGCAGTGACGCGCCCTTTTTCTTTCCTACTATCACCAACACATATGGAGAACTCTCAAACGCCCTATTTCTCTTCTCGTTCAGAAAACTGTCTTGATAACAATCAAAGAACGACAGAGGCAAAAGCTTTGAATTCATTCAAGCTTATCCCTTCTGATCTTCATGATACTGGTCATAAGAACTCAACGAGATCCACTTCTTGGTCTTTCAAATCCTCTTCTCTAGCCCCAGCATTTGGAACGACAAAGAGCTTTAAACTTTCTGAAAATAATGACCCTGAACGTAAAAGTATGAACGGGAGCTCCAGCTCTGTCGCCTTTACGTCAATGAAACGAGAGCTTGATAGCTTCGACACTACAAACTATCCGCATACAGCCAGCTCTAGAGATGCCAGGCGTCCCGCAGCTACAACCGTAAGTGCTATACGTATTCTCACTACATTATTTTGGAATATACCACTTACAACGACGTGTTAGTCACGTTCTTTGGCTCACTTGTCTGTAGGTAGCGCAAAGCACCTCAAGGAAGAACCATATGGTATCAAAGAAATTCCCCTCAAATATATACCTACTAACTTCAGTCGATGTAGCCGCTGATATAGTGGATTATACTCCCCGTGGTCCTATGCCTCACTCATCCTTTAATGTCTCCCGACAGTCCCTACCTCGAGATAACACACTTAACCATGACGGTCTTATCCAGAAAGAGCAGGATACGCGTGCTTTATCCTTTATGCCTTCTGACTTACCTAATGACGATCAATCTGAGGATGCGTACCTCTCGAAGTTCGCCAACAACCTTCGACAGGCGAAGAACGATGTGTCAAGAATGGTATGGGATCGGACATCTACGCTTTATGTGCTTATGAATGTCTGCCTTTAGCGTGCTCAGATAGAATATCTGCACTCACAACTGGACAATAGAGATCAACAGATCTCTGAACTCAATCAGAAAGTGTTGAAGATAAAGGACGCTAGTGTTAAAGCGTTGAAAGCTACATCCAAAAAGTACGTACACATTATCAACATAGTCGTATTTTTTTCAATAGCAACGTTACACAGTTACACCGAGTTGAAGATGACATTTGATTCTCTACATAGGCAAACCCAGACCTATGCTACATTTATGCTGGAAGCTCGTAACACCATGGAAAGCGTTGCGAAACTCAGAGACGATACACACTCGGGCCTCAAACGTATTGTTCCCGGTTTATCATCAAACCTACCTAACTAGCTACTCTCCTTCAGATATTGAGGCTATGTTTGATATGGACGGAAATTATGTTCAAGGGGTCACAACGAAGTCCGTACTTAACGAACTTCATGGGCAGCTTGCGAACAGTTAGTTTATCTCAGTTTTTTCAAAAGTGAGGCTGACGTCATTGATTGCTCTTCAGCGCAACAAGTCGCTGACATTCTTCGCGATAAACTCCAGTCTATGGGCTCAGAGCTAGTTGAAGCGAGATCTCGCGTGAATGAATTGGAGGAACGTCAAGTACGCGAAAGTGAAGCGTTCCAAGCAGCAGCCATGAAGTGGCAGGATTCGAGTATGTTTCCGTAATATGCTTTATTCCTTATTACTCCGCGTTGATACTGCTTAGGTGAGCGCATAAGTGACATGACCGAATGCATTCGACGACAAGGGCAGGAAGTAATTGATGCGAGGATTCGAGCTCTCGACTTGGAACAACAGCTGTCTTTTGCTCAGAATAGGTCTGTCCATTCTTTTGTACCACATTATCGGAGTACTTATAATACCATTTGAACCAAGGTTTCAAGACCAAGAAACGCGAAACAAGGCACTTGAACAGCAGTGACTATAAACCTTAATCATATCACGGCCTTTTTTTCCTTACCTCCTTGCTCTTAGGCTACTGGAGTCAGACGAGTTAGTTCAGGAGACGAAAGCCCAGCTTCGTGTTTTACACAATACCATATCTTTTCAGGAGCAAAATATGAAAGATTATGATGCCAGGTAGGGTTTCCATACTGTGCTTGATTAAGTGACACTGCACACCCACAACTATTTAGGCAGACGAAAATAGACAGAGACCTGGATAGAGCAGCAGAACAAAACCGGGAGCTCCAGGAGCGGTTAGTGTCTGCGGAGGTGTCTGCGAGTCGATCTTCAGTAGAATATGCTCGTAGTATTGCTGAACGAGAATCACTGGCGGAAAAAGTGCACGATCTGGAAATTAAGCTGGTAGAAGCGGGAAAGGAAATCGAGCAAGAGCATCGCAGGTGAATCTCCAGTTTGTTTCACTCTTGAACTCTAAACATTACAGTCTCAGAGTACACGAGGTGGAATCACGCTGTAAGGTAAGACGCCTTGTTCATGCATATTTTCTTTTGCTTAAGATTATCACAATGCTCTAAGGCTCTACAAGAGCGGTTTGACGATCAGTCCGTCACACTTAGAATTACGAAGGAGAATCTTGGTGATGCCCAGGTGAGGTTTTGTCCAGTTATAATCAACTTGTCTCTGAAAGGTAAACCCAGGAACGTTTAGATGCTGCTACTAGCCTTAATCAGGTTTGTCTTGATTTATGATCCATGAAAAATTACCCACTACGAGCATCATAGGGGACGCTAGAGAGTAACTCGGATCTCAAGCGAGAACTCGTTCGTTCGCAGGACCACGAAACAGTTTTACAATCAATGCTTGATGAAGCAAAAACAGTTGGGCTGTCTCGAGAAGAAGCTGTATTGAAGTTGGAGAAGGAGCTATCTCGGCTCGAAGGTGTCAGTCAAACCAGATTGCAAGCACAGGAACAGCGTGCTGATGAAGCGGAACGCCTCCTTCGAGAAGCCAACGACAAAATTGAGCATCTTGACGGGGAAATTAGTACAAAGGACATAAACATTCAAGAACTCAGGCAGCACCTTGTCGATGCTGAGTCACCCTGCAATGAAGCTAAACAAGAAATCGTGATATTGCAAAAGCGTTTGCAGGAATTTGAATTTCGCGAGCAGCGCCTCACAGAGCGAGCTAACAACATATCCACGCGCTACAAAGAAGGCGACTTGGTGACCTTTTCCATTGATAACGACTCAACTCACATGCTAATCAATCGCCAAGAACTCTGATGAAATGATTTTGGTTAATAGCTTGCTGCAGCAGACGCGAGCCTTATCAGAACGAGAACTTGTAGCCAAGTCGAATGAAATAAGAAGGGTTAGTTCAATGCACTGGATTCATGCCACTGATCGTCGACTTTTTTTTAGCGAGATAATCTCATTAAGGAATATGAAGCCCGTATCAGCCAGCTCGAAACTAGTTTGGCCCGCCGTCTCATGGTCGAAGAGGCAAGTGAGAGTTCTCCAATATCGGACACTAGCTATTCTGACACATCTAGGCTGATATCCAGGCTTCAAACGAGGTATTTGAAACGGACCCGCCTGCTAGAACTAATGCGCCCCGCCTAGGCCACGTTGTAGAAACTCAACAAGAGTCGAGTGATCAAAGCAATAAGTTGAAGGTGAGTTCCAGAATCTGATCGAAAGTTATTGGCAGGGTCATTACATCACGAACATTTCGATCCGAACCTGCCCAGAACACTGTCATGGCGACTTCGACCTATGCGACTGGAGCGCCCAAGCCAGGTACTGGTGCCACTGGTACTGCTCGATCTGTACCTGTATCATCCTCAGTAAACGTGGATGACTCTTGGGCTCCTCCTCCTGGAATCCTAGCAGCTCCAGCAACATATCAACCCCACTCCAAGGCAGCCGCAAATCACACCTTCAGAAAGCTTGCCAGCATTGCCTCGGATGATATTGTGGACTTCGATGATTTGCCACAATCATCGCACCCCGGGAAAAGAGTAAGGGGACCTATTGAAGACGACGAAACACAAGAGTCACCCAAAAGTTCTAGGCGTCTAGTAAGTGAAGCCACACTCGATCATGACCTATCGATGCGAAACACATTTAAGAACAAGATCCCTGAAGTTGAGAAAGTTGTCGAGAAGGTGCGTACCGCCATACTTCCCATCATGACTGGATATGAGTGTCTTCTCCAGCCAAACAAGAAAAGAGCTACCAAGCGACAAGGCCGCTAACCATCCAACCGCAGACCACCACTGTAGTGTGTATGTACTTTCTTTCACAACCATATAGTTCCTAGCAGTTACTTGAGGTACTTGCTGTTATGTCTTTTGTTACCATTTTGTAATGCAGAAGTTGTTGGGAATCCTTGTTGCTGCTTTCAGAAAATCGCACGGTTGACCATTTGAAGCTTGACCACTGGCACGAAACTACATAATGTCGAGATGCGGTATAAGATCCATCGCCATTCAAGATCACTTTGCAACCTGCAAGGATGCACATGGTCTCACGAGTAATAGTATGATCGCGGAGTGGAAGCAACTTGAATATCGAGCGCCTTGAAGTTGATCAAAGTTATTCATTTTGGGCTGTTATGATTTTGATAATCGTCGTACACACTCCCACTGAGTGAAGGCGCTTGGTTATATTTATGTCGTTTCAAGCGATCATGTAACTCCTGAGGAAAGGTTCTGTGTTGGTGAGAACGCTGTGGCTACAGGGTAACTGTGCATTTCTCCTTCACGTAACCCATTGAGACTTCTAAAATCGGAACCACGACATTCTGAAGGCCAAGCTTAACTTCGCTTCAGCGCTCGGATCACATTCATGCCCTCCGACAGAACCGACACTCTCCTCAAATCCACTGCGAGGAGAACGTCGCGGAAAACTTTAGAAGATGAAGAGCTAGAGTTACGACGCATCCGTGGAGAAGTTTCTTGTGCTGAATGCCGCAGGTAGTATGGAAATATCAATTTATCTGCAGTTCTACTGACACCACATCTTGGGTGTAAGGCTCAAGTTGCGATGTGACAAGAAAGTGCCTTGTAACTCTTGCGTACGTAGGGGATGTCCAACTATATGCCCTGTTGGTACGTTTCACATGTGCTGTCAGACATGGTTGAATTTGACAACATTGAAAATACATTAGGCAGCCTGTCGTCAGGTCAAGGGACCAGGTAACTGTCGTGATTGTCATAATCAAAAAAACATTCAGGCTCATTGACAACTTCAGATTCATTCTTGCTGATACAAAAGAACTGCATCACAAGATCTCTGAGATGAGCAACCGCATACGACAATTAGAAGATGCTCTCGCCATCACCTACGCCTCCCTTTCAAGTGATAGACATCCTTTGCTCAGCGATGAACTAATCAAAATCAAATTCGGTTCCGAGGCTCTAGAGAATTTAAATCCAGACGAAAGAGAGGAGACGTCACATAACCTGGATGCTTTTGGTACTCTGACTCTTGGTGACAAGGACGAGTTCAAGTACTACGGCCGATCAGCTGGTTCAGAAGTACGTGTACTCATTTGATATTCCTGCTTGGGGCCTGCTCTGACTTCAATCGTTAGACTCTTCTGCTAGTGAGTTTAGTTACAGTTCTTTCCATTGCACTAGACTTAGGGGTTTCATAGGCCGGTGAAGACTGGGCCCATGATAGTTCTGATGAAGAAGAGGTCCCCTCGGTATCTCCTGAGATAGCAAAGCTGGCCGATATATTTCCCTTTACGACAAAAAGGACAAATATAAGGAACACAGTCTGGTTACTAATCTCTCATCTCCCGTCAGAATCACGGGCATGGGATCTATGTTCACGCTATATGGACCATGCCAGTTGGTTCTTCCGACCCCTCGTACGAGATGAACTCATAAACGATGTTATGACTCCTATTTACAAGATTAATCGGGATGGCGGTAATCCCAATCATCCTACCCACTGCTGCCCTCATAAATTGGGTCTGCTGTTTTTCACTTTTGCAATTGGTGCCTTGATGGACTTGGAACTGCTGCCATATAATGCGGAGGCAGAGCGCTATTATGATCTGGGGAGGGCTGCCTTATCTCTTCGTTCCGTTTTCGATTCTCCTCAAGTTCAAACTGTTCAGGCTGTAGGACTTATGGCTAGTTATCATGCGTTGGCGGGGAAAAATTACACTAGAGATAGTGTATGGTCCATCATGTCACTCGCGGCCAAGCTGGCACAAAGTGTAAGCATGCATAAAACGCGAGTCCTGATTGCTATTTTGATTAACCATGTACCCCCTGTTTTTAGATTGGACTACGTACGTTGTGCACATATGGTAACTCGCTCTCGACGAACTGATGAGTGTTCACAGATCGCGACGGCACCCGATGGAACCTAGATAGCCGAACAGTTCATCGACGCCGCAACCTGTTCTGGGAGGTCTTTTCCGCCGATGTTTCTCATGTAAGTCCCGTAATCACCCATACTCGTTTGTTACTTGATGTAGTATCCTCCTATGCAGAGCTTAGCACTTGGACGTCCTCCTTCTATTCATCTGTCTTACGTCGACTGCGAATTCCCGAAGGACGAGGACGAAATGATTTCCGATACCGGAGAGGTCCAGGAAGGCTGTACGTCATGCAATGCCGCACATTGACATTACGCCCTACTAATAATATATTGTAGTTTGGCGATGGAAGTACTCTTTCTCTAAAGATGTCTTCTTGGCTGTGGCCGAGGCAACACTAACTGCCAAAAGTCCTAGCTACGCCACTATTCTGGACCTTGACCGCAAGGTCCGCCAGATGACCTTCCCTCCATCGTACAAACCGTATCCCTCGCCCGAAGACCGAGATTATCATGTTCCATCTTCTACCATGCGCTCATTTTATTTATCGCAGCATCGTATGATTAGTGAGTGTATGCTTATGAAGTGATTACCATAACTTGACCTCGTGGTTTAGCTATGCTCTATTTACATAGGAGCTTTTTTGCTCAAGCATTGTTAGATTACCCGAGTAACCCGCTTGCCAGCCCCTTTGGACCTTCTCTCCTCACCGCTTATCGATGTTCGTCTATTATAATCAGGGCACATGTTCATCAGTTCCAGAGATGCCCGGAGCTGGTGATGCGAGCGTGGACTCTGCTGACCCATACTTTTTCTGCTGCTGTCAGTGATGATATCTTCCCTCTTGACTATTCTTAAATCTTAGCAACAACAGGTCATTGTTGGATCGATTGTAACCCGGACGCCCAATTCCAACATGGCACCTAGTGCCATGATCGAGCTTGGTCTCGCAGTCGAAATCTTTGAAAAATCAGCGATACATTGTTCACGAGCTAGGATCGCTCTGGTGAGTCACTAGGGACGGTCCATGCGAAGCTCGATATTGCTAACGTCCGAGCGCAGCATGTCCTCCGTAGACTTCGAGAAAAAGCGGCACATGCATATGCACAATATCGTACGGGCAACTTTTCCAACCAGGAACCCACGTCCCTGCCGCGCGAAGACGATACTCAAGATGAACTTGCGATCTTTGGGGGACAAGTCAGGATCCTTCCCAGCAAGTTTCTTTCGTCGAAAAGACAGGCTCAGGCTAACAGCCCGCACCTGTCCGATTCAACTTCTACTACATCGTCTAGTCTGGACAGCATCGATGTTCAAACTTTCCCATCATACTCTTCTACAGGCGCAAGAAATCATGTCACGTCTAGTTATTTTTCCTCAAGCATTTCAAATCCGCACCTGTCTTATGCTAACCCTGAGCCGCATGTCTATTCGGTCGAAACGCGGCAGGATGCTCACTCGTGGTACTCTCAGCCGGAACATCCCCTGGCTGTAGCAGCAGACTATGCCTCAACTAGACATTACGTTTCAGACTATTCCACTGCTATGCAGTGCCCGACTGCGCCCGCTTACAATGCCTCCGGTGCTGACGAAGTACAGACAATTGGCCTGACGCTCGAGGCTGGTATGGATGATCAATGGGTCACATTTGTTCGACAAACTGGGATATTTGACGGTGGTTATAATGGTACTATTGGAATGGGATAAGAATAAGGTTTGGTGTTTTATCATATTGTATATTATTACTTGTATTTGTAAATATATCTGGGAAAACAGTGTATTTTGTATATATTTTCCTCATTTTGACAGGGCACTGCTAACGGTCATAAGAAAACCTTTCTATCGCCTTTGCATGTCGATATCCTCGAGGTTATGGCTGTGGAAGAAAAGCCTTATCACGTGAATACTCAAACACGATCACGTGATCTGTAATGATTGTTTTTATAAACCCACACGCGTTGCATGACACGGAATCATACCAACGCCAATGTGCAATCAGATCATGACAGAAATCAGGCTGTGACAGAATCGCAGCGGTACTAGTGATATTTCCGCATCCTAGATATCAGCACCATCAGTTGGGATATTAATCATATTAACATCGACAGATTCCAGGAAGCATCAGCCTGAGCAGATATCAGCCATATCTGATACAGTACTGATGATAGTTTTGCTTGATTCGTTCGGGCTGCGGTATCGCACATCCCTCTAAAAAGTAGAATGGCGCATTATCTCCTCAACTGAGTTTTCTCAGTATAATCTCTGAATCGAGGAACTACGGTATTCAATTGTCGAACCGGTATCGCACTGGTTGGACTCCACCGCCGATTCCTCCTTGTGGCTTGGCACATGTTGAATCTTAAGCCTCGAAGAACTTGTACGGCAAGTTAGTCACACAATATACCCAAGAGTGTAGTGCTCAAGGGCCAGTATTATACCACACCAAAACATGCGTTATCTGCCAATGAAAAAATCATACCAAGAATTGTCAATGACGGTCTCTTAACTTTACACCAGTCACACGAGAGATAGCTATGAGCTCGAACACGGCCTTTCAAAAGGCCTCCAAGAAATGCTATTATAGATATATAAGACAACGTGTTCAGCTAGACGAGACGAGGCGTAGCAAGAAAGCAGATATATAAGATGGTTGACAGGGGGGCGAAACGAGATGCTGTAGCATTGTAAATAACAGTGAGGTGATGAGAATGTCCGGGCAGTGACAAGGCACTGATGTCCAAGAAAACAAGAAACAAAACTATGACAATGATGAGTGCAAGATGATAGCGAAATACAGAGTTCGGATCGAAAACAATAAGAAAAGTTGCACGGTTTCGGAACAGCAAGGAATAAAGTTAAGATTAGTCCGGAAGGCGGAGCATGTCACCTTCGAATATGATATCCCCTCTTTCCTGCAGAGCGGCGACGGCTTTGGCAACTTCGGACGTGTCAAAGTCTTCGTGTTTGTCCGGGGGCATAGCGGTGTTCAAGTAGCTTAGGAGCGAAGATATCGTCATGTCATCTGTGTTCTCATATGTAGTCGCAAATAGCAACGCAATTGACGAAAATATGAACTTCATGCTGACATGTAGACTCGAATCAGTAATTCAGTCCAAATATACGAGCTGGCTGCAGGCACTCACCGACCAGGAACGGAATCTAGATCTGCAAAATCGAGGGTTAAGCGGCGCATAAGGCGGCTCGTCACACCCGTCGCCGGAGCGTCATCGAACTGCGACTCGCTGTCCAGATCGTGCCTGCCCTTGAGACGTGGAGGACGGGACATGTGCGAAGACTTCCGCATAGAACTAGAGGCTTCCCCACTCGACCACGGCGAACTTTGTCGGTGACCTTTGTCCACCCGGTGTTTCTTCGCAGAATAGAGGAGTGACCTAGAATCTGGCTTCGCCGAATACTTGGCCTTTCGTCGCTCTTCTGCTCGCAGAATCTCTTGGCGATACCCAGCACCATCGTCGGATTCCAGATCATCCTCCATGGAATCATCTTCGTCGGGTGATAACAGTTCGTCTTCACCCTGTAAATCCCCCCGCTTCGCCCTCATTTCGGCGAGTTCAGCAGCTTTCTGTACACGCCTTTCACTGCAAATAAACATTAGCTACTGAAGTATTCACGCACAGCGCGAGAAATCCGCTCGTGTGAGAAGGCAGAAAAAACACTCACTGTCGGGCTAAACATTTCCCCCGATGTTGCAACCATGGATACGCGCAATAAGAACTGTCCTGCCTAAGTTGGACCCACTTCTTGCACAGAGAGCAGAAAACTCTATTTGGTTCGACCTCCCTAACTAGCGGGTCCGATTTCAAGGTAGCCGCTCGCTGCTCTGCATTTCGCCTTCGCGACTCGTGCGCGGGGGGAAAGCTGGTCGGTGTGAGGTCCTTGAAAGAAGATGACGGGGATGGTGCTTGTGCTGTGAGTGGTGCCGGGGCCCTGCCACTTGGTGAATGGTCGGGTGTGGAACGGTGCCCATGGCGCGGAAGATTATGGTTAGAAGCCAATGAATATGGTTGTTCCGACAGCGGCAGAACTTTATCGATAGTCTTCGAGCTAGAAATTCACAGCATACAGTGGCTGTTGAGGACCAATTTTAAAATAAAATCAGATGATACGACAACTGACTGGGAAATAGATCTGCTTGAGCCCTGTTCATGGGGAGGTGCGGCAAGTAATTTTTGGCATGTTGAGCGGTGCTGTAGCCATTTCTGTACGGCTTGCATATGGTCCTCTGGGCTGATTGGTATCCAACGGTCACAGCTATTGCACAGTACACGCTCTGCGTCGAACTTGCGGATATCCGGATCCTTTGCAAACATAGAATTTCTTTCCTCGAGGGCATAAACATTCTTGCTATTGCTGCGAATATTTGTTATCGGAGAGGATCGGGTGAGAGCGCTAATTTACTCACATCTTCTTTGATAGACAGCTCTTGCGGTGCGCGTCCCAAGGTATGGAGCAGTAGGTGGAGTTGGGGCGCAGGCGGATCCATTTGTCGCAAGAAGCACAGAGGACACGGTAAGCCTCGAACTGGGCCACATAAGGGTCTGCTCTGAGGTAGTCAATGCGCTCTTCTTCGGTACGCTTCGCTCGTCGACGCTTAGTTGGAGGGTTGGCGAGGGCTTCTGCGGTGCTTTCCGGTGTATAAATTACGGGTTCTGGCGGTGCTTGAGTGGTAGTAGAGCTGTGAAGATATGATGAGCATCCCAGACAGCATGCCCAAATATTTGACGTACCATTGTTGGCGGTGGGCATCCCAATGCTTGAGAGTAAAACCACCGGTTGCCTCGTCGCGAAAGGAGACTCCCTCCCCGCAGACCTCGCAGATGACTCGGCCAGTCTCATATTCGTCTTTCTGCAGCGAGGATTCGCCACCGACTGTATAGTCTTGGTCGTCGGATGAATCCCCCCTTTCAGACGGTGCTTTGCGTTTCTGAGGAACACTGGGCACACGGTGATGAGAGCACTGGATGGAACGACGAGAAGAGGGCAACATACGAATAATGTTTGCGAGGGGGCTCTGGGGAAATGGACGGGCGATGTCTGGCGCGTAGGGTGTTAATGAACGTGTTGGCTGGTGGGCAGCATACTCACTTTGATTCCGGGGGATCCATATTCTGAATCATGTGTATGATTGCAACTCCGGGAAACTGTCCAGGCAGAGAGAAAAATGGGGAGAGGGAGAGATGCTGTTAGGGGGAAATGAGAAAGGGAAAAGACAAACGGTGGGTTTAATATGTGTAAGCTAGTTCGGGTCCAAAGCGTATTTACAGAAACACAACAGAAAATATGTCACAGATTCGGGATTCGAGAAACATACACATCTTATTTCTCACGGCGTATTTCGAACTCCGATAATATTATATTGAACCTTCAGGAACAGCGTCGTCGTCGCGCTCCTTTATTATATTTGTTTCCGACTCGGTATTCCTCTTCTCGGCCTCTCATCATTAAAGAATCTCTTCCTCGCTCTCTCTTTGTTCCTCGTTTTATCACATCTTTCCTACATCTTTGTTCTATGTTTTCTGATGTTTCAACGTACCGCCCGCCCCATCAGCACCGGCCAACAAATCTATCAATGGCTGTTTCAGTCATTCTGTTGTTTTTACCAGTCGTGTTTCTAAGTTCTGGCTTATCCGGTTATGATGTGAGCTAGATGCTATGACACAAACTAGTCTTAGCTGGGGGATTGCTTAGACCGGTAAAGTTCTGATCTTCTTTTACATATTTTGTGTCTGCGCACACATCACTTTCTCCCTTTGGGTCTTAGACGGAACTCTATCTGTGTTCGGGTCATGTCATGGATGCTCAGAATGTAAACTGTGCGATGCCTTTTCGTCATTATTTGACGGCCAACCTGTAATTGCGCGTCTGCGCCCTTCACACTCGCTTCAGCTGATCACATGCTAACTTTTCGTTTTTCTTCCCCCGCGATTGTAGGCCTCAAAGGCATCACGCGATGTGGCCTTAGTATTATATCCGGCGGCACACGTCTTGCATTCCCTGAGACGCAAATTGAATGTATGAAAGTCTGACACTTGGGCCGTGGCGACCGACATTGACGGCCGACATCGTGGAGTATGCTTGTCATTTTTCTGTGCGAAACAGCCTCCTAAAAGAAATGACTTGTGACAATTTGTTATCCCTCGTGCGAAGTGGCTGACCATCTCTGGCAATTGTCTGTCTTTTCCAGGATCATATCCGGAACTCTGTCCATGTCGTATTATCTGATGGCCGCTCGTGCACAGGGAAAAACACATGAAATCAGACAATATCCATATGGCAAAAGTTCCTCAAATTTGTTTTGTTAGACAGCTGCGCGTGCGCAGTTACCATCTTTCACATCTTTTACATAGCTGTTATGGAGCTTACGCTTTTGACATAACAGAGATTGGATTCGGCTTTTAATCGTGCTTCCCCACAGCATCTTTATGCGACCGAGAATACTTCTTACCGACGGCTGAATGCGATGATTGTAAACATGCTGTAGTAAGTAGAGCATTCTGTACGTTATAATTCTATTCGCGGCCCGCTAAATGTAACAACTGTAACGGCAGATGGGCGTCGATCGCGATAGCGGTTAATTGAGGCACCGGGATGTCACTCCTGGTGGCGTTTTTTGTTTTATTTTTTTCTCCCGCTGTGACATACGATGTACTTGCACAATACATTCCAAGAGGCAGGCCCATCACTGCAGTGGCAGACATCGAACAGCATCCCTTCTTACCTTAGTAACAGACTGCACATCCTTACCCCTTACTTTCATTGATTCCTACGGTACGTGTTCCAAGGTTCTTTCTTGTTCTGCTTTCCGTACGGTGTTGAGCGGCGTCAGTTGGTTTTGTTTTATCCGGGCTTTTACTTGCCCGGTATACCCTGAGCTCGATACGGTGCGGCATCAGGAGAAGATCAGTACAAAGTGTGCGGAGGACTAGTCTATAAACTCGGTGCTATGAATGGCGAGTTGGTCGGTTCCGCGGGGTCTTAATTCAAACAGGCGCTAAAGAAAGAAAGTTTGTGCCCAGAAAAGCATCCAGTAGAGAACGCGCGGAGACGTCTCGTTTAAGGGAAACTTCGTGTCAATGAGCATCAGGTTGTGTTATTTCAAGCTTCTCATCCGTTTTGCTTCCATACAACTTGTCATATCTGTCACACACCCATTGAATCAGGTGCCAAAATAGGGATCCTCGTGTATCTGCCGGGAGGATCAGTCACATCATACTCTTCCATAACCTCCATCCTCTAAGAAAGTCTTGATGCGCTTTACGATGAGAGCAAGACCTGCTAACCACTTGGTGAGTTCGACGTCTAGTTTTTCCGTCGAACCTCCCTGCGAAATTCTGGCGTAGAAATCGTGACGATGAGGTACAGCCCTTACAGCAACCTAGATAAAAAGCGAATTAGACGCCGTGTGTCATCGGTACGCTGAGGCGGATCGGATATGAATTGCAAAGGCTTATCGTGACGTACAGACGCAATGGATCGTATGAGAAATGAGTGGTGATGTCTTAGAACTTCATCATACGACCGCTTGAAGCATACATGCAACTCAATAGAAGGATCGTTTTGCATATGCTGTAGAGCGTTGCATAAAAATGCAAAACCGCTGTTGGATCATGAATACACTTCAATTGATGGTAAAAGCGGTAGGACAATAGGCCAAATACGTACCGCATCAATCGAACCAAACAAGCAGTCCCATGGTGATTTTCTTCTGACTTTTCGCTTCGTACAAGGCTCTCAAGTGTCTGTGACTGAGGAGAAGCGCTCTGGTACCGAGCACGTACACCCTGTAAAGAGATGAATGAAACGTTCGATTGCGTCATTACGACTACGATAAGAATATTTTACCGCTATGTTTCCTCTTATATCAGACTGCACAAATCCGAAAATACCAGAACCAAGCAAATCTATGGCTGGCATTAACCCACATGGGCAAGGCGACAAACGTAACGGTAGTCCGCACCGAATAATTGAACAAGGCCGTTAGAGGCTTCTAGGAAAGATGCGGTATCCACGCCATCGTCTGTTATGGGAACGTCTGCGAATGACTTGGAATGATGGTTTTAGTTGGATCAGTAATACAGCACTGAACGGGACATCACCTTTACGGTTTCGAAATAAGGCTTGGACATCTTGTAAGGCAAGCAAGAGACCTTTTGGAGGTTAGAATGGCGGGCAAAGTGTTGGACAGTGGGAGAGAGACTGAGAGACTGACGAGAGGTCGTCCTGTGTGTGTGGTCATGCGGTTCTGCCTCGAGGACTTGTGCAAGCTACTGCATGTCGTTATGGCCGTCAATGATTTGGTTGCGTCGTCCTATTGGAAAATTTGGTTCCGGGGAAGTCGCGTGGATGCATATCGTACAAATGAATCAAACCCTAACCCTCCCCTTTCTCTCAACCATCACTGCTGTCGTGGCGGCCAAGCTCTTCAATTCCCTTCAGCACTGACGCCGACGGGTCAGGATCGCAAAAATCGTCTTTTTACAGTTCGAGAAAATGTGCAAGTGCCATTGAAATTTTACTCAGAGCTTTCGGCAACTGGGTGTTCAACCATTTCCAAAGAATCACAGCTGTCATGGAAATTGTCAGTTGTTCAGGCCCAAAATAACGATCTCGACAACACGGACAACGCAACAACGCCCCCTGCTACAGCCTCCAACCATACCGTGTTACCGATGTGTGTTGCGATGACATCGGTGACGAGTCTGCATTACTGCAACGAAAGTTTGTTGCCAGCTCAGATTCGGTGGCGTATCGATATCTCCAGTGTGGCGTTCGACACCTTTCAAAATATTCCTGGTTTAGTTCTAGCGGAATAAAAAATTAGTGTGAGTTTATTCTATATCATGGCAGTCGATAGTACAACTTAGTACAAAGACTCACTATAGAATGGTTTGCTGTCGCCCCCATCTGTTGCTTGCTCATCATCCGACGAATCGGACGAGTATGTCCATTCATCTTGTCTTCTAGCCATAGCACCCGTTCCATCTTCTGTTGAAATGTAAGTAATGCGTTGACTTCGGCTTTGTATGTACAGGATCTTGCCTGATTTTTCTTTCGCACTTGCAATAGGGCGATCAGAACCACCTCGTTGGCTTATCTCGGTGGAGCTAGTACTCTCTTGGACCTGCATTGCCTCTTCGGCTGCGTAGTCCTGGCTCGGCGGGTTCGTAGGTTGCACGTGTTTCTTTTTCCGCTGTAGTTTTGTTTGCCTTTTCTAATTCGGGGCTGCAGTAACTGAAAGGGACTTACCTCAAGGCGTTTGACGGCGGGACATTTGCCCCGATGTTTGGTCCAAAGACCGGGGTAGTATTTTACCCTGTTGTCCAACCTTATCACCCTGTTGCACCCCTTGCAGCGCACGCTCGTCGCCGTCACCTCATCCGTGTATTCGTCCCTCAGCAGCCTCTCCCTTCGAATCTGCTCTCGCCTCATCCGGTCTCCGCCTCCTGTCTCATGGCTGTTGCCTGGATGGTACGTACCTGCCTGTCCAGCCAATAAGACACCCCCCACTGATTTGTTTTCGCTTTTAGGAGTGATGTTCGTATTGGCTGCCTGGTAGGGCAGACAATGCGTCCATCTCTGGCGATCCAGGCTTGTGCTATGGGCGTATCAGTGACGTTTGTATGACTGATAAATATCCTAACTTACCCAATTCCGTTGGGACAGATTTGCCAATGTTCGTTCACCAACCGGTTGACCGTTTCCCACGTTGCTTTTTGATCGTATCGGATGAGAATGCCACATCTATGACAAGGACTTTCGCGTTGGTTGTGGCAGGCGTTTCGTACAGTGCTCTCGATAGATCGAAACATATTTACGGGACGTGCAAGACGTTATGGGTGATCGATAGGTGTCTAGGGAAGTCGGCAGGAATGTTGTTGATTTTTTTCTGCCTATAAATTTTGTTGATATGTCGCACCAGGTGGCTTGGTGTTACTGACTTCTTTGATGTCACCTTTGTTCTCTGTCTCCCGGCCCGCAGCAATATTGATTGTCCTTCTGCAGTCCGCGGCGCGTAAACGAGGGCTCTAGGGAGCTGCTAGGCAAAGGCCGGCGTCCTCGTTTTTTCGGTGGTAAACTTGTCTCCGAGGACAACGATGCTGTCCTCGCCAGTATCATCTATCTACTCTCTCGCTGTCGCTGCAGCATATCGGCGCTGTTTCACTTACCACTACGTGCCTCCCAGCTGATACTGGAGGGCAAAAACATATTCAATGATGTCCACCCTGCGTGGTATGATGTCCTTCTTAGCGCTCGACAAATTTGACCGATGCAATAAAATCTCACAGCTGGCTGTCGTCTAATCGGTTACCGGCTCTTATCGTTGGGGGCTTACACCGTACTTAATAACGAGGCTATACAACGTCCTAGTGGAATTATTCTATCTTCTAGGTTTCTCCTCCACGGAATTCCGTGGTGGTAGTTATCTCAACGTTGCTGTTGGCTTGGTAAGCGTTGAGGCTCTCATCATAGACACATGTTCCGTCTGCGAGTTGAGGTGTCGGTTGGCTGTTGTTCTTGAAGTTCGTGGATAAGTTTTTATCGTCGCTATTCTCCAGTCTAACTTAATAATCTAGAGAGAGATCACATTTGGTTCCGTAGAGTGGACTAGAAAGGCATCATCTTAACAGTGCGATTTGCTTTGCGGTGGTACCAGTGTTTTTAGCTTTGGCGGATCAGCAGACTGCCATCCTGACGGTGCAGCTAACTTGAACATACTGGCCCGAAAGTTGAAAGTTGAACTCGAGGCTTACTGCTGTGACTTGCTCCATCCTTTCAGCCCAACTCTCTTCGCTGCGGCATGATAGTGACATCAACCTCCTGATGTAACGTCTCAACGGCTACCCAATACCCGTTTCCATTATCCACGTTTTCAGGGCACAATTTGTCCCTTTATGTCTCAACTTATACTTTCTGAGGCTTTCTGAGGGGATTTCCATCGGGCAACTCCGGAGGCTATAAGGCTGCCGTACAATGTCATTTACTCGGGCGTTCTCGAGCCACAGGAGGTAATGACCCGTCCTTATCTTTCCAGTCTGGGACATGGGTTAGCTGAACGTGTCGTGGCCCTCGACACACTGCTACACTCGTGTGTGATGAACATCGATGAACGAACCCCGGGTCTGTATAATGTCTAATGCGAATGGTCGGAAAATGGTGCTGCTGCGGTAGAGAATCCTATTGCATGTTCGGGCAAGGGAGGCCGCTATCTGATGGCGAGGTTGTTAGAGTCTCGTTTGCACCCTTTGATGCGGTCATATTGTAAGTTATTTTCTGGATTTTCCAATGACCCGAAACTCTAACTTGGTATAGGTAACTTAATGATGCTGAGTTCACGTGTGACTACACCCTGACCTCATTGTGAGGAACATAAGTAGTAGTTCGCTTAAATATGAGGTGGTTCTTTTGAGTTGGCGTGGTCTTATTGGGAGGCGCTGTCACCGCAGTCGTGGTTCCGTCGGTATTGTATGGCGATCTTATCAGATTGTGCAAAACCCTGACATCAAGGTACTGTCCGTCGGTTAGAGGTTGAGCCGCTGACAGTGAAAATTTATGCAAGTCGATTGGTCATGTATTTTTGCCACGACGGATGGCCATGACTCAGGTATTGTCGAGCACAGGTTTTATTCAGCAAAGAGCGCTGCGCTGCATGGCCATGGGCCTGGTTGGAGCGGGGATATTGGGCAATGCGGCCTGCATGTGTAGCGGTAACGATGTGGAAGGTAATAGGGACGAGCGACAAATGCCTCTCGGCCCTCTTTCGACATGCTGATTGAATTTCCGGTTGATTTTCGCACCAATGTGGCATGCGCACGCCTAGCCTTCTTTGTACACTAAAATTCCCATCTCAGGAAGCCAGAACGCATTTTGATTCTGCAGTACTACCCTGTCTTTTTCTCTCAGCATAATACATGCCTCCAGAACCCACGAAAGCCAAGCTGAAGCGCAAATCAAGTCGCAGAGAGGTGGAGGACTTCAGGTTTGATGGTGGCCACGCGCGAGAAATCGAACAGAAGAGAATCAATGGGCAAATCTCTTGTGCTGAGTGCAGGAGGTGCGATCATCGCGCATGCCATCCTTATATCTTATTTGACGTCCTGACCCGATTGCCATCCTCAAAGGCTCAAGATTAAGTGCGACAAGCAGATACCATGTCAATCTTGCCAGGTAAGCTCCTCTTCAATGTCAGCGACGACGACAACAGCTCATCTCACATCAGAGGCGAGGTTGTGCTGCATTATGTCCAAACGGTGCGTATCATGTCTTATATCCGTTTGACAGTCCTCTCAGACGTCTCTTGTGGGTCTTTAGGCAGTTTAGCCACCGGTCAAGGAACGCGGTACGTACTATTTCTGCTCATGGGACTTTCTAATACGTTGTTTCAGCTTTGTCCTTGCAGCAACCGAACATCTGCATCGCCGGATATCTAAAATGAGCGAGCGTATTCGGCAACTGGAAGACGCCTTGGCTTCTCTGCAATCCCAGCACTCGACAGAGCCACACCCTCTTCTTCGCGACGATCTATTAGGTGTTAATCAAGACAGAGATGACGACTACGCGGGGCTTACCGAAGATGCCCCAGGTCCGAGCAACCCTCCTGAACTCATCGACACCTTTGGAACCTTATCCATCACAGACCATGGCATATCCCGCTTTTTTGGGCCAACTGGTGGTTCAGAGGTGAGTGCAGTTGATGTTCAATTTTAAAAATACGGAAGGCACTCATACTGGCGTCTGTCACTCAGTGCTTGCTAATGGTACTGTTGTGATTCATCTGCTAACTATACACCTTACTAACGGCGCTTATTTCAGTCCGATAACGTGTCTTCTCGTGAAAGTTCAAATTCTCAAACACCTGAGCGTCAAAGGGACTCCAAGAGCCCGTCATTGCCTCAGAAGGTTGTCATGTTTTCACATGCATTTCCTTTTACACCCATGGGACCAGTGGCTGAAGTTCGGGAACTAATTGAGGGTCAGCTCCCGAGTTGGGAGCGGGCGCGCTATCTATCAGAATCATATCTTGACGGAGCTGCTTGGCTCTTCCGGGGCGTCAACCGCGATCAGCTCATGGACGAAATTCTGCCAGTGTATTATTCATCGAGCTCTGTTAAGCCTGTTGAAGAACATAACAGTGCTCATGAGCTTGCGCTGCTGTTCGTCGTCTTTGCAGTTGGCGCACTAGTAGATCTGACACAGGAACCTGGGAATGTTGAAGCGGAGCATTATCATCAAATTGCTCGTGCGGCTATTTGTCTGCAGCCGGTGTTGGAAAAGCCCTCGTTAACCACGATACAAGCGCTTCACCTATTGAGCGTCTACAATGCTATGAGCGGCAATGAGTTTTCCTCAAAGGAGGCAAGTATGGAGACAACTTGGTCTTTAATTATCTTGGCCGCCCACCTCTCACAGACGGTATGTTGTTGTTTGCATCAATTGTCGTCTTTGGCCCTCATGTTGTATATTATTATCTTCTGTACAGATTGGTCTCCGTGGGTCCAATTCCTTACTCACTGATCCTGCCCTAATACGCTAATTGAATGTAAAGACCGTGACAGCGTGAAGTGGGGTCTACCACCTAAAGTGGTCCAAAGACGACGAGGTCTTTTCTGGGATATTTTCGTTGCTGACGCTTGGCACGTATGTTTCCTCTTGGTCGTGTTGGTAGGACTTGATCCGACAGACTTTCTTTTTAGGCCCTGAGTACAGGGAGACCTCCTAGTTTCAGTCTAGCATACATCGATTGCCGTTATCCCGAAACGAGGAGCTCTCGCCCTCCAGGTCAGGGCGATGACGAGGCAAACTGTGGGCATTCATTTTTCATTCTAATACCGTATCTCTCAACATATAATGACATATGCTTAAAGCAGTTGATACATGGAACTTCCGCTTTGCGGCAGAATGTGTTGCCGAAGTTGCTTCACGTACGCTCACAGCGGAAACTCCTACTTACGCCACAATCATGGAACTTGATCGGAAAGTGCGAGAGTTCCCGATTCCAGAATCAGCAGCAGCGATGGCAACATCGGTCGCGGGCACACCAATGATGACGGTATCAGAAGATAATCAGACTTTGTCGGATTCCATGGGAAACTGCACTCTGTCGCACACCCGTGAAGTCAGTGAGTAGACAGCCAATTTTATCGAATATGACCATCCCAATGACATGTGATCGAGTCCTCTTGTATATTCATCGCAGTTTTTTTGCACAAGCTATCATAGAATTTCCTGTCAATCCTCTAAAAAGCCCCTATGCACCTTCGTTCTTGGCAGCATATCGTGCTTCTTCTACTATACTGCGAACAATTCAGGCTCAGTTCGTAGCAGCTCCTGCCCTCTGCTCGCGATTCTGGACGATGTGGACGTTCGCCTTTTCCGCAGCTGTAAGTATTCGGTTTATAGATTGAACCAGTTTTCTAACCTGGCGATGTGGAATCCAGATTGTCTTTGGGACCATAGTCACCCGAGGACCGCGTTCACCCCTTGCATCCAATGCCATGACTGAACTAGATAATGCTTGTATACTTTTCTCCAAGGCCGCCGCACACAGCCCACGTGCTGCTAGAGCGCTGGTATGGTTCTTATGTTGATGGTCCTCGCTTGATGCTGAACCTAATTCATAGCCAATTCTGACTAAACTGAGCGAAAAGGCCCACCATGCTCTGTCCAACGTGCAAAGTGGTCAGTCATCGGCTAGTCAAGGACAGTTTTGGAGTTTGAAGGAGGAGGAGGGCGATGACGAGCTGGCCATATTTTCTGGAAGGACCAGATTTGTTTCTGCGAAGCGTGCTGCGCCGCAGACTCCTTCAGAACCAGTCGACCAACCTGTGCAGATGAGCGATCCCCCATATGCTCCCCCTCCCCCTCCTCCTCCTAGTCACTCTGCAGAACCAACTCCTCCCGTTTCCTACTATCCTGAGCGTGCTTCGACGACGCCATCGATGAGAAATTGGATGCAGGAGCAACCTAGCCACTATGCACAACGGAGAGAGTACGTGCCGAACCCTGAGACCACTGTTCCCTCGCATGTTGCCCCACCGTACCAAACGACCAGGCTTTGTTATTACCCGCACACTCCTCAAAATCACCAACCTCAGGCCCCCCAACCACAGCCCCAACATCACCGGCATCAGCCTCATTCACACTCCCAGCCTCAACAAGCTCAGCACCCTCATCACCAACGTGAGCAGGGCCCATCTGTCTCAGGCCCGTCTGATTTTACGTGGCGGTCGCAGGCCAATATCCCACAGCAGTACAATGACTCGGCCTTTCCTGTTTCGCAACCTCATGGAGCAACTTATCAGCAGCAGCAGCAGCAACAACAACATTACGACTCTTCTTCTTCTACCGCGTTTAATGCTCAACATGTTAAACCTCCGCCCGAGTTGACTGAACTTGGCCTTGTATCGCAGGATTCCAGGCTTGATGAACGATGGGCGTCGTTCATGCAAGACTCGGGGTATCTGGACGGCTTTAGTTATAGAACTCGGTGATTCTGATGTATCCGTATCCTATCTAGCTTGTCCAATGATATTCGCTATGTTATCGTTGTCGTTTGCACTAATAATAGTCCAACTAGTCGCCTGTTGGCAGCCAGAAAGCAGCTTCATAAAATAAAATAAAAAGAAAGATGAAATATTGTAATGAATCGGGCATCCAATCAGAGTCAACCCATAACCCAGTTGTCCATATCTATCCACGACAAAGGAAAATAGAGAACACCTTTGACCTACCTAAATTCCACCCGTGTATGCATTATCCTTGCTCGGCGGAAGAGAGATTGTTGTAAATCGGGCAGAGTGACTCCCAATCCTCTAGTGAACTTGGTCAGATGGGTGGATTGTGAGTCAATTTGTGCAATACATACTGGTAACAGGGCTGCTAGAAGCAACTTCGCCAGGATCTTCTACGAATATGATAGCCATGCCTCTGTATCACATGTGAGATATTATTCAGCTACCATATGACGAGTGGATGCTTACAGATTGAGATGCCAGTTATTATGACTGTTCAAAGTAGATCAAAGCTTGGTAAATGGTTATACAGCGATGCTAATCGATTGCATACCAGTGGAACATCCATGGGCCTGGACTATCTGTACGGAACCGGACCGTGACCATATCCCCATCGAAGCCGGTATTAACAGTATCGCGCTGAACGGGGTTGATGAAGTTGTAAGCGTTGCTCTGGACACTCCTTACAACGTCAAACTTGTGCTAAATTGACGCAGTTAGCGCAAAAAAAATTGTAGTGGATACTAAGACCAACCCCGTGTAAATGAAAAGGATGCTATACCAGATCATTAGTGCTCAACCAAAAAAAAGCTATGATTGAATACTGACTGGACTACCACTTGAACCACCAGGTATTGTGATTTCGATGGTTTTATTTCTGGGCAGCATATAGACCGAACCACGGGGCAGAAGGTCTGTAGCATTCATGGCTCCACTCAAGATCTGCAGCAGAACTGGGACGCTGGGCGGTTTATAAGCCACGCCATTGATCATAAAATCCAATGTTGTCGTATTGACTGCAATGTCGATGACGAGTTCCACGTCCGCACCCCCTTCTGCAGGCGAACCAGTTACGGGGGCATGGTTTAGTGCGTGTAAGTTTGATTCATCAAGAGATGTGACATTCTGGCTCTTCTGGTCTTCTGGATCTTTGCTCAAGGCTCCTGTGTACCTCAAAATGGCAGAGTGATTTCCGTTGGCGAAACTTGTATTTCCAGTAGCCGTATTTGGCATGGAACGAACCCAGTAGTTGTCTATAGGTTGATTTGCTTCTAGGATGAACGAGTAACGTTGGCCTTGTGCTATTTGGATGGAGTCTACGCGAAGCGGCTCAGTGAGTACGCCGTCTGCTTCGATGATGGTGAACTCATGTCGGTCGATGGAAAACACGTAATTTGGTTGACAAGCCATGTTAATCAAACGCATACGATACCGTTTGCCTGGAATCACGGAAATAACACTCAAAGGAGATTGCAGTCCTCCCTCGTATCGCCCTAGACCATTCACAAGCGTTGACGCTGGAGGCGATTGTGGGGGTACCAAAGCCGATACTTCATGATACCTTGGAAATGATTGACGCTGGAGGGACAGCGCGAAATAGTTAGCACTTACCAATCTGACAGCGTGATTACTGTTGAATCTAAGAACGCTGCATGTGAAGGCAAGCCACGGATTCAACAAAAGACCATACCATCGTCAACGTCATAGCGACTGAGATACGGGTCCTCGGGATCATATATAACCAGTGGCCCTCGTAATCCGTCGCAGTATTGTGTTCCGTAATGCGAATGATACCAATATGTGCCAGATTGTTCTGGTACTGTGAAATTGTACATGAATGAATGACCTGGCGCTATCGGACATTGGTTGACGAATGCGACTCCGTCCATGTCATTAGAATGGCTTTGCGATATACCATGCCAATGCTTCAAGAAAGTCAAGATCTAACAGTTAAAGACTATAATGTCCGGTACACACTATTGATGCGCTTCTCAGCATGGAAGAGTCGACTAACTGGTTAGTGACGTTTATCTGAAAGTTATCCCCCTGTACATATGACAACCTCGTCAGTCGATGAGTGACATTTTGAAGAATGATATCTACCTTATTTCCCTGAATAATAGGTCCATGTAATGTACCACTAGCCGCGAGCGTGGCACTTCGAGGCCCATGAAAATGACTGTGGTCAAAATTTGCGCGCCAAAGCTGGAAACAACTCACGCCTTCGTAAAACCATCGGGTGATACCTCGGCATTGACAAGGGTAAGGTCAGCGATTGGGCCTATAGCGGCAGAGCACGAAGATACGAAGACAGCTATGCACAGGACCCTTAGGAACTCCAAACGGGACATGGTGATAACCTGCACGTTGGCTGTTTTATCATGGGCTTTTATGAGACGCGCCTTCACATGTTTACCTCGGGTGAGGCTTGACGCATCTTCCAATGCTCACCAGTTACCGAGTAGGTTCCGCATTCCCGAAAACTACCTAGAACATTCTATATGTAAAAGACGTCCTGAAAGTGGGGCCAAGTGCTTAGCATCTTGCAATGTCTCCTGAATGTGTCATAGACCCACTGATTACAGCAACGATTACGGATTAGGCAGAACGGTGAGCATGACGGTTCACAGTCGGGAGTAGGGCATTTGAGTGCCTTACCCCGTGGTCCCGATTATTTTTGACCGTAGTAGCAGTCTACTTTCGAGATTACTTTGTCGACTAGCGCTTCACAGTCAGATTGAGAACCGGAACACATGTTTGAGTGGCCATTATCATTATTACGTACTGTAATCCTGGTCCAGATCTCACTGGCAACAAAGATGGATCATATAAGACGGTGCCGCCAGAAGCCGCTCGATAGATGTAGACACTGGAAAGGCAAGCAAAGATCGGTCAGAACTTCACGTTGATACTACTGCATCTGTATGTCGCAAATATGGTTGGTTACGATCTGATACCATGATATTGCCACGATCCAACTTGAATCCGCCAAGGTGAGGGTCCATATGAGTCGGGGGTAGATATTGAGGATTTGTCCTAGATTAGGAGTACACTCGAAAGAAAGGGGTCCTTTAAAAAGATATTTGACATGCCTCCTCCCATATATTTACTCCCATGTAGTGGCGGTTTTGCTTTTTTGGCAGTGTCAACCATCAGAAAGTGAGTGACCTGTGCTTACCCTGCTTGCCATCGCACCTAATTCGTAAACCTCAATCCTTCCGCACATTAAGATGGAGGTAAATTTGCTTCTTGTGCCACTCTCATCCCACGAATATAATTCCATGAAGATACACAGCATTCGACTTCCAACTTTTGTTTGGTTCGTTCAACTGGGAGCTGTGCGGGCTGTGTTGGGCATCAAATCGAGGTTGACGAAATGATCAATTCAGGAGTCGTTTCTGGTCGATATCATCTGCGGGGAGAAGCGAAAAGTAACTACAGAAGGGAACCGTACCGAACGCACAGTAGCCTAGCAAACAGTATCATCATTTTCTGAAAGCAAGCGGAGGCCGCCGACCTGTTGCTAAAGACCTGTGTTTCTTCTTTTATTGGGCATCTGCGGGAGTATGGCGGAGCCATCATCACAGTGCCTTGACTGAAGCTTTCTACATGGTCGAGTAATAAGCTCATACGGCCATATCATAAAGACTAAAACTTACCAAATCTCAATAATGAGTATACGATAGGAATGCGCGTTTCTTGCTAATGGATGATCACTAATATCAGGCCGGTACCGAGGAGATAAGCGGAAAGACGATGATATCTAGTGAAGTTGAATCGTTAATTCATTCAAACATAAAAAGCCATAAGAGGACGTGCCCTTGGGCGTACACGGTGACCTAACGCTGTGAACGGAGAGCATTTAACCAGAACACACCGCTGCGCTGTAGAATACGTTATCTACTTCGATCTCGCCTTGATACATTCCTTGATTGTTCTTCACATAACCGCATTTACCCAACATCGAACACTGAAACGATATCCGCGACCCATAGGAACCCAAGTATCGAATTGGGCATTTTTGTTTGTCATTGGCATGAAGAAAAAAACCGAGCGTAACTGTAGTTTCGAAAGATCATGAAGATTGGTCGCCAACGTTGTTGACCATGGTGGTGGTGAAGAAAAAGCAAGAAAATGGGGATTAGTACCCAGGCCATGAATTAAGGTTAGGGGTGGGTTTCGAGCCGTCAAGTAGAACCGGAGCCCCTCGCGAGATCGACCGAAGCAGCGACGAGCAAAGTATTCAAGGCAGCAGTAACTTGACAACAAATGAAGCCCATTCATTAACACTGTCGCTATACAGCATCCATAAATGCTAGTCCACATACACCCACAGCGCCTCAGCGCGCTCCCGGTTTATCGTTTTCTATCAGTCCAGAGACGCCTAGCACACACGGTGCCAAACACAAGCCCAAGCACGCACTTCCCCTTTCCCGCCCACGCACGTCCAACTCCCCATCAGATATTCCATCTTCCTCTTGGCGCATCCGAGGCTGATATCAAATCCAGATGTAAGTCGTGCTGTGTATACCCTGTAGCCGTTATCTCAATTGCGTGTATATGCAGATTACGACCTTGTTCGAACACATCATCCAGATTCCACCTTCTGTCGGGACCTTTCTCCATCTGAGCGCCACTCGCGATTCCAGGCTATCACAGCTGCATATGACAGCCTTCGAGGGAAGGCTCGCTCAGGAACTTCTGATATATTTGAGGCAGAGCTAAGACGACGGCAACGTGCCCACCGTTATAGACGTGCAGGTTATGATCACGACCATTTTAGTCCGAATGGGCATGGGAAGGAATGGACGGTCAGTGCCGATGAACGGTGGAAAGACTGGGTCATTATTTCCATCGGTGCAGTTGTACGTGCCATCTCTCGAGTTCATATCTACATCACAGATGCTGAAGACCCATGAGCAGTCTCTTATAGCGGGTTTTGGTCCTATATTTTTTATATCCCCTTTAGCAGAGAATCGACATCGCACTGCTGCTGCCAACCTTGCGCAAGCTCGAAGCGAGGCTCAGGAGTTTGGAAAGGAAAGAAGACAACAGATCAGGAAACGCGTTCGGGAGAACCAATTACAGCGGGAGCAAGAAGATCGAGACGATGCTTGCTTCAAAGAGCGTCGAGATTGAAAAGAGTCTTTGAAATGTCGTCTAGGGAAAACCCATGGCTCCTTATGCATCGCGTACCAAAACGCGATTCAAACAACTGCTGCAGTTTTTATAGCTATTATCTGCCACCGTGTAATTGTATTTATCATGAGGAAACAAGCAGTTTAAAGGGCACAATATTGACTTTTTGTGTTCGCATTCCATCCAATTCCAGTTCATTCTTGCCTCGGAAGCTCCAATTGCTCAGGCCCAAAGCTATGCGGCAACAGTTCACCTAGAGTCGTGTTCAACACACCTCCATCCTTCACGCCATCCCCAGTCTGTGGATAATCTACTGGCACAAGGTAAATGGGCATCTCGAGGGCACAGAATTCGCGGATGAACTGCCGACAAATTCCACAGGGAGAACAAGGAGATGCTATGTCTCTGATAATTTCCAACCCGAGCAACAGAAGTTACCCGTAAATTATGAGAGACGAATTATCTCCGCTTGATAAAAGTAGCTCACGATACGACGGCAAGAGCGACGAAATCTTTGATTCCCTCGCTCTTTGGCGCAAATTTCAGTAATGATAAATATGCTCTTGGTTTCTTATGCAAAAGAGGACTCACGACGGCTTTCACAAGGGCAGTACGTTCAGCACATATCGTACCTCCTAAAATGTGGATGTGATCGCAGTGTTATCGATGCACTTAAACTACACAAAATGAGTATTCAAGTTCAGAAAAACGCACCATAAGATGCATTTTCGACGTTGGCGCCACGTATTATTTGCCCGTCTGTAGTCAAGAGAGCGGCCCCTACATGAAAATTCGAGTATCTGGAGTATGCGAATTTTTTAGCTATTTACTACGTTAGTCCTTTAAACTTGAATCCAGGAATGATGCTCACCTTCTATCGATCCTCTAATCAATCGTTCGCGATCAGCTGGTGAAATCTCGTTTATTGAAGACATGGCTTGTGGATGGAGCTGGTGGTAGTGAATGCCTGAGCAGCAACTGATAAGGACCTTTCACTGAAGGGTGACTGTGACCACCGTTACTCACTTCTTTTTCACGTGCTTGCATAGAAACTTTCAACATCTTAAGCTTTCAAGTTGGGCAATACGTTCAAGGGGTGTCTTGCGAGAGCCTTTCAACATCGTATGTAACAAGTGCGATCATGATCTCTCAAGTTGAATGATGTTACTCACCTCACTTAACTTCACATGGTTTCATATCATTCTGCAGTTCAACTCCGTATGTTGCAACCTTATAACTCAAGCTCTGAAATTTGAGTGGTTACTTAGATCGTGACATGGCATAATTTATCCTGCGACCTTCGCAGTCCAACAAAATAACCCGCGAGACATTGTTGAGTTTCATGGCTGCGATCCGTAAGTGGAAGAGCTGTGAGGTGAGGAAAAAGGAGCACCCAACCGAGAATGTGACATCCTCATATATCTGAGAAACCTGCAAACCAATAAAGATCAGAGAAATATAGAAAAGGCCAAAAATGAACGCGATATTTTGGGGTATCTTTCGAACAAGGTCCCAAGTTGAAAGAATATTTTTGGGCAAGAACTAGGCAACCAAGCGATCAAGAACCATGCAGCCGAGATGATAGGATATGCGCATCAACGGGTTGTATGCAGGGTCGTCTGCGAATGGGATGAGGGGAAAAGGGCGACTATGTTCGAGTTTGGCCATAATTTTATCTGGTGCCTGGATCGACGAGTTTTGATTAAATTTAAGTATGGTAAATGCTGCGCCCCGCCGGGACAATCTTGGTGCTTGATGTGCAGGAAGAGCAATTAGTTCGTCATGATGCGTGCGTGCGTTCGGGAGTCGGTAATGACTGCAGTAGTAGGCCATAGATGACCGTTCATCGCTCAGATGCGCCTGAAAGGAGATCCGGTCGGTCGACATCAATACCCCACTGGCACCGATGCCAACTAGACTAGAACCAAAATTAGCAGACAAAAATACGTGTCATATGCAAAAATAACCTCGCCAATACGGATTTAAGTTGTGCACCGTAGGGTACCTGTTACATTCACGATCAAGGATTTTATGGAGGCAGTCAAACTGTCAAAGGGATAAAATAGTACAAGGTGGCTGAGACGAACGCGTATTTTTGAATATGTGGCCAAGGTGGAATGCACTAAACATAGGTGCATAAATTTGTCATTGGGAGCCGACTGCGGGCTTCCAGTGGGTGGACCATAGCAGTGATAAATGAACTGCTAAAAGCTCGTCGGATTCGTTTGGTGCATATATCCGAATTCCTCAAGGAGAGAGCACAGTAATCACCAGTTCACAATGATGGCTGACTCCGTCAAGTTATTGCAGGTATCTCGATGATTACTGTATTTTGATTTGAGAATTTCATAGCTGTAACTGCGCATGTCGCATGGGCCATGTTTCGACTTGGAACGTCTACGGCTGAAATTCGAACGCGGTGCTCAGCATCGCCACTGCACGTGCTCCCCGACATTTTGCTGTTCTGCTGTGGCTGTGCAACCCAGACGTCATGAAGAGCTTATAAAGATTTGAATTATGGAGTGGGCCAAAAGGCTAGTCTGAAACCTAGCTAACAACAACCATCATGACCTCCCACTCAAATTCTAACATGTTCATTTTCACGACATCCACGATATTCCTTTCCCTTGCCTCTCCCTGTCTTGCCCAGTATTATCCAGGAAACGGGTACAATAACACTCGCTGGAGCGGTAGTCTAATAGGAGGAGTCATAGTCGGTATGTCGTCCCTTTCATATCTTAGAAATACCTGAAAACCAATCATCTCTCCAGCAATCGCAGCTGGAATAGCTCTTTTGTCCATAATATGCGTTATCACCCGTAGACGCCGCCGAGCAACCAATGCAGGTGTCAAGCCCGGCTTTTTTGGCACTTCAGGCGGCTCTGCTCTTCCATACTGGCAGAACAACAACGGTGCAAACTATGCCACACCAGCACCTCATCCAGCATTTGGCACCCAAGCTCCGGGTCAGCAGGCTTCGTACGGAGCTGCCCGTGCTCCCCACTCACAGGGTGGATATCCCCCGCCTCCAATGGGATCAGCTGAGGATCCGGTTGCTGCTCCTCCACCTCCCTACATGAAAGGGTCTGCTCCCAACACGGCGTATGCACCGGTAAGGTCTTGCTTTGCTTGGTGGATAACATTATCTGATCTCATCTATTACAGCCTATCGGTCCACCACCTCCCGCACATACCGTATGTGATCCCTCGATTGCGTCCAATGAGTTCTAACTCTTAAATATTCCAGAATGACTCGGGTCATTTTGTAGGGGGTATGCGACATGCCACCTAGGCAACTGAAACTGATATGTTTGTTAACCCTTCGCTATCCTTACTTCCCATCTATACGCTACGGACATTTTGGCTACGGTTCAACGACTCAGCCCAAAATCAATTCACATAAATAAATTTACAGATACAGACAGTACTAGTACAAGTGTAGCGCTACCTCGATCCTTTTCCTTTTATCTTGTATTTCAATAACTCCACACGGCCTTGACTGCTTTCGAGCATTACAAACCGAATCGCCCAACTCATTCCGCAGTGACCATTGATCCCCGAGTCCACCTCGGACTCCGAACAAAAGATAAAAGATAAGGAGTATCACCCGTGTAATCCCCAATCGATATCTTTCTAGACCCAAGGGAAATGATGGCTGTCAAGTGTCGCAACCACCAAACAATACGCTCGTACTATAGTGTTCAACACTGCGCAGTCGTCGGTGATGTGACTGATTGTCATAGCACTGGGGCGGGGTCTCCGCGGCAACTTGCCCTCAGACCGATCGTTGATCACTCACCGGTGAAGTTTGTCCAGAACGATCTGCAAGACCCGGCCGATTGTCGTCGTCTTTGATAATCGCCAGGTCAGCGGCGTTTCGACTTCCCCCCGAGTCCTGGAATGAGTCCCGTCGGCGGTGGGATAGGACACCCTCATGATGGAGATACGTCTGCTTTGCATAGCGCTCGCACACGTCTTTCTGCCGATGGCAAGAGCTCAAGGGGTGGCTGGCGTCAGTTTTGAGGGCCTCGTCGACGTGTAAAAGCAAAACACTCAAGTCAGATGACACCGTGGGTTTGTACACAATCGCTCCCAGTGCCCAAAGGTCTGCCAGTGGTAAATTTAGAGCCGAGCGTGACCGAAAGGCTAGAATAGCACCGCTCATTCCGATACTAGCGCAATGAGTATTTGACCCGTCCAGAACGAACGATAAATTACGAATTGGGAAGGTGACTATGTTCACTAGGATTTTTTTTTTCCGTCAGTAGAGGTTATCAGTGTGGTGTTATCCTGATTGATGTGACGTCTACGAAGGAAAAACAGTGAAGCCTAAACCGAGGACTTGGGTGACGTTAGCACATGGAAAATCAACGTCTTGGGTTAAGATGACTATTGAAATGATATGACGGTGACAGCTTGCTCTGAAGTACAGAAAAGCATTATTTTCTGTACCTCCTAGCATACATTTTTTACCACCTGTTTCAAAACCGATACACTGGATCCCCTCACGAAAGAGACGGCATGACGAGAGATAGTATTGCGATAGGCAAGTGACGGATGTGAAAAAACCAAGTATCGTCGCCGATGCTAGCGGTAGAAGTGCACTGTAGTGGATGAAAAGCGACCATGAGAGTGAAACAGAGAACACTTATCAAAGCACACACCTGCGCAAACAAAACCCAGTTGATGTATTCCACGCTGCCCCGTCATAGCCGTTAATACAGTTTTAGTCGCCCGCAGGGAGAGTTCCTTTATCAGATCACTGTAGAGATGCAGCGTTGACAGCTTCCGTGTAGAATGATGTGGACTATCCATCGTTCGTTCGGAGATTGACCGGCGCGCGCGAGCCGCGACGAGAACAAAAGCAAGCCCGGTTTGTCTCGTGACAATGATGCTGATAGAAGATGGGACGAGCGTTTCCGCAAGGCCTCGGAGAACCTAGGACAAGTGGCGTATAGGTTTTCGCAGACTCAGTAAAACATCAAAGAGGACGCACGGAAATGACAGGCGCAGGCGTACACATGAGTCCATTTACCCATAGTACAGCGCGTTCGAGGCCAGGTATGGGGGATTAGCGATTAGTAATATATTATCTTCGACTTCGTAGTGGGTAATTCGACGCGTAGTATGCCATCCTCAAGTCTTCCAAAAGTGCCATGTCATGGATGAATGATTTATGCATGGGGCAGGCGCTGAAAAGACAAAGTGTGACGCAATATCCGATATAACACCGCCTAGCCCTTATGTGACACTGATAAGACCTGTGAAGTACGTTCTCAGTGTGGCGTTGTGCTTGCATGCATCTTGTGCGTGTCGACTACCGGACGCAGAGAGTTGTGTAGCTGAACCGCGCGTGTCCGGATCTTGATATGTTCAAGCCCAGGCATGAGAGAAAAATAAGCTTTGCCATGTGGTAGAACGCCCTCATCGACAGCAGTCAGTCGTTGGCCTATAGCTGAGAACAAAACGGAATGGAAAGGAATGGGGATCAGGTTCAGTGGAGTGGGCACGGGATTGCATGGTGTAGCGAGACGAGGTCGAGATGCTAACGTCCGGAATTTGCCCGTACATTGAACGATGTGATCGCGACACTGACACAGGTGCACACACCACAGGGACAGTGATAGGCGGCCGACACAAAATCCGGTATCGCAATTGCTGTTGCTATGAGTCAGTTGCCTACAGGATACGCAACAAACGCGCCTTTACGTGCCCCGCCAACTGTTTCAATTGAGGTTCAGATCAACATACGCATGACAGTGAGTGATCTTGAGTCGAGACGTACGTAAATATGGGTGTAACGACTATCCAAGCATTCCCCTGACCGTTAGGCCAAGTGAAGTCGTGTGTAGACCATTGGGAGACGGCTACTAAAGCGTTCAGGCACTGAAGGATACTTTGTGCCGCTAAGCTCAAAGCTTACAAAAATACATGCTTGCTGGGATGTAGTGCCACTGGGTAGAAGAAGCTAGGAGACTCGAGGAGGAGTTAGTAGCGATAGGGCACGTTGCCTGGAATAACTTCGGAGAGAGAAAATTCATTGGGCGTCGGAGCGGTGGTATTCGAAGGTGTTGATGTACGAAAAGGTGACAAAAGGGAGTACATAGGAAGTAGATAAAATCCGGAGTCATGGTAATAATGCCTAACAGGGAAAACGTTGGTGTATGATGAAATGTTTGCATTCACGTTATTAGCCGAAGTGGGAATCGCAGAAAGTGATGTGACGGGGAATGATAAAGGCGTGAGGCAGTTATGGAGAGCGGCTGAGCTGAGCGTGGAATTGAAAAAAGTGGCGGCCGGGTTTGCGCTAGGACGCGATCAATCACACAGTAGACACGCTTCGTGGAGGAGAAAGGGCGCCGTGATAGACCCTTTCTAACGACAGCGCCAACTCAAGTGCGAGGGATGCTCCGTTATGCGCTGGTCGACTATTGTGAGGAAGCTAAGGGTGTAATCATCAAGCATCCAATTTAATCGCGAAGAAAAGAGACAAAAATACGAACAGAAATCGCTTAAAGAGCACCAAAATAAAATGGGAGGTCCAAAGATAAGTGAATTATTTTTGGTGAGTTATTTTGGGGTTCGACGTTACGCGCAGCAGATCCGATCAGGTACGGTTCTACCGACGGTCCGGCCTAACCCATGGACGCCGGCGGGTGTCCAGTCCGTAAGGAGTTCCGTAGCGGGTAAACGAATAGTCGCGGACCGCGAGGAGTTTGGAAACAAGAGATGTCATACAAGATGGACACGAGAAGTAATATGTTGAATCTGGGTGCGATGTCAGTTCTGGTGAAAACACTCACCTAAGGGCACGGCGAGCCAGGAGTCAAGGTCAGTTCGTAAGAAGAGTGGGAAGAAGCTCAGTGAGACAGCAAAGAGGAGAGACGAGGCAAATAGACAAGAGAGCCAGTAGGAGTGAGAAATAGAAGCAGGTGCAATAGAGTTGCAAACGGAAGGAGTCAGATGATCCAGCCCGATGAACATGATGAGCAGGTACAAGTGACAAGGGGTGTGAAGGAGAAAAACCGCGAGGTTGGCCGGAGATTGCCTGGTTCGCTGATTTTGCGAATGACAGTGGCAATGATGGGTACAGGATGTGGTCATAGGAGCAAGCGAAGTTGTACGAGAGGAATGAAAGGTGCCTGGCGAGGTTAATAGATAGAGCGCAGACCAACTGAACGGTTGCTGCGGAGAAGTATTGGGTGAGAAAAAGGAGGCTAAGACAATGTTGAGAGCACGAAGGATATAGAAGTATTGATGATACATACAGAAGCTACTATTGGACAAAACCAATGCTGGCATCACTGACAGACAGAAAACGGTGGAGAGTTACGGGAGCGGAATGGCAACCTCCGAGAACAAATCCAGGGAACCCGGCGCAATCCCACACGGTGGCTGGCAGGGCACGGGCGCCTCAGATTCCCTGCCCGAGCCCGCATTGGGCTGGAGGGTGCGATCTCAGGGATCCGGAGTAACGACCCCAGGGGAATCTCATGGATGATCTGTGAATCTGATGAGCGCCGTTTGTGGTTGTTGCGCATCCGGCACGTTGGACGGAATTTCATGCCGAGTGTCCCAGTGAAAGATGCAAACTTCAAAGACCACCCCTCCCGTCCCGTTCGTCGTCTCTTTTCTCTGCCCTCTTTCTTTCCTTCTCTCATCTCCTCTCCTCCAGCTCTCGTACTCTCCAACAAATTCAACACCGCTCTCGCCATGGGCAGAAGAAAGATCGAAATACAGCCTATTACCGTATGTGACCCTTTTATAACCTGCTATTCTAGGCTCGTCTCCCGTCGTGCTGCGTTTTGCCTAGCGCGCTCTCCATTTTTACTTGGCTGCCCTCGATGTTCCAACTTTGACATTCACCTGCTTTCATTTAAACATAGCACGAGCGTAATCGTTCGGTCACTTTCCTCAAGGCAAGCTCCTCTTGCTATTTTTGCTTCTGAAAGTCTTGGCATCTAATTATTATTATCTGCTCCCTTGCCGCGCTCTCCAAACCTGCAGCGTAAAAATGGCCTCTTCAAAAAAGCTTATGAGCTTGGCGTGCTGTGCTCCGTCGACGTTGCAGTCATCATCTTTGGTCAGCCTCGTCTATTAAATCCTATATTTTGGCGCCCCACTTACATTTGCTTTCAGAGGAGCGTGCCGGTCATCACGTTAAGCTCTACCAATACTGCTCAGGGGACATCCATGACATCGTACAGCGCCACATTCGAGTATGTCATCCATCTATCCATCCTTTACTCTTTGTTCACTTGTTCCTATCACAGTATGATGGCGAAAAGGATACTCGCTCGCCGCATGATTTCGCCAACAATGCTAACCACAAGTTGGAAGACGTGGGCGGCGATGACGACGATGACGTTGATGAAGACGACGGCGATTTAGGTCACTCTCGTGGCCTCGCCGCCAGCGCCAAAAAGCGTGGTGAGCCCAAGCTGAAGACTGAATACGGTTCATCCGGAAAACTCATGGTGCCTGGTTCTAATGGAGCTGGAGACATCAATATGGACGTCGGGGTAAGACCTTCTCCATCTTCTTCTGTTGCTGTGAATAATGTACCCCCTATACGTAGATGGATTATCACCGACCTATGACTATCCCCCCGCCGCCAATGCCGCTCCATCATCCCTCGCAGTTGGCGTCGTCAGGCGGGAGTTCGTCTTCCCTCCCTTTGTCAATCGAGCGGCATTCGTCATCAGCCTCAACCAGGCTTTTACCTAGCAACGGTCAGTACCCCTCCAAGAAACCACGCATTGCGCCCAACCCCAACGGCGGTAACACTTCCAAACTCACTACAGATGATGCAATGTATAATGGCTATCTCCCGTCGCCGACGTCTGCGCACTCGCCCCCTTTCCGCCATCCGGGCACAGCTTCACATCAGCTTGCGCCATACGGTGGTAGTTCGTATCTCGGCGTATCTTCGCCGCCTTCTTCTTCTTTTCTATCGTCAGGGTTTGATTTCCCCTCGTCGTCTTCTAGAGGACCCTCGTCCCGGAGCATGAGCTTCAGTCAACAGCGCTCATCATTTTCTCAGCCGCAAGAACCCCATCTGCATGGAATGTATCAACAGTTAATGCGTCAGAATCCACCTTCCCACAGCAATCTGCACCCGCAACAGCCCGCTCCAGATCTGCTTGTTGCATTCCTTGATGGCGAGGAACACAGGACACCGCAAAATCAGGGTTCACAATTCGGGCAGTTGGATTGGCCAACCCATGCGCCCCAACAGCCGCACCATCAACATCCGCCCCAGGCTCCACACCATGAACCAAGTATGGTTCCCAACTCTGAGAAGTAAACTGTAGCTCATATACGTTATAGGTCAACCTGGTCCGGGTGACACCAGCTGGCTTGACTTTTTGTCGCACACCACTCCACAAACAGGAAGTCAGCAACTGCACATGACGCTACCTCCGGCTGGTAGTCGAGACAGCGTTTCATGGGAACGAGAACGAGACATTGAATACACTGCGGAGCGTGCTGGTGACGCTCAGGGTCCTCCGTCGGATAAATCATCATCTGTCAACGGGGGTGGAGCGATCATGTCCCCACCGCTGAGTCGAAAGCGAATGCGTGCCGACTCTGCTGCAGACTTGCGTGGCAAGAGGGAGGGTAGTTCGCCCGGAAGGCTGAATGGATCAAGCGTCGTACAGGGAGACCAAGGTCGTGAATCGAGCAGTAGTAACGGACACGGGCATGCCGAGAAAGAAGAGTAACCCCTCGGGGATCGACGCTGAGACTTGTATGATATGGTACGATATGCTCTGTGGACTCTATCGGATTTTCGATCAGTATCTTTTTTTTTTTTTTGTTTTTGCTTCCGTATTGCTCTGAGATATTTCCTGTTACATGTTTACTAAAAGACGTCGTATCTTTGGACACTTTTAATCAGCTGATGAGTTCTAGGTTAAGAAGCTAATGGCCTACTGTCGAAGTCGTGAATGCCGGAAATATCTAACTTGAAGAAGAAAAACAATCGCAAGAGCCTGGGAGCTTGATGTGACGAGGGTTAGTGCTCGCTGACATGGATGATTTCGAGTTTATGACAGAAGCAAATTGGCATGCAGTTTCCATGATTTCTGCCAGTGAGCGGTCTTTGTCTACCCTCTGCCCACCATACTGTCCTCGATAAAAAGGAAAACATAAGGATCGATACGCGTTCTTAATATATTATCAGACATACCAGTGGAGTATGTGGGATAATAGTAGCTCAAAGGTGATAACAGATCACCTCATTGCCGTCTTCTTCATGCTTCTTCCTAACGGCAACGGGATGGAAGACTCGTTTTTTTCTCAACCCAGGTCTTCTTCGCCTATCGACTGGACACATGTCTTATCTGATATGATTTATCATTTCTATCTGATAAAAACAGAACGGCTTGAACATTGAACCAACGAGGTAGGGATGCCCAGCCGATACGAGACTTGCATTTGCCATCGAGGCAACTCAGACGGAGTCCACTGCAACTCTGTATCTCACAAAAACTGATTCTCACTATCTGTACGTACGGACCGTTTGTTGCTATTTTATTTTGAGGCTTTGTGTGTCTTTTTTTGGAGTCGAGTCCGGTGAGTCAAAGTCACGTGCTTAACACGCATTTTCCTCGAAGACCGTTCGAAGACGTCGGAACAAGGGAAGCACGATCACCCATCACCGGTCTGAAACTCTGATCTTCGTCGCCGTTTCTGCCAACTCAGCATATTTCCTGTTTCCTCGTAATTCACCTTGCTTTCGTAGGTATACGGTATGTCACCTGCCCATGACACCCATTCCATTCTATCTATAACGCGTCTCCAATCTGCTGATCTCCACCCTTTCGTTCCCAAGTAGTGGTGCATTGCTTGCGCGATCCTTGCAACTCCTGCTTCGAATATTCCCAAATGACCTCAGTTGGCTTGCTGGCGTTCGCTTCGATAACGGCAGGTTTTTCTGGCAAGCTGTGTCAGCTGAATTTTTATCCGACTCGTCGTGCCCGGTCCAACCCAACTCGCCTCGGCATATCCACTATCCACAAATTACAATTGGGCGCTGGGCGGCAGTTCCGCGGCCCTGTTTACACCGCGAAAAGTGATACGATCCTTGAGGCATTACTTTCTGGTCTAAACCCTTTCCATTATTATTATTATTATCCAAAACACCGCCTCCTACTCCTACTCGGACGAGGAAACCAAACCCAAACAACTACTTAAAGCGTCCAATTCGTAGTATTCGGACATTATCCCTTACTTGTGGAGTCTTGCTCCAAGTGCGACTTATCACTTTCTTTTGGTGTTCGTATCTCGAACAGCTATCATGTTTCACTTGGCGCGTTTATGCTCCTTCGTCCTTGCGTCTATCAGCGCATGTCATGCCGCAATTGGTCCTGTCGCTGACCTTCGTATTGTAAACGGGGAGATATCGCCTGATGGGTTCCCGAGAGTGTAAGTTAACCGTTTGTCGTAAAGAGATCCCTTCCAATTCTGTTCTAGGGCCACGCTTGCTGGGGGCAGCTTTCCAGGTCCAGTAATCAGGGGAAATAAGGTGTCTCGACGTCTTCTTTCGTCAACTCATACATTGTTAATCTTGAGCTTTACTTATATATTAGGGAGACAACTTCCAGATTAACGTCATCAACGAGTTGGTAAACCATACTGACACTGTTAGGAGTACTACGGTGGTTAGTATGCTTCTTGCGTTCATGTTGACTTGTCTCACTGACCCTAATTGTCTAGCACTGGCATGGTATTCATCAGCATGGCCAAAATATAATGGACGGTCTGGCATTCGTGACTCAATGCCCAATAGCACCAGGCAATTCCTTCCTCTACAACTTCACCATTCCAGACCAAGCAGGCACTTTTTGGTACCATTCACACTATCAAGTCCAATACTGTGACGGACTGAAAGGTGCACTCATTGTTGACGACCCTGAAGACCCTTATCGATTCTGGTACGATGTCGATGATGGTACGTCGTCGAGCTGCATAGTGGTACTCAGCTGACACTGTGCCTCTGTTTTGCAGAAAGTACGATTATCACCTTGTCTGACTGGTGAGTCCCAGGGCGTAATGACTTCTTTCTGCGTCCTGACAGTGTGAATTCAGGTACCACGAGCCTGCAGAACTTGTGCCCAGACCGGCTGTTATTGACTCTGCCTTGATCAATGGTGTGGGTCGGTACGATGGTGGGCCTCAGGTTCCCCTCGCTGTCGTCAACGTCGAACCATGGAAACGATACCGCATACGACTCATCAACATGGCTTGCAAGCCAGCCTACACATTCTCTATCGACAAGCACGTGTTCACGGTCATCGAGGCAGATGGTGTCAACACCGACCCATACATCGTGGACTCCCTTCAGATCTTTGCAGCACAGCGTTACTCATTCATCCTCGAGGCGAATCAACCTGTCGACAACTACTGGATCCGCGCCCTTCCAAGCCGTGGAGACCCCAGCTTTGAAGACGGTCACAACTCTGCTGTCCTGCGGTATCGAGGGGCTCCCGAGGAAGAACCGACTAACAAGACCTGGAACCTCAATTTGCCATTGAATGAGAGTTATTTGCACTCGCTGGAGCCCCATGTTCCTGGTTCACCAGGGCTCGGTGGTGCGGACATCGAGCTCAATTTGAACTTCACGAAGCCTGATAACGAATATGTTGATAACTACACTGTCAACGGGCATTCTTACATCCCGCCAAGCGTTCCCGTTTTGTTGCAAATTATGAGTGGTGCCAGAACTGCTCAACAATTGCTTCCAATGGGTAACGTCTACCCTTTACCCCGCAACAAAGTGATTGAACTCACCTTGCCCGGTGGAGCGCCTGGTGGACCGGTAAGTAATTACAATTACCGTACTTCACATGGCGACGCTCATTCATTCCACCAATCTAGCATCCGTTCCACTTACATGGGGTTGGTATTTTTAGCTGTTGTCTGATCTAGGAGGTGAATGACTGATCGTTATCTCGTTATCTTCCCATAGCATGATTTCAGCGTCGTTAGGAGTGCCGGAAGCACCGCACACAACTATTACAACCCTGTGCGCCGTGATACCGTTAGCATCGGAGAAGGAGGAGACAACGTCACTATCCGCTTTACGACCGATAACCCAGGACCTTGGATGTTACACTGGTATGTGACGTAGCTCGCTGGTGCGATTTGATGCGTATTTACTGAGAATCGACGCGACTCTAGTCATATCGACTGGCACCTTTACATGTGGGTTTCTCACCTTGTACCGATATAGACATCCTAACTTTTGATGGCAGAGGAATGGCTCTCGTTTTTGTCGAAGCTCCTGATGACATCGTATCAACTGATCTGAATGCTACTAACCGTAAGCGAGATTTCATCCTGTTGTGAATTTAGCTCTTTTCTGATACATAACTTGGGCTATGCAGCGAATCTAGAGTCCTGGACGGATCTTTGCCCTGTATACAATAGTCTCCCTCAAGACGAAGTGTAATGTGTGCGATGCAGTAACGTTTTTATGATGCCTACTACGAACGCGGACATTGCATATACTTTTTAGAATCACATTCTTGGACATTACGGACATGGGTTCTCGGTTTGTTCCGCCTGTCAGACCTTCATATGACTATAGTATTACTTACATCTCGCCCTATCTTGCGGATATCAAAAGACTATGATTTCTTGGGACAGATGACCGCACAGTCAACTTCGATCATATTCGATCACTGCCAAGTGCCCGAGCAGCCTGAGAAAATGCAATCGCGGTTGATTCGCTGTGTTACAGTCTAAGTAATCTGATAGTAACATTACTCTAGGCCTTGCTCTTGGTTTTTCCCATGCTCTGAACTACGAGCCGAGCAAACACAGGATAATTTATTTGAAGCTGGATCGAGAGCGCCACAAAGTCACGGTATCTTGGGCGAGACTGAGAGTTTTCATCCCCTTTGCACAATCTCAAACCCGTGATACGTCCTCCACAACACATCCTGCACGAACCTACTGAAAGTGCTCCCGTCAGTAACCACTATTTCTCGCGCGTTCGCGACGACCATAGCATCCATGAACGGTATCAAAAACTTGGTCATCTGTACTTGGTCATATTCGTTTCTAAGTCTCCCCAAAGAAGCTGTCTCAGAATGGAAATCGGAAAGAAAGAAGATGCATGGGAAAGTGTTAAAGAACCTCGAGAACACGGGATCAGTCTTGGGTTCGGGCGAGTCCGTAGAGATGAATAGTGGGATGTTCAACCGCGCGAAAGGTGATACCGGGTGCAATTCACCACGACAGGTTAGATCAAACGAAAAGGCTTCTGGAAAAGGTGGCAGAGGAGGATGGGGAACACGCAAGCTTGGAAGATCTGGCAATAGTTCAGGCGGCTCCAGTTCGTCATCGCCATCAGCGTCAATCAGTTGACGTTCAAGAGCGAGGGTCTCTTGCAGGTCGAATTTGAGTACCTGGTGGACTAGTTTCCACCAGATGATCCTTGCGTTTGTCTCACCTTCGTGCTGAAAATGACCGTCTCCAACACGTAGGTGCGCACCAATATACGAGTTGCCAAGAGCGTCGTGTATGGCATCAGCCACGCCAGTCAGAGCAGGATTCGCAAAGGCCATACTTCGTCGAATGTCTCGGCGTATACTTACGCTGGCTTCGAGCTTCAATCGGAGCCGTGAGGATCCAAATAGTGTTCCAACTTGTAGGAGCCGTTCCTGGGCGCGTGCGAGTGTAGGTATATATACAGAGTGAAGATACTTGTCCTTCGAAGGTGATATATCCATGATCGAGTCCAGAAAGCGATAGTCATATGGACCAGTATCACGAAGCGTCAGAGTATCCTTGCTAGAAATACCAAGATTTTCTTGAAGCCAAGCGGTTGACGCGTTCCCGACTTCGAGAAGTGATTGACGCGATCGAATTTCAGATAGATCTACCAACCAATTCCAAGGTATCAGAGTGTAGTCAAAATAATCAAGACATTCTTCAGGAGTAGATACATGTGTTCCAACATCTGCACAGTGGAAAAGACCTTCCTTCCCAGACTGTGATAGAAAACGTCGCAGCGTATCGAACTGGACGTATCGGATCGGTTTATCGCCCAGACGAACTGGAGTGACGAGTAAAGTGCGATTCAGAAGACGAGATAATACAAGCGCATTTTCAAACGCGATGCGCTGGTTGTGAAATCCGCTGTGAGGGAAATAGGCCAGAAATTTTGCGTGGGGGTCGTGTCGCAACTCGGCGTAACGCGTCTGCAAAGTGTCATATGGGACGACTTGAATGAAATTATCAGCTTCATGTTCAAGAGTGGGAGGAACAGGTTTGGATCTCCACCTCGTCGTGAATAGGTAGTAGGCGGTTCCAAAGCAAGCGAGCGTTGCAGAGGTGAGAAGTACGATGAGTATGGCGAGTTTCTTGTCTTGCGTCAAGGGGTCTGGTAGCCTTTTGAGGGCCCTTTGCTTCGACGGGGTATAAAGTCTGCGAGGTGCTCTCATGCGGTACGAGCCCTTTTCGAGGGTGACTGAAGGAGATTGGAACGATGTCGTTGACATCGCAATGGGCACGTTGGGTGTGCTTTAATGGTAAGAATGGCGGGTCGGGAAAGAAATGGTTTTTAGCACGAGGGCAGGCTATTACACGCTGGGAAGTGTGAAGGTGGGCAGTTCGCCAGTGGCAGGACGACAACTTAAGTTCTCAAGATCAGATCAATAATGAAAAACTTACAAAGATACAGAGTCCAATTAAAGATTGGTGAAATGCTTTTGTATATCAAGGTAAGTTGAAAGAAAAAGAAAGAACTTCGAGTTCAGGCGGCTAACAGTGGAGGGAGGATAAGCCGAACGTGCAATGACACGAGTGGCGTCAAGGCAAGGCCGACTAGCTCAGTTGGTTAGAGCGTCGTGCTAATAACGCGAAGGTCTTGGGTTCGATCCCCACGTTGGCCATTTATTTTTTACATCTTTACGTGGGTTATCTAGAGCGCTGAGCAGTCCCCCAAAAAAGATGGATGCAGTGTTCTTACAACAGGGGGCATGCCAACTGGATAAATTTCTACGTTTGCAAAAATCACCATTTTACTAGTCATGAAACCATGCTTTCAAGCTACCCGCCATTGTATGCATCTCGGTATTCATCAACTCTAGTCTACGTAATTATTTAACACATATGTGAACTGACCTTTCCAATGCTCATGCTAGTCAGTGTAGCCAGTGTCATTCTGCTTCAAAAGTAAATGAGCAGTGTCGCTCCGCTCCGTTGGAAAAATACTGTCCAAATCTGGTGCTTGAGTTTGATATTCTGCACCGGAGCAGATGAAAAGTTGAAGTAAAATTGACGTTGCAGCACCAAGCCTGCAGGTGGGGTTGGGTGTACTTCATCCAAAAGTGAGTTAGGAAAGGGCTAGATTCCAAGGCTCATATAATAGGAACATCTTCTATATGAACCATGGAATCTGATCTATTCCGCTCACTTCAAGGGCAGGGACGGGGCAATATGATCTTCGAGGGTCACTCCAATTTTTGTGTAGTTGATTGGAGGAATAATCTGTAAGGCAAACAATAAGTGCGTGAAAATACCGGTGTAAAAAGAGATACTGCACTGTTTATGGTGCTGAAACAGATGATCATGATGCGGACAGAATGGCGGTGACTACAGAACAAATCTAGCGACTTATATAGATTTTGGACAGAACATTTTGTAACAACCAAGAGTTAGTTACTCTGGCACACACAAGAACACACTATAAAGGTAATGATAGGGGAGTGGTTTCCCCTTAAGCTGCAGAGAGTTTGTTGGTAAACAATAGGAGGACTCGCTAAGGAGTTTCCTGGATCTATTGGGGTATATATACTAATACAGAGTGTTTGTACTTATGTACTGTACAGTTGATAAAGTCAGTGGCTGATGATGTCATGGGGCCTAGCCCGCATGACCAGCTCCACTGTGTGAGAGAGTTATATCTAAAATAAGAAGAAGGCAATGCGGCACGAGAAAGAGGAGTTTTGAACAAAAGGGGAAGTGCCGCGTGGCACCATGTGTGAAAGCTAAAGTATACGAGGTTAAAGCGGAGAATGAAAATGAAGGGAAGGTCCAAAAATTGTGCTATTGTAACACATTTTCTAACATACATTGACTCATCCAGGTTAATTTTGGAAAGGAACATTTCGAACAGATTGCAAAAGGAGGAAGCTAACAAACACGAGGACAGCACGAGGATAGAGGTGTTACGCACAAAGTGCTTAACAAAGTCTGAGGATTCATCCAGGGTTCAAAGAGACTTATCCGAAGACAAGTTCGAGGACATAGTTCTGAGTAGAGTTCTTCCAACGAGAGTTGGTCTTCTTCTGGGTAGAAGTCTGATCTTAGGAGTCTAGCTTTGTAAGTGTAAACTGCATAGAATTGTATTGAAGAAATACCACTACCGTTACAAGGGTATTTATAGGAAATAGGATCAGTGATAGGAGTTAGGTCCTATCTAGGGGAGGCTTGCCTGTTGAGGGCTAACTACTATACTAGGCAATGCAGTCTGCGAAGAAAACAGAAATGTACGTGAAGGAAATGAGACATTGGTCCGATGGTATAGCCAATGAGTAAAGAAAAATGAGTAGTCCATAAAAGGAATAGAAATTGTAACAAGAGGCAGAAGATTATCGGAGGTGGTTGGCATTCCAAGCAGGGGAAAGGTGTATGGAACCGACCCGCTAAAAGCCAAGAAGTTTCCTCAGTATTCAGAAAACTCAGGCATTGAATTACTTGGGCTCAAGCTCGCGCCCGCCGCGGAGAAAAATATGGAAACGGTGGGCTTTTAAATTCCAAAAAATTTGTCTCCCGCGATTATTCCCAGCAACCAGTTTACAGTCACAGTATCCGTGACAGCGTACGATGGCTGAGAGGACACTCTCAAACCCAACTTGCAACTTGAAGGTCCTGTGTATGGCTTGATGGTGAGTCACTCGAGATAATTCAATGTCTGGGTGCAGTCAAAAGGAGAAGGAACATAATTCCAGGTGGCTTTTCACCCAAACTAGGGGAAGGCAGGCTTCGAAAAAAGCCAGGATAGTAATCTCTGCTGGGATCCTTGATTTCCGGTTCATAACGAGGCAAGAAACATCAGAAAATAGGCACAGAAAGCACAGAACAATGCTTGTCCACAATTTCGTTCACAACCATGAAGCCACCTCTGTGAAACGGTGGTCAGCCGGCCCATCGGCAACATAACAACAATGGTGACATAAACGCGACCGTTTTAGGCGGTTTATAGGTTCAATCCAAGTATTCTACAGCAAAACTTCTCCCCTTCATCACGTAGGCCGCAATATTTGCCTAGCCTTTAATCACTCATCGTGCATTTACCCTCAGACAACTCTACCATGCCTACCTTTCCGTATCCTTTTGATCCCAAGCATCGCATGGGTCTGAACGTAAGTACAAGCAAACAACTTGGTACTACATCTGTTTTATTGAATGTAATTGTATATAATTCTTAAATACAAACAACTCCTAAGGACTATCACATGACTGAAGAGTTCGACCACTTCTATGACTTGCCCGAGAACTTGTTTCCTGCCAAAGCCCCCTACAACCGACCTCCCATGTTCCACTTTGGCTATCCCGCAGACCTTGCAAAGATCGAAAAGTGGGCACGCGAGCATGGCTTCACCAACGACTCGATCAAAGCAAAAGTCGGAGAAAATGGTGTTACGGCCGAAGATTTCGAATGGATGCTCGAATTGGGCCTAGTAAGGTTTACACGCAAGGAGGCCACCAAGATAGCTGGTTTTCCAGTCAACATCACACTCGGCAGAAGGAAAAGTGCAGCTTTCTGGTTGGTCTCGCTTTGGACCAATATACAGCCACGTGAAAGGCAAACTGTACCGCTGGTTGTGATGGAGATATCTGAAGAACTTGCGGGGGGACCACCGAATTGGTATTTGGATGCGACACGGTTCTATTGGAACTGGCTTAATATATAGGTAAAATATAGGTAAGTAGATGCATCGTTTTTCATTCGCGTACATTGTCGTTAACAGACTGATCAACTTAGAACTTTGGTCCACTGAAGTCAAGTTGAATTCAAGCCAATAACTGTCGTTAGACTCGCTATGTTCATGCTGTCTCGTCACGCTCACGCTCTCTATTCCTCTCTCAAATGTAATATGTGTGTATCCAGAATTTCAACATAACATTCAAAACGTGCTTATGAGTATCTGGCTAACACCTGCCGAAATACGATCTGCAATGGTTATTGGACGTATTTACAATATCATAATTCGAGTTTCGATATCTTAGAATATCGTCGTGGGATCTAGTGACACTGAGCAAAAGAAAAAATTATCGTTATACGACTCTATGTCGAAAAAATCGATTGTCCATGGCGTTCTTTATAACTGCCACTAAAAGCAGGGTGACAATCATTACCCAGAAGATAGTCTACACTAGTCAGGTAAACGTACTACAACAATGTGCTATACTCGTGATACATTATCCTATCCAATACGAAAGAAAGAAAGAAAGCTAGAAAGACACCCCATAGATAACTTTGACTCTGCTATTCCCTCGGGTTGAAGCTCCAGATCTCCATCACAGTCTTACCAGCCCGTTTACACATAATAGCACAAATCCCATTCTTATGTACAACCTTCCACACACTTTCACACCGCTCAGTTAGATCTCGGATATAGTTTCCAGTGAGCGTCTCAAATAGTCTCACGCGACCATCGTTTCCGCCAGTCACAAGGAAGTGCTGGTCAAATTGGAGGGACGTCACGGACGAATCGTGCGCAGCGATGCGCTGTAGCGTGGTGAACGTCGAGAGTGAAAACGTGATCACGCGACCGTCCGATCCGCCTGTGGCGAGCATGTCGGAGAAAAGCTGGAGCTGACATACAAGAGCGGTGTGTCCTTGTAGAAGAGCGATGCATTCCCTGAAGAGCTCATAATCAGCCATATTTACTGAATGAATAAGAGGTGTAGTTACCCAGTATCAGCGTCCCATACGCGTACTGTGGTATCCAAGCCTCCAGAAGCAACCCGCACGCCATCGAAAGCAACTGAGTACAGCTGGTGCATGTGTCCCTCTAACACGTGTAAGCATTCTCCGGTATCAACGTTCCAGATCTAAGTGAAAGATGAGGAACATTTCTAAGGGAAGGCAGACGGGTTGTACTTACACGGCAGGTGGTATCATAGCTACCACTAACAACTCTATTACCACATACGTCTAAGCATCGCACACTCTGCTGATGCCCTTGTAATAATCTTAACATTCGACCGCGCTGTATATCCCACACTCTCAACGTCCAATCCCGAGAACCTGTGACAGCTATTGGACGATTATGCAACACTTTGATGCACCGGATAGTTGATGTATGCCCTCGCAGCACGTAAATGCAATGTCTGTGTGCAAAGGAAAAAAAAAAACATTAATGTCACTCACACGAACACAGACCGTGTCAGTTACCCACCCCGATTTCACGTCCCATACCCTTAAAACTTTGTCACAACCTCCGCTAACTAGGAGGGAATTGGGTTGACCCCACCCTTCCGAAGCAGAACAGACGTCACTAAGCTTTCCTCGCGTATTCGTATTCTGTGAACTGTGTGAGCCCTTAGGGGGTGAAACTCGAGGTCTGCCTTCGTCGAGTCCTAAAGCGACAAGCATAGGCTGAGATAGGTTGTGGTATTGTTCTCGTGCTTCTTCTGGGTCTGTGCCATTCGGCGTCATATCATCATGTTCATTTCCATGCGTGGACATGTCACCCTCCTGCATTGGAACTTCTGATGTTCCTCTGTGACCCCAAGTTTGATGAGCCTGGTTGGGCTCTTCTTCACCTTGCCAGTATCCACTGTGGCTAACTAAATGGACAGCCCACACGCCTTGTTCATGGCCAGTAAGTGTACGGTTCAAGACGCCTGTTGTGGCATTGAAGATGTGTATGTGATTGCTGGTGAGGGCCACTACGACCCAGTCCGCGTCCATTGCAGCAGAAGTTATCACGCCATTGCTGGGAGTGACGATAGGTACTCGATGTGCGCGCAATATGCGGCCTCCTCGGCGCCAGTTTGACGCTATGGATATATTATAGAATATTACATGAGACAAAATTGAGTCACGTACTGGTAGCATAGGCACTCTGAAAATGTTTACGATAGGAGAACTTAGTATGAGCTAGCCCATCGTGGTCAGAGTCTTGTCCGTAATCTCGTCGCTTCTGAATAGACACAACCGATGCATGATCCGCCGATGACGCAGCGACTTCGTGCTTGGCTTCCATCAGGTCGTCAATATCATCAACGCGGATATTCTTCCTTGAAGTTGAATCCAGGTTGAATTGATGGGATTCACACATCTTCTTCCATAGCCAATCGTCTGATATCAAGGTGTTCCAGCGTCTGCACACCTGGCTGGCTCTGGAGAGTGTTCGAGGATCATCAACGAAGTTCAGTATGTGGAAAGCAATTTCGGGTGGTAGTTCCCTCAGGAAATCCCGTTTGAGCATAGGGATAATATAGCTTGAGATGTATAGCAATTCGGAGGTGGTGCAGTCGTTTAAGAGTGAAACGAGATAGCGTCGGCGAGCGGCGGGACCAGACGAGGCCAGGTTGGCGAACTCGATTCGAGAAAGGTGAGCAGGTTCGTAGGACGCTGTAGCAGCATTCTGAGAGAAGGAGTCGTATGTGGAAAATGGACGCGGCGAAGGAGCTGGAGTAGGAGGAGTTGCTATTGGCATATAAAGGGTGGACGAGGTAATATCGCGCAGCGTTGGAGAGAATTGGGCTTTGTCGACGGGGCCATTGTATGAAGTCTTCATTGGCGTTAGTGATTTTGTCGTGTAGTCCATGTCGCAGCAGTTTCTTTGCTGAAGGCAGTGGACTTGCGGGCCCGAGCGAAGTATACTGGTACAAGCAAGGCAATACGACGCAGTACAATTGAATGGCGGCGCTCCTCTAAAGACACTGGCTAGCGTTTACAACAAAAGAGGCGTAGCTGGAATAGATGCTTTTGGGAGAAAGCTGATGTTGTACTGTAACAAAAGTAACTTGCATTTCGTTGCTCGCTGGGCAAGTCCTGCTATCGGATATCGGCACTAGTTACGGCACCGAACCCTAACCATAACTTACGTGCTGTGGTCGGCAGACGCTACACCTCAACTGCAGCGTGCATCCCTCATTTCCCCTGCAATTTTCAATCTGCAGCTTTGAAAACGTAAGGGAACAAAATAGCGGTTTCTGTCTGGCTTGGATCTATACCACGCGCCTCTACGCTTTTTTTTGACTTATCTCATCACCTGATACCGGCAAGACGATGACTAACAAGAAGAACAAGCAGGCAAAGAAAAAGCAAACTCAGGCCAATGGGGTCAATGGGGTCACCAAGTTTGTACAAGTCACCTCTGAAAGCCATCCTTTTCTCACCCTGCGTTTGTAGAGATGAACAAATAATAATAGATCCTCCGCAGAGCCCAATAAAGTCTGACGGACCATCCTCACCTCCCCCCTCACCTCTCAAACCTGCGGTAGCTTCACCATCAGCACCAGCTAAGCCGGCCAACAATACTGCACAAGCGGAAAAGCGTAAAGAGGAAGGTAATGTTGCGTTCAAAGCTAAACGATATGGAGAAGCTATCGATTTGTATACCAAAGCCATCGGTGCGCCTCCTCTTTATCCTCATCGCATATCGTTGTTTAGCGCATGTTGTGCCAGATTTGAATCCTTCTGAGCCAGCCTTCCTGACAAACCGTGCTGCCTCATACATGGCATTGAAGCGCTTCCGACTGGCGCTGAGCGACTGTCAGCAAGCAGCTACTCTCCAGGCCGAATCTCCGTCATCTAAAACCCTCATCCGCCTTGCTCGTTGTCAATTTGCCCTAGGATCTTCTTCTCCTGCTCTATCAACTTTGCGCACGGTCCTGGCCCTCGAACCACAAAGCCAAAATTGCAAAACGCCAGCGCGAGTACTATCTGATGGAACAACTAAAAGGCATCAAGAAAGAACTTGGCATGGAATGGGGTATGGCACGACTGGCCCTCGATAAATGCTTGCAAAGTATTGACGGAGAAGGTGGTGAGATACCCACGGAGTGGCGTTTGTCGAGAGTGGAACTTGAACTGGCCAGGGGAAGTTGGGAAGCAGCCAACATTGCCGCAAAGTATGTCGTTTTACGCAACAAGGTTGTTTGGTATACAATGATAGCGAACATTTGCCGACATATCTTTCTTTCTAGTGATGCATATCGACTTGAGCCCAACTCGCCGGAAGTGCTAGCTCTTCGGGGGTTAGTATTTTTCTTATGCGGTAAATTACCTCAAGCCCTTCAGCATGTGCAATCAGCCCTGCGATTAGATCCAGCACATGAACCTGCACAGCGGCTAAGAAAACGTGTGAAAGATGTGGAAAGACTCAAAGAAGAAGGTAATCAAGCTTTCAAATCAAATAGATTAGAAGAAGCGATCGAAAAGTACACCGAGACCTTGGAGGTATTACTATACACGTTTTTCTAAAAATTACTGCTTATTCGAGGCTGATATGATTTTATTAGAGAATAGGTAATTCAGAAGAAGAGGGAAAAGGTGGACAGATCCGTGCAACGCTACTTTCAAACCGTGCCACAACACTAGTCAAGGTGCGTATATTCAAGAAAAGGTGGTTAATACCTTTCATCTCCTAACCTGAGGTCAGCTATCACGCCATGAAGACGCTCTAGTAGATACAGAGGAATCTTTGAAATTGCTACCAACGTCTTTCAAAGCTCTTCGCACTCGAGCTCGCATTAATCTACACTTGGAAAAATTCGATGCGGCGGTAGCGGATTTTAAAACATCAATAGAGCAAGCCGGGTTTGAAGGTAGCGACGCTGAAGTGCGTGCTCTTCAAGTGGAGCTCAAGAAGGCCGAAGCTGCGCTCAAGCGGAGCAAGACGAAAGACTACTATAAAATTCTCGGTAAGGCAGCTATGTAGTTGTGCCATCATTAAACATTCACGGCGGCCTGCCACCTAGGTATACCCCGAGACTGCTCGGAGGCAGAAATAAAGAAAGGTTACCGCAGAGAAAGTTTAAAACACCACCCAGACAAGGTATGTGTCGCCTCCCTTTTTTTTTTTTTTAGCTGAACATATATATATGAATAATATCAACAATGTCATTTAGGGAGGAGACGAAGAGAAATTCAAGTTGGTAGTAGAAGCAAACGCCGTTCTGTCTGATCCCCAGCGGCGACAACGATACGATATGGGCGAAGATGAAGACGGCCAGAACGATTCTGGAATGGGCGGTATGGGCGGTATGAATCCGATGGATTTTGCAGAGGTATTCGCCCAGATGCATGGCGGAGGTTTTGGCAGAGGAGGGGGTGGCGGGCATTCATATTCCTACTCCAATTTCGGAGGAGGACCAAGGGGCCATTCGCACGGATTTCATTTCTAGCCCTTTACCATATGGAATACACCGCGATATTTTTGATGCAGGTTCATATACTACAATTTTCACTTTTGCACCAACTCACTCAGACGTGAGGATATTTAAGTATTAGCCAGAGACTCACTCATAAGCATGTTTGGTTGGGCGTGGCCTGGGTCATGATGTTGAAATTCTGAATACATACATATCATGTTTGAGAAAGGAACAAAGAGCGTAACGAGACAGCATAAACATAATGAATTCCAACGACAGTTATTGACTTGAATTTAGCTTAATTTTGATGGACCGAGTTCTGACTCGACCAGTCTGTTAACGACAATACACGCGAGTAAAAAAAAGTACTTACCTATATGTTAAGCCAGTTCCAATAGAACCGTGTAGCATCCAGATACCAGTTCGGTGGCCCTCCCGCAAGCTTTTCAGATATCTCCATCACGACCAGGGGTACAGTTTGGCTTTCACGTGGCAGTATATTGGTAAAAAGCGAAACGAGCCAGAAAGCTGCACCTTTCCTTCGGCCATACGTGATCTTAACCGGAAAACCAGCTATCTTGGTGGCCTCTCTGCACGTAAACCTTACTGTGGCCAATCTGACCATGCGTTGGAAATCTTCGACCGTGACATCATCCTCTCCGACTATTGCCTTGATCATGTCGTTGGTAAAGCCATGCTCGCGTGCCCACTTTTCGACCTTTGCGAGATCTGCAGGATAGCCAAAGTGGAACATGGGAGGCCGATTGTAAGGGGCTTTGGCAGGAAACAAGCTCTCGGGCAAGTCATAGAAGTAGTCGAAGTCTTTAGTCATGTGATAGTCCTAATTGTACAGATATGCACTCAATAAAGCAGATGTGCCAGGTTGTTTGCTTACTTTGAGACCCATGCGATGCTTGGGGTCAAAAGGATAAGGAAAGGTAGACATGGAAGAGCTGTCTGACAGTGAATGCACGATGGGTGAAAGGCTGGGCGAGTATTACGGTACCAGCGTGATAATGGGGTAAGTTTTGTTCAAGTTGTCGAGCAAGTTGTCAACACTGTGGTGCCAATAGGCCGGCTGGCCACATTTTCACAGAGGGGGCTTCAAGGTTGTGAATGAGATGATTGTGGACAGGCATTGTTCTGTGCCTATTTTCTGATATTCTTTTCCTCGTCATGAACCGCAAGTCAAGGGTCCCAACAGAAATTACTGTTCTGGGCTTTTTTCGAATCCTTTTCTTCCCTCAGTTTGGGTGAAATGCCACCTCGTGTAGTCTATCCGTATTCGGAATTATGTTCCTTCTCCTTTTGACTGCACCCAGCCGTCAAATACTCTCGAGTAGCCAACCATTAAGCCATACACAAGAAACTTCTTGGCTTTTAACAGGTTGGTTCCAGAAACCTTTTCCCCTACTTGGAATACCAATCAACTCCGATAATCTTCTGGCTCTGTCCTCCTGTTTGTTGAATCCCTTCTTTCCCAATCTGTTCTAAACGTTCTTTTCTAAAATTACCTTGGATGAGTAAATGATATGTTAGAAAATGTGCCATCCAAAACCTACGTAAGTGACAGAATTTTCCTGTAATCATTGACATTCTCCTTTGTCTTTTCAACACAGTAAGCAATGCAATACTTCACACAGATATTTTACGCGTTTATTGTTTGCCTTACAGACTATGCCTAACCACACGAAAATTGGACTGACTCTCAAAGATCATATTGCTACCTTGGTCCCTGCCTTTGAAGCAGCCGAGTGCACGCGCGGGCAGGAACATTTATTATATGAGCCGTGGAATGTTGCCCTTTCTTGGCTTACTTTTGGACGGAGTACATCCAGGCGTCAGCTCAGTGTTGCACCCCAGCGCTAATTTCATTTCAACTATTCAACTGATGATGATGCGTGTATGTCCCCATCCTATACTCATGCCAGATCCAAGTTTGCGGTCCGTTAGTTTGCAACTTTTTTTCAGCTTCAGGTTCCAACCCTACGAGTGATAAACTGCCCCCTTTACAAGTCGTTCCTTTAGCTCGCACACGGTGGCAGTTTACTGATACTCCAGGTACGGGTTTTGTTTTTAATCACACCAGCCCACTTCTGACTTCTTTCCTCCATCAGACTTGGGTGTAGTAGCTTCTGAAAACGACGAAATTCTGAGCTCGACACTTTCCTCGCTTTCGACTTTTACTCTTTCATCACGGACAGCACCCACTTCTGGCATCTTTCCTCCACCAGACGTGGGTGTAGTAGCTTCTGAAAACGACGAAATTCTGAGCTCGACACTTTCCTCGCTTCCGACTTTAACTCTCTCATCACGGACAGCATCTGTTGCTTTATCCCAGTCAAATGTTCACAGTCGTGTGGACAGAGACTCGTACAGGATCCCCGATTTCGCTATCTTATCCAGAACCGGTCGTGGAGAGAAACTGCGAGAGCAGGTGCCTTTTATTGTAGAAGTCAAGCCGCACACTATCGACGGTGATCCAGAAGTTGAATTCCTAACTATGATGGAGCAAGTTGTGTATCAAGCCAAAGCCGTCTTTAGCACCTACCCTGAACAACAAAGTTTACACGTTATTTGTGCTGTTGGACGTTACTACAAGATGCTCCATTTGAAACGGCATATGTTCGCAGGAGTAGTATTCCCAGATCCCAGCGCAGAATATAGACCTGAAACATCGGGATTTGATGACATTATTTCGATGGAGCGGGCTTGTATTTCCCGTTCACTTTTGAACTACAACAAGACTGACTATGATAAGCAATGGAAAACTCAGTTTACATATGTGTTAAATAAATACATGGATTAGAGTTGGTATATATTGAAGTGGATGTATGTGTAGTAATTTGATGATTTCGCGAACGTAGAGATTTATTTAGTTGCGGGAAAAGCCTCTTCCTGTTGTAAAAACACACCTAACACTCACAGTTGAACGAACCCTGGGATCAAAAGGAGCAGGATATGCGGACGTGACAGACTGAATGATGTGTGGTATTCCGTAGGTTGGGCTGCCAGTGAGCGTAAGTCACTTTCAAGTTTGAATCATTCGATAAGCAATGACGTGAGAGCGCGGTGCGGATCGAAGGCCTTGATTTTCAACTTTCTACGCCTAATGTCAGGTTATTCGTTGAAATTGACGATTATCTAACCTAAAGCGCTAAAGGGGATTCGAGAGGGAATCCGGGGTTTTCGAACAGAAAGCATGTTATCATAGGTTGAGGCTAAGTTGAAAAGCCAAGCTAGTAGCAACCCTTTTTGGAGGCCACGTTCCTGGCGCGACTGGTCAGACTCTGGTCAGGTGTCTCTTCAAATATCTTTTGTCTGGCACGCACTTCAAGTTGCCAGTAAATTAATACGCCAGCACATCCCGCATGCATGTCCACTACCGCTGAGGATGCAGCAACCCAAGAGCGTCAAGGAAATTCCGTCTATGCAGCACTGGCGCGTACGGCCACCAGAGGCATGGCATTATACTTCTCTCGCCCAGTGCGTCTTTTCAGGCCTTCTAAGGGTGAATAAGCAATTTTATTCATCTAACTGTCCTCAATGACTGAATGACTACAGTGAGCGGCTGGCATTCCCTTAGAGGCCTCGCCACCCTACACGGGGCATCTCTGACCCCGCACTACATGGTTTCGCTCGTAAAGAAGCAAGGTGTAGTTTCTTCGTTCTTATCATCTCCCCATCCGCACCATCTCATAGTGTTTTCCCCCACGACCAGTTTATGGTGATACCCAAACACTTTATACCTCCCATGCTAGTCAACGCTGCGCTGGGAACTGTTCTTTGGACGACGTACACGGAAACATCTACTTTCCTCGACCTACATCTCGGTCCTCACCCTACTACTCTCGCCGCTCTTTCAGGAGCTATGGCGGGAGGTATGCAAGCTTTGGCTGCTGCACCTGCCGAAAACGTACGGCTCATTATCGAAGGGACTGCGGGTAGAAGCTGGTCTTGCGCGTGGAAGGAAGTGTTTCGAGGTACAGAACCTCCGCAATCCATGGGAAACCAGGAGACCATCAGGGAGATGAGGCAAGTCAGGGACTGGATCAAAGAAGTCAGGGATACTGCTGGCCGAGGCTGGGATGGTTGGGGATGGGGATGTGCGAAGGATGTATGTGGTAGGGAACTCGTTCGCTGACACTGGCATGCAATGGGAACTAATGATCAGGTACTTGAAACTTGTCTTACACCGTGCAGGCTTTGCGGCCTTTTTTGCGATATTCGAAATCACTCGAAGAGTGGCAATACATATGAAGAGCGCAACTTACCGTGTCACGCCTTTGATCACTTCGGAAGGGGAGCAGGAGAAACGTCTTAGGCGCTATCTGCCTCGGACTGTTCATGGGGTAACGCTCGTAACGGGAGGCGCGATCGCTGGTCTTGCTTACGAGGTCCTGAGCAGACCATGGGACGCGGCAAGAAAGACTGTCCAGCTTGATAGAATTCTACATTCGCCAAACGAACGGTCTCCTTCGGTCGCGATCTTGAAGAAATTTCGAGACGAGGGTCTGATATATTTTTTCCGCAATCCTACTACTCCTCATGCAACTACTTCAAATGGGAGTCGTCGGATATATACTTTCCTTCGTACGATTGCTCGCGTTGGTCCTTGGGGAGTAGGGTTTTTAGTTTGGGAAGCACTTGGACCAGGGATACAATGAGCATTTTATTTTGTTGACGCTTGAATATACAACACCACATCGCTATCGCAGTACTATCATCTAATTAGGAATACATAGAATCATTACATACCCGAACTCGAAAAACTTATCCTTCAAAGTACCTCATCATAGGAGCTTTCGTCTTCTTAGGCAATGTGCCTCGCCAACTCAAAACACTTGGACCGTCTTTCAAACAAGAGCCGGATTGAGCAACGAAAACAGAGTTAATAAAGGTGGGACCTCTATGAAGACCTACGGAACTGGTATATGAAATACACAACGCACTACCGTCCGTTTTGCAGTGGAACCACTTTCCAGCGGCCCAATAAAATATTTGCACGCAATACCAGCAAGTCCCTCAGCATCTGCAGCGAATCCTTGACCACGTTCAGCTTACTTCCCGCAACCTCGTGCCACTCCACTGGCACTTCCTCAACAGGTATACCTAGCTGCTTGGCGAGCAGCAATAGCTCAACGTCAAATATCCACGTCGCAAGGTGTTGAGCTGGGAATATTTGCTGAGCGGCGCGGCGGGTAAATAGCTTGAAGCCGCACTGCGTGTCTCGAATATGGCCGACGCCGACGATGCGAAGGATCGTGTGTAGACCGTACATAAGTATGTTTCGAATGAATGAGCGCTGACAGAAGATTCAGCTTCCACAAAGCACGCAAGAATATTCTGTCGCTTTTACCTTCACCACAGCTTCAGTTTTAACGAGATGGGCTCTACTTCCGACTACAACGGCAGGTTCATTTTTCGGAGCAAGCTTGTCCATAGCCTCCCACAAGAGCTCCAAGTCCTCGAACCGACTTGCGCCATCTGCATCTACCATCAGCAACCGCTGTCCCCGCGCATACAGCATCCCATGCCTCACGGCACCGCCTTTCCCCAAGTTCTTCTCCAGGGTGACGACACGTATATCGCTCTCCGGATACTCCCCTGCGAGCTTCACGCCCAGCGCCGACGTCTCGTCCGCAGACCCGTCGTCAACGATGAGGATTTCATATGTCCGTGACTTCTTCAGAGCGGGCGTGGAAAGGTGGGCGAGCGTGGTGGAGAGCATTGAGGGAAGCCGTGCGGTTTCATTGTAGGCGGGAATGACGACTGTGAGGTCAACGGACCCTTTGTCTGCGAGAGAAGGAAGAGGTTTTGGTGTATTGGGCGAGGAGCGGGAGCGATATTTTTTTTCTGATGGACGGGTCACTATAGGTGGAGGGGATAAGAAGACGAGCGCTAGATAGAACTAAGTATGATCAACGATACGAGATTGGGACGAGAGCACGCCAAAAAGTCAGAACTATGGGATACGAGATCCCTGACCAGATAAGTTTGTCGTCCTTGCTTAGGCGCAACACCTAGGAAGGTGGCCCCGGGCTCGAAGAACAAGGATGAAACGGTATTCATCATACGAATCGACTAGATGTCGTGGAATCAAAGGTAAAAGCACTCACGCAGGGCACGGTCACTGCCACCGCGGTAATAGCGTACACCAAGACAGGCTGGTCCATGATTCAAACTATTTAGGACGTATTATCGTCGCATATGCCAGTCAGAATGCAGGTCGTTCTCAGAGGGAATATAGAAATGAGGGTAAAGGAAAGAGAGCTTGGTCGGTCGCGGTGGACACTGCTCAAGCTGAAACTTGCAAGTGCCACGTGTGCGTGCGACTTTCAATCATATGGCCAAGTCTACCCGTGGCAAGGTTTTCAGGCTTGCACACAAGTTGCACTCCCTTCTTGTTCAAGCATGGATATTGTAGAAACATACCCGGAACATCTAGGTGAATAAATATAATCAAACTGGTACTCAGGTGCGACACAGCCTGTGGTTTGCAGAACTTCGTCTAAAAGCGAGTCAAGAAAGAACAATGTTCCAGGCCTCATATAACAAATATTCGTCTGTCTTATCCTCCTTAGCCGCTGAAAATGCAGCGAGCACAGTACACAAGTGAGTCCTTGAAAGCATGGTAGATATTTGGCTAGTCACGGAATCTCACCGTTCATGCGTTAGGCCAGAATAGAATACTTGTTGACCTCTTCGAGAAGTCTACCCCAGCGTCCGCCGTGCCAAGAACTCATTTCCTCCCATTCCTCCCCTTCGAACAAACCATTAAAGCACCTCATCACGGCACCCACAATGATATCCGCGTACGAAAACGTATCCCCCATGATCCATTTACCCTCGCTCTTCGAATACCATGCGTCAACGACCCCAAGAAAATCCTTTGCATTCTTCCAGTGTTGTTCACGCTTCGGACCTTCGGGTGAAATATCCTCCAACTTACTACCAACTCTCATCTCGACACTTTTCCTGAAGTATTCCTCATTTGTGGGTAATATCTTCGTGTAGTTTTTGACAACTATCAACGGGACCATCGGGCCCATACTCTGCATGAAAGCGGAATCAAAGACGCTGATGAGAGCTTTGCTACCACGGGGAAAGACGGTGGGTGTGGATGGATACGTTTCGTCGAGGTATTCTGCGATGGCGGAAGAGTCGGAGACAATGGCACCTGTAGAAGGGTCCTGGATAACAGGGACAGTGTAGAAATCGCTTCCGTCAGGTTTACGCCCAGTAGGTTTGGCACCGATGGCTTTCATCCGCTCTTCGATATCCTGTGATTCGATCCAGACGGATTTGAAGGCTAAGCCTTTGTAGGCAAGTGTGTACCTATGACAGCGAACATGTAAGTCAGGTTATTAACGATGGCTTTAATTGCGCTACTCACCTTGCTTTGAATACGTTGCCAGAAAAGGCTTTTACGGGCCCTTTGCCTGGGATATCGTATAGTATAATTGGTTGAGACATGAGTAGATAATATGGGTCGTTTGTCGTTTGTCCAAAGTTTACCGGAGGTCTAGTCTCCCTAATTACTGATATGACAATCGATGTCAGTATACAAGGTCTGCGGCTCCGAACTAAGGCCCGGACCCGGTGCGGTGCTAATAACGCGGACGATTCCCTCGCACTTTAATTCAAAGACCGATAGCTCCGAACGAATACTATTGAATAAGTCGGAAGGGCCACATAAATGTGGCATTGCTACCAAGTTGTTTTTTTGTAATATATTCTATTAGTCAAGAACAGTATAAGGGATGTGGTGGTCGAGGAGGGTAATACAAGTGATTTCAAGGTAGGTATGCCAATGTCTATCAAACCAGTCTGTTGTGGTTGTTGTGGAAGGGAGGAGGACTGGTTCTCCAAGTTTTGTTGGATACCGTCTCATTAATAAGTCAAGGACTATAAGATCTCCTGTCTGAAGATCATTGTAATGTAGCAGGTCTTTAACTTCACGGTTATGGTAGCCAGTACGGTCATCATAGATAGTATTTTGGAGGGATGCAGTCTTCGTCGGTTAGTGGTGTGATTGGAAAAGGGAGGGAAAAGGACAAACTTTGGATGTGGTGGTGAGATGATTGTGTTCGGACCAGGCTAAGACAATGTCAATGTTAAGATCATAGGTATTATTTGGTAGACATACATCCCTCTGGATAAGCCATTCGAGATAACCAGTTTTGTATGGTTTTAGGAGTGTGTGTACCTTGTGGATGGATGATCAAACTGTCGCTCATTTTCGTGTGTATGAAACCGGTGATTCAAATGGTAATTGGTTCATTGCCTCTACGATTGCAGAGGTATGTAGATAGTTCTTGGTTGGTTGCTTTACGCCATCCACCCCAATTTGATTCAATTGGAATGTATTCAGGGACAAATATATTGTTCTTGAAATTGTGGTAGTTGATCAAGTTGTTGAGAGTGCTGTGGTGTGGTCAGCGAAAATTATAGGAGTTCATAAGTGAGTGACCTAAATGTATTGTCAGAGAACCACTCGCAGTAGGAAATGTCAGTGTTTACGTGTTTGGGATAATTCATTATAGTACAGTAGAGAAGGGAGTATGTGTTTTTTTTTTGTGCTGTAGTTTGAAGTTTGAAGGTGTGAGATATAAAGATAAAAAAATAGGAGAGAATAAGAAATAGGAGAAGGATGAGGCATGAGGAGGATAATGTATACGTGTTTATGATGCAATCAATGATGACGTATGGGCAGAGAAATGCGTTCATGTGTGACACAATTTTTTGGGTGTTTTTGATTCAAGTTGAAAAGCAGTGATAGTGTCGGATGTTTGGTGAGAGCTTTCAGGAAGAGAAGTATCAGTGAGTTTAATGAGCTCTTCAATGTCTTCATCAGATTTATCAATGACTTTGATAGAGCGAGCGTTTATCTGGAAAATCTGTAACAAATAATTTAGTCAAAATATATAATATCTCTTGTGGTACATACACAGCGGATATTGTCATCTTCTTTCCAGTTAAACACTTGCAACTTTCCGCTCACAAGTATAAGAGTTCCGGGTTGCAAATAGTCATACCATAGAGATGGGTGGATCAATTTATTGTTGTTATCTCAGATGTCTAATTGGCAAAGCCTAGCTGATTCATGTCGAAAGGGATAATCACCATAATCAGGTAGGATGTGAGGATCATATGTCATATGCAGAGTAGCTGAGAAAATTTTCATAAAAGCAAGTGGTATAAATTTGAAATGCGTACATTCTTGATTTGTTTGTAAGCTTGTATCAATGTCTGCCATTATGAAATCTTCAGCCATGGTTGATTTCGAAGCAGTAGATTTTGAAGAGGAGGCTTTTACAGTTTCAGCCCCAGGGATTGGTCGTTTAGATACTCGTTTTTGAACGGGTGCTGTGATATATGGTTGCGGTTGTTTGGTCTATTATAAACAATGTTGACAAAATTTATAGTAATATGTGATATTCAAATACCGTGTATAAAGTGTCTGTGGTAACATGTAACACATTGGGTGTTAATGCGTTATCGGCAACATTGATTGTCCATAATTTGTGATTGATTTTATTAATCATATGGTTTTCATTGTCTATATCCTGATTGTTTTCAACTATATCGGCAAGAGATGCCAGCTGGTTATTGAATAATATAGAAGCACATTTGGTAGCCAATGTGCCTTGCGTGAGTACAAGAACTGCTTTTGGTGAAGTTTTATCGGTGATGTATTTTCTCTATTATCAATGATGAATAACAAAATATTGTGCAAGTAGTTGGGCATACTTTATAAGCAGGACCAATATAGTGGTTTCCTCAAGCAGATAGTTTTGTTCCATTTGATGCTGGTTCACTTTGATCGTAAAGAGTTGTCTCGTATTCTTTACCAGTATCATTATCCTTGAAAGCAAAATTGTCATTTGTAGTTGTATATCTTGTTAGGTCTTCGGCAAAATTTAAATGAGAGAGGGCGCTTTTTTTGAGACCTATAAGATAAGATACGACCTGGTCATAGATATGAGTATTAATTTGGTTTGAATATATAGGGGAGGTAAAAGACATAATGAAGATTGTGTAACAACCAAGAGTTACTTACTCTGGTGCACACAGGAACACACTATAAAGGTAGTGAATGGGGAGTGGTTACCCCTTAGGCTGCAGAGAGTTTGTTGGTTAACAACAGGAGGACTCGCTGAGGAGTCTCCTGGATCTATTGGGGTATATATACTAATACAGAGTGTTTGTACTTATGTACTGTACAGTTGATAAAGTTAGTGGCTGATGATGTCATTGTTAGTTTTGGTGATTCTGCACCTTTGTGCTACCTATATATTTTCATTCCTTTCTCTATCTATTCTTCTATTATTCACTATTGATTGTGTTCTCTATTATTTCGCCTTTGTGGCTGCTTTGTTTACCTTTGTTTACAAAACTTCGGACAGTACTGCAGAGTCTAATGCTTCCTATTCTCTAGTTACTCACATTGGACTCTAGTTCCAGTCCCTGATTGCTCTCAGCAAGTGGCTAGACACTTCCTTCAAGCTTTGTTCTTAATAGTCATGGGGCCTAGCCCGCATGACCAGCTCCACTGTGTGAGAAAGTCATATCTAAAATAAGAAGAAGGCAATGCGGTGCGAGAAAGAGGAGTTTGAACAAAAGGGGAAGTGCCGCATGGCACCATGTGTGAAAGCTAAAGTATACAAGGTTAAAGCAGAGAATGAAAATGAAGGAAAGGTCCAAAAATTGTGTTATCGTAACAGATTGTAAGGTCGTACAATTGGGAATGGATGTCTTTATATCATAAAATAATGATGTTGTCTATATATCATGATGATGGCAAGAATGTCGATCAATCGCTGTTGATTAAACATTAGGCTGAAGTGTCTTATGTGATAGCATGCTGCTTACCATGTTTTTAATCATTTGTCAGTATTTTGTGAGTGATAGACCTCTGTTTCAGACAGAGGTCTTTTTGTGAGTCATTTTGTTGCTTTTATGTTGTTATTGGGCAAATCTTTACGCATAACACATGTTGGATTTGTAGATGTATCCAGAGATAGAGCGTAATTTTGTAGTTGGTTTAGTTGTTGTGTAGAGTTCATTGATTACATGGACTGATTAACTGCGTTGTCGTCAATATGGGGTGGATGTATATAATTTTCAATATTGCTTAGCTGATTTTGTGTGAAAACAATCTCATCAGTGTCACCAGTCTCAAGTATAGTTTCCAGCTTTAGTACATAGAGTTGTTTAGTTTCAATACAGATGTCTTGTGATTGTCAACATTGAATTTTATTCTGCGAAAAGGGACGTAAAATGAGCAAATCATCAAGAGATCTTACACGAGATAACATAACATAGGGCGCTTCAGTGCCTCTATAATGGCACTGTTTAAAGTTTGACCTTGGGATTTGTGAACGGTAATGGCAAGTGCAGGTAGTATGGGTACCTGGATACGTTTAATATTGTATTTTTTCTTTGAATATGGATGGATAAAGGACAGGTTAACGGAATCTTCCAAAGCCACGACATGGTCAGATGATAAATGTGGTAGGTCACTGCCACAGTAGTCGGGTGCATGGATGATACACGATGTTGCATGTCAACGACCTTCTGTATCAGTTCTATACTGTATACGTTTCAATGTTCCAACGCAACCATTTACAATCCCTGATTCAACATCAAAGTTTTGGCAAATCATTACAGGCATGCCTATTGCAAGAGGCAATTTACCGGGTCTCTGGTTAGTGGTTCCAGAATGCAGATTATTCAAATGATCAATCAAGTCATTATTTGTTATAGATTTACCTTTTTGTAAGTCTTGTGAATAATACCAATGGATCTGTTTGTTGTGTTTATAAACAAATGCTATTGCAGCACAATAATTAAAGGTGTCTTTAACTTGGTTATCACAAACTATTACAGGTGCATTCCTCCATTGAGCATCATTCCAGTCTGGTTGTACATTGTTGAGGGTACAAGAACACAACAATTCATAATCTGTATAGGTACATTTTCCTTCCCTTAGTTGTGTTAAAAGATCTAAGAATCCTTTATTGGCATTTCCAGACTGTCTCATAACTTCATCAAGTATTACTACTGTTTTGATGGACATCCATAGCAGCTTTCCAAGCATAATATTTTCAGTATGTGTTGTTCCTAATTGTCTTATGTCTACATGCATATATAACCTTGTTTGTCCAACAGGAGGTAATTGTGCAAAGTCACCAGCTAAAACAATGTTAATGCCGCCAAAAGGTGATGTACAACCTTTTGCGTCAGTCAGTGCTTCACTAATTTGTAACAACAATGCGCATCCAACCATTGATATTTCATCAATGAAGAGATAGTCTACACCTTCCCACATTGAAACAAGATCAGCATGAGTTTTTCACTTTTGTACAATGTCCAGTTCGTTGATTCAAACTAAGTGCAGAATGTAATGTCATACCTGATATATTTTGAGCTGCAACTCCAGTATAAGATACTAGACGAAAATGTCGTGTTTGTTTTCTTATCAGAAAGAAATCTTTTAAACAATTAATAATACATGATTTTCCTGTGCCCCTAGCACCACTAATAAACATTCGAAGAGGCTTAGGATGTGCAAGTAAACTATGGTCTGTAATAATTTTAAATGCTCTTATCTGTTCTTTGTTTAATGAGTTTTCTCTTGCCATAGCGTCTACATCAACGTCGCATTCAATATATTCGGTAGGAATTCCGTGTTTAATCTCAGTTTGTGCTTTGTTTGGATGTGGAATATGTGTTGTTCTAAATGCATTTCCAGATACGATAGGATTATTTTGGAACAAGAATTGGTGAACAGTAGACTCGGAAGTCGATACAGTATTGTCATCAGGTAATATTTTATTCTTTCCTCCAATCAGAGGCTTTTCCGACTTTCTACACTAGAAGTTCCCTCGGTTATTCGTAAGCGAGAATTTTGTACTTTGCAGATGGAGGACAACAACGAAAAAAACGCCACCCCAAACGGACCGCTAACAACCGTTTCATGCTGACTAACAGCTTTTTCAAGATTCAAGGTCTCCCACTCAAAAAATAGCCGAGATATTTATAAAACCCACTACCTAAAGGTAGCGGGAATACCGTTTCATCCTTGTTCTTCGAGCCCGGGGCCATCTTTCTAGGTGTAGCGCCTAGGCAAGGACGACAAACCTATCAGGTCAGGGATCTTGTATCCCATAGTTCTGACTTTTTGGCGTGCTCTCGTCCCAATCTCGCCCACCTTTCCACGCCCGCTCTGAAGAAGTCACGGACATATGAGATACTCATCGTTGACGACGGGTCTGCGGACGAGACGTCGGCGCTGGGCGTGAAGCTCGCAGGGGAGTATCCGGAGAGCGATATACGTGTCGTCACCCTGGAGAAGAACTTGGGGAAAGGCGGTGCCGTGAGGCATGGGATGCTGTATGCGCGGGGACAGCGGTTGCTGATGGTAGATGCAGATGGCGCAAGTCGGTTCGAGGACTTGGAGCTCTTGTGGGAGGCTATGGACAAGCTTGCTCCGAAAAATGAACCTGCCGTTGTAGTCGGAAGTAGAGCCCATCTCGTTAAAACTGAAGCTGTGGTGAAGGTAAAAGCGACAGAATATTCTTGCGTGCTTTGTGGAAGCTGAATCTTCTGTCAGCGCTCATTCATTCGAAACATACTTATGTACGGTCTACACACGATCCTTCGCATCGTCGGCGTCGGCCATATTCGAGACACGCAGTGCGGCTTCAAGCTATTTACCCGCCGCGCCGCTCAGCAAATATTCCCAGCTCAACACCTTGCGACGTGGATATTTGACGTTGAGCTATTGCTGCTCGCCAAGCAGCTAGGTATACCTGTTGAGGAAGTGCCAGTGGAGTGGCACGAGGTTGCGGGAAGTAAGCTGAACGTGGTCAAGGATTCGCTGCAGATGCTGAGGGACTTGCTGGTATTGCGTGCAAATATTTTATTGGGCCGCTGGAAAGTGGTTCCACTGCAAAACGGACGGTAGTGCGTTGTGTATTTCATATACCAGTTCCGTAGGTCTTCATAGAGGTCCCACCTTTATTAACTCTGTTTTCGTTGCTCAATCCGGCTCTTGTTTGAAAGACGGTCCAAGTGTTTTGAGTTGGCGAGGCACATTGCCTAAGAAGACGAAAGCTCCTATGATGAGGTACTTTGAAGGATAAGTTTTTCGAGTTCGGGTATGTAATGATTCTATGTATTCCTAATTAGATGATAGTACTGCGATAGCGATGTGGTGTTGTATATTCAAGCGTCAACAAAATAAAATGCTCATTGTATCCCTGGTCCAAGTGCTTCCCAAACTAAAAACCCTACTCCCCAAGGACCAACGCGAGCAATCGTACGAAGGAAAGTATATATCCGACGACTCCCATTTGAAGTAGTTGCATGAGGAGTAGTAGGATTGCGGAAAAAATATATCAGACCCTCGTCTCGAAATTTCTTCAAGATCGCGACCGAAGGAGACCGTTCGTTTGGCGAATGTAGAATTCTATCAAGCTGGACAGTCTTTCTTGCCGCGTCCCATGGTCTGCTCAGGACCTCGTAAGCAAGACCAGCGATCGCGCCTCCCGTTACGAGCGTTACCCCATGAACAGTCCGAGGCAGATAGCGCCTAAGACGTTTCTCCTGCTCCCCTTCCGAAGTGATCAAAGGCGTGACACGGTAAGTTGCGCTCTTCATATGTATTGCCACTCTTCGAGTGATTTCGAATATCGCAAAAAAGGCCGCAAAGCCTGCACGGTGTAAGACAAGTTTCAAGTACCTGATCATTAGTTCCCATTGCATGCCAGTGTCAGCGAACGAGTTCCCTACCACATACATCCTTCGCACATCCCCATCCCCAACCATCCCAGCCTCGGCCAGCAGTATCCCTGACTTCTTTGATCCAGTCCCTGACTTGCCTCATCTCCCTGATGGTCTCCTGGTTTCCCATGGATTGCGGAGGTTCTGTACCTCGAAACACTTCCTTCCACGCGCAAGACCAGCTTCTACCCGCAGTCCCTTCGATAATGAGCCGTACGTTTTCGGCAGGTGCAGCAGCCAAAGCTTGCATACCTCCCGCCATAGCTCCTGAAAGAGCGGCGAGAGTAGTAGGGTGAGGACCGAGATGTAGGTCGAGGAAAGTAGATGTTTCCGTGTACGTCGTCCAAAGAACAGTTCCCAGCGCAGCGTTGACTAGCATGGGAGGTATAAAGTGTTTGGGTATCACCATAAACTGGTCGTGGGGGAAAACACTATGAGATGGTGCGGATGGGGAGATGATAAGAACGAAGAAACTACACCTTGCTTCTTTACGAGCGAAACCATGTAGTGCGGGGTCAGAGATGCCCCGTGTAGGGTGGCGAGGCCTCTAAGGGAATGCCAGCCGCTCACTGTAGTCATTCAGTCATTGAGGACAGTTAGATGAATAAAATTGCTTATTCACCCTTAGAAGGCCTGAAAAGACGCACTGGGCGAGAGAAGTATAATGCCATGCCTCTGGTGGCCGTACGCGCCAGTGCTGCATAGACGGAATTTCCTTGACGCTCTTGGGTTGCTGCATCCTCAGCGGTAGTGGACATGCATGCGGGATGTGCTGGCGTATTAATTTACTGGCAACTTGAAGTGCGTGCCAGACAAAAGATATTTGAAGAGACACCTGACCAGTCGCGTCAGGAACGTGGCCTCCAAAAAGGGTTGCTACCAGTGAGATCGCGGACTCTAGCTTGGTTTTTCAACTTAGCCTCAACCTATGATAATATGCTTTCTGTTCGAAAACCCCGGATTCCCTCTCGAACCCCCTTTAGCGCTTTAGGTTAGATAATCGTCAATTTCAACGAATAACCTGACATTAGGCGTAGAAAGTTGAAAATCAAGGCCTTCGATCCGCACCGCGCTTTCACGTAATTGCTTATCGAATGATTCAAACTTGAAAGTGACTTACACTCACTGGCAGCCCAACCTACGGAATACCACACATCATTCAGTCTGTCACGTCCGCATATCCTGCTCCTTTTGATCCCAGGGTTTGTTCAACTGTGAGTGTTAGGTGTGTTTTTACAACAGGAAGAGGCTTTTCCCGCAACTAAAGAAATCTCTACGTTCGCGAAATCATCAAATTACTACACATACATCCACTTCAATATATACCAACTCTAATCCACGTATTTATTTAACACATATGTAAACTGAGTTTTCCATTGCTTATCATAGTCAGCTTTGTGCTCTTTGAAAAGTAAACGGGCAAAGGGTATTCTGCTCCGTTGGAAAAATACTGTCCAAATCTAGTGCTTGAGTTTGATATTCTCCATCCATATCTGGGAATGGTATAATAAAACTAAGTGAAACTCAGCCGCTGCCCGAGAGGCTAGAGAAACAACTTCACTATTTACCTAAGTGAAACTACAATAGATGTTAGTTTAAGGTGATCTCTAATAAATGTAATGTAACATACCTCAGCCGCTGCCCGAGAGGCTATAGAAACGACTGAGGTATTCCTATACTAAACCCCCTACTACTTATAGTTGGAGGTGCTACTCGCTACAGTATAATGACTCCTAGGAGTACAATTGTGCTCCTAGGAGAACAATGGTTGCTCCATGGAGAACAATGGTTGCTCCATGGAGAACAATGGTTGCTCCATGGAGAACAATGGCTGCTTCAGCAGAGACCGGGTTTATCCAGTTTTGTCATGGTACTCCTGCAATTGTAGCCTGATTCAAATGCAATATCTTGTAATACCGTCCAACGACACAAATAGCGTGTAAATGTTCCTGTTGAGGATATGCACTAAAGACGGCTTTAGCTTGATAGGCAACTTGTGTCAACATAATCAGGAACTGGTCATCTGGAAGTTGGTTGGTGGTGTGTGTCTTGACTTCTATGATGAAAGGCACCTGCTCTTGCAGTTGCTCTTCATGACCGGTTCTGGATAAGATAGCAAAATCTGGGATCCTGTACGAGTCTCTGTCCACATTACTGTGATCACTTGACTGGGATAAAGCAACAGATGCTGCCCGCGATGAAATAGTTAAAGTCAAAAGCGAGGAAAGTGTCGAGCTCAGAATTTTGTTGTTGTCTACAGCAGCGGCATGTCCTACACTTCCGGAGGCTAAGACATCCGCATCTAATAGAGGGGAGAAGTCAGCTGTAAGCCAGAATGATTAAAAATACAACCCATACCTGTACCATCAATAATTTGCCACCTTGTGCAAGCTACACGAATGGCTTGCACAGATAGCAGTTTAGCGCTCATAGGGTTGGCACTTAAAGCTAAAAAAATTGTAATTTAACGGATGAAAGCTGAATCTCAACATGATCACAGATTAGAGACATACATGGAACAGGTGAAAAGTTGAAGTAAAAATGACGTTGCGGTGCAACACTGAGCCTGCAGGTGGGTGTACTTTGTCCAAAAGTGAGCCAAGAAAGGGCAAGATTCCAGGGCTCGTACAGGAGATGTTCCTGTGATTCATTCCGCTCAGCTGCTTCAAAGGCAGGGACCAAGGTGGCAATATGCTCTTGTAGGCTCACTCCAATTTTTGTGTAGTCGAATGGGGGCATAGTCTGTAAGGTAAACAATAAGTGCGTAAAAATACCGGTGTAGAAAGAGATACTGCACTGTTTATGGTGCTAAAACAGATGATGCGGACAGAATGGCGGTTACTACAGAACAAATCTAACGACTTAAGTAGATTTTGGACAGAACATTTTCTAACATATCATTGACTCATCCAAGTTAATTTTGGAAAGGAACATTTCAAACACATTGCGAAAAGAGGGAGCTAACGAACATGAGGACAGAGGCAGAAGATTATTGGAGTTGGTTGGCATTCCAAGCAGGGGAAAGCTGGAACCGACCCGCTAAAAGCCAAGAAGTTTCCTGTGTATGGCTTGATGGTAAGCCACCCGAGAGAATTCGACGTCTGGGTGCAGTCAAAAGGAGAAGGAACATAATTCCGAATACAGAGAGACTACACCAGGTGGCATTTCACCCTAAACTAGGGGAAGGCAGGCTTCGAAAAAAGCCGAGAGTAGTGATTGCTGTTGGTACCCTTGACCTCCGGTTCATAATGAATATCAGAAAATAGGCACAGAACAATGCTTGTCCACAATCTCGTTCACAACCTTGAAGCCACCTCTGTGAAACAGTGGCCAGCCGGCCCATCGGCAACATAACAGCAGCGGTGACATAAATGTGACCGTTTTAGACAGTTCATAGGTTCAATTCTCAAGCGGTTGACAAATTAGGACATTTGTTTATAGTATGAGAAAACATGCATTGGCCAGGGCTTGAACCTGGGACTCCAGCTTTCATGGTCTGGTGCTTTACCAACTAAGCTACCAAGGTGTACTTGGAAAGCATACTGATTGGTTGCATGCCCAGAAGGTCCAGAATCACTGTACACGGGTGCGGACCCCATTGTGTTGTGATATTGTCTACCTTTTCACTCCCAGTTATGATCCGGAGCATAGTCATAGTAGGCTTCCATTCAGCGCTGTGCTTTTGGTATGTCGCACCAAGTGATTTTGGCGAATGCTCGCAGTGTGAACAGGCATCCCAGGATTACACACTCAAAGGGGAAAGTTACAATGTGAATAAATTATGAAAAGCATTTGGATTATATCCTGCGGAGCCCTGACCTGGGCATTTCCTAGTGAATATTCGAGGTATTTGTAGTTTATAGAATCAACACCCAACATGGGTGTACAATGCAGAATTGTGGGATATAAGTCCAGGATCCTATGTGCATGTTGTATGAATATATTGAGGACTCAGATTGGTACTTGCAGGTAGATGAATGGATTTAGCACTAGTGAGACATGCAGCATATATATGTGCCTTGATGTCAGTCCTATGTTTCTGAAATATGCTCTGACATCTGAGCAACATGGAATATATCACTGGAGTCCTGAATATATCTGAATAAAGTCTCACAAGCATCAATGGCATTACTGACTTTTCTCCAAGAACAAAAACAAGTGAATTTTTGTCAGGTAACATACAGCACAACGCAACGATGACAGCTAGTACACTGCTTCTCTTGATAAACACGCCCTTCAGGGGGATTTGAGAGTCCCAAAAATGCCATTTTCTGCTTTGAAAATTTGGGCTTGATGCTATAAACACAAGCCAGAAGTGTTATGGCCCCATGTCCACTGCTGAGATTCAGTATGACAAAACTGGATAAACCCGGTCTCTGCTGAAGCAGCCATTGTTCTCCATGGAGCATAGCCACCACTCCATGGAGCAACCATTGTTCTCCTAGGAGCACAATTGTACTCTTAGGAGTCATTATACTGTAGCGAGTAGCACCTCCGACTATAAGTAGTAGGGGGTTTAGTATAGGAATACCTCAGTTGTTTCTATAGCCTCTCGGGCAGCGGCTGAGTTTCACTTAGATTTATTAGGTTATGAGCCCTGGTGCACAAAAGCTATGCAGGAAATAATTCTTATTTGAAACGGCAACCTCAGAACCATGACCACAGCACGCAATACATCCGCATGTCCAGTTCTCACTGGACCCAACAATTTTCAGATATGGAAACTCCGGATCATCTCAAAGCTACGTTGGGAAAAAGTTCTCCAGGTTGTTACTGGAGAGGAGCTTAAGCCCTCACCAGGAAAACCTACCTCCTCGGAGGATCCTGAGATTGTGAGGCAACGATAAACTATAACAAGAACTAAACCTATCTCCTTCTGCACTTGCAGGGAGTAAGGGTTTGATGAGCTTGAGGTCAACAGACGCTGTTGAATACAGCGAGTCGAGGACTTTTTAAGAGGTAAGCTTCAAAGGTTCTTGTTGAGGAGTAAAGCGGGTAAATTCAGTAATAGAAAGCTAAGGAGCTATACATGAATAGGTACGTCTTTATATAGGGAACTGTCCGTTCCTCAGACCGAAAGGAGAATATACGAAAAGTGGTCTGAGGAACTAATCAACCAATAAGAAAAAGGGAGAGTAACTATCGTACGACTTCTGGCTTGATTAATCAGCAGGTGAGAGACTTGTACTAATAATAGAAGATTGTCACGCGTGGTCAGGAACCGTATCCTCATGATGAGGTACAATTCTAGATAAGGCGTTATTAGTATCACCAGGCTTTACTGGGGCTTGGAGCTGGTTGGCGAGATGCCTACTACCAGTCCCTACCCAGTGTGCTGGCTAGCTGGGAGCGATGCCCAGTCTCTGATCTGTGATATAAAGTGGTAGCGATGGTTAAGAAAGCCTGTGAGGGCTATGAGAAGTAAGATGGCAAAGGATACCTCTAGCCCTAGAGCCAGAGGTGTAACGGGAAAAGCGTTCGAGAGCCAAGACATAATGAGGATAAGAAGAAAATAATAAAACGGTCCTTACAGAGATCACCTGGATACTTAAGGATGAGAAGGCACATGGAATCATCCAGGACCACATCTCTGATGCCCTCCTAATGAGGACTGGAGACCTCACCAGCTCCAAGGAGTTATTTGATAAACTTGTCTCACTCCATCAAATGTCCAACATTGCCTCGGCCTTCTATTCATTCCAACAACTCACCAAATTGTCCTGGGATGGGACATCACCTATCCAGGACCACATTGCAAAAATCCGGACAATTGATTCACACCTCTCTGGAATGAAACTAGGAGTTGATACCAAACTCATGGCTTTTGCTCTTCTCCAATCTCTCCCATGCACTCCTGAATGGCAAATATTTCAGTCATCAGTAATCAACACGATTGAAGAAAATAAACTTACCTTTGATGCAGTTGAGATCCGGATCACTGCAGAAGTTGCACGACAGTCAGGGAAGGCCCCTGGAGGTTCCGAATCAGCACTCAAATCCGAGGAGAAATGGTGTAACTTCCACAAAGCCAAATCACACAACACCTCGGAGTGTCGAACACTTCAGTTAGCTGAAAAAGGTCAAAGGAAGAAGGGAAAGGAAAGACACAAGGATAAAGGAAAAGAGAAGGAAAAGGCAAATACAGCGGAGCAATCATCTGGATCTGACTCCGAGGAGGAACAGAGTCATATTGCATTGGAACATGTACATATTTCCAAGCCCCTTACTAAACGCATTCAAGCTTACCTTGTGTCGGAACCCGATAAGACCAAAACAACAATTATTATTGACTCTGGAGCAACATCCCACATGGTCCCTCACCGCTCCTGGTTTGAGCCAGGAACATACCATGTTCTGCATCCTCCAAGGACAATCAGTTTTGGGGATGAATCCTCTGTAAATGCCATTGGCATTGGAACAGTAATCTTACAAGCAACTGTTGCCAAAAGGACTACAATATTGTACTGTCAAATGTCTTACTTGTGCCAAACTTCACGTTAGCACTCGTCTCTGTCCACAAATTGTCCAAAACGGGGTTATCAACACTTTTTCCTCAAATGCTTGTGAAGTTCGGAAAAAGGAGGAACTTATCCTCACTGCGTTACACAAGCGAGGACTTTATCACATCCAAGCAAAACCCAAAATCAACCCGGAGTCAGCTTTTGCAGCAGTAGATGTAAATTTATTGCACAGGAGAATGGGACACATTGGAATGGACCGCTTGCAACGAATGGTTACAAAAAGACAGCTCCAGGACATAGACACCCTTACCGGAACCCCGGAGTTTTGTGAACCTTGTGCTTTAGGAAAGATGAAGAAATTACCTTTCAAGTCCACTGGAGGAAACCGAGCCAAGCGCCCCATACAAATTGTGCACACAGATGTTGGAGGACCAATCAAACCAACTTCCAGGGAGGGTTTTTGGTACTGGATTATTATTGTAGATGATTTCTCCAAATTTCCATGGATATATTTCCTAAAACATAAAAGTGAAGCACTGGAACGATACAAGCAATGGAAAGAAGATGTCCAAACATTCTTCTGGACTCATTTGGGAGAAGAAAACTTCACTCCACTATACACAGAATTCCTCCGGAGCGATGGGGGAGGAGAATATACTGGCAATGCATTCAAAAATCAACTCCGAGGAGATGGTGTCATCCAAGAAACTACAGCTGCAGATACTCCGGAACAAAATGGCATTGCAGAATGCATGAATCAGACATTGGCTACATTAGCAACCACTATGCTCCATGATTCCAAGCTCCCAAAGTCATTTTGGGTAGATGCCATGCAAACAGCTGCATATATCACAGCACACAGCCCAGCATCAGGACTCCATGGAAAGACCCCATATGAAATACTGTTTAAAAGGAGAGTTGATCCAACTTTGTTCCGCCCTTTTGGATGCCAAGCATATGCCTTGATTCCGAAAGACAAAAGGCAAGGGAAGTTTTACTCCAAGGGGCGCAAAGCCATAATGATTGGCTACACACATGGAAAGCAAGCCTACAAACTCCTAGACACTGAAAAACGGACTGTGTTTTCCAATCGGCATGTCATATTCAATGAATCCGGAAAGGTACAAAAGGATGACACTGCTCCCTGGAACACAGACACTAGCACAGATCAGTGGGAGGGACTCATTCCAGAGAATGCTCACTATCCAGACCAAAAAACATTAGAGGAGGATGATCCTGACCCTCGGATCCGAGATCCAAATGAATTGCAAATGGAAC